ATTGAGTTTTTTTTGGGTGAAATCATGCAATTTGGCTTTGGTTAATTGATGTGTGAAATTGATTTAGGGTTAATTTCTTCTTTGAATCTCAGCTGTCTTTTGGTGAATTTATCTCTTCAGTTTTCAGTAATTGATGTTTATATCCTGTAACTATAACTAATTGATGGCTCCATTCTTCTTTAGGTCTACTATGTTTCTTCTGATTATCATACCAATTTTTTTTTGTCTCTAATGTCTTTCAAAACTCTATAATCGTAGTATGTATCCACCACGTTGAGGCGGACTACCTGCAAGAGGTTATGTTGGACGAGTGACCCCTGCTCTCTCTAGGGCTGGTAATTTGTGTGCACCGCTGGGATTCCCTCTCCGTAGCATCACCGAGCTCTTGCAGGCGACGAAACCAGCCGACTCTCCATCCCAAGAAGAGAGATGGCGCACTTTGGTAAGAAACCATTGTGTAAATTTATATAAAATTTAAATTACGTTTTTTTGGTAAGAAACCATTGTGTATATTTATATACAATTTAAATTACGTTTTAACAAGAGTTCCAATTTCTGTAATTCGTGGATCATAGATCTAATTTACACAATTCTTAGAATTAGCCCCAATTTTATTCTTGAATCGAATTTGGATTTTTCATTGATCATAAAGACTGAAACTTTTAGAGAAAACGATTAGATAAGCTCTGTTCGTCTAAATTGATTGTGAAAGTCTCAAGCTTTTTGTTAATTTTCTATTGGTAGTTGAAATTCCAAATGTGAAAGCTACAATCTCTTAAGTTCTTTTTGTTTTTTGATCATAAAGACTCAGACTTTAGAGAAAACGATTGAATCAACTGTTTTCAAGCTATTTTCGTCTAAATTGATTGCCAAAGCTTCAAGTTTTTTGTTTTTTTTTCTCTGAAGTTATTCTTGTTCGTTGTGTGTGTGTGCTTTTACATTAACTTAATATTATGCCTTGTCATGATAGGATCTCCGTCGACAATGAGGTCAAATATGATATCAAAAATGCTTTAACGAATGATTTTGATGATCGTTGGTGGAATCTTGGTGAGGTTCCTCAAGAGCAGAAAGACAAGTGGTGGTCTGATTTTGTGGTAAGATTCAGTATATTATGCTTTGCTTATCCTAAACATGAGATATGGTGGTCTGATTTTCTTATCCTAAACATGAGATTCAGTTCGTTAATCATCATTGTCTTTGTCTTATATGTTTTGTGTGATTGACATTGAAATATGAGCTTGAAATTATACTTATCATTGTCTTATATGAAGGACACATCTTTACATTTTGCTTACCTTATTCATTACAAGTTATTTGATGCAATTGTCTTTATCTTTTTTACAGCAAAAGTATTATTGGGATCCAGATCATCATACCTTGGTGAAGACTCTCTGGACTAAACAGCTCCGAAGAATGATCTCGAACATCAGCAAGGGGAAGAGAAAACACAAAAAGCCAAAATTTGTCTCTGACATCAATTAGAACTTGATGTGGCGACACTGGGATACACCACAAGCTGTTCATATTAGCACTACAAACTCTCAGAACCGGAAATCTGACCGTAAAATCGTATGCCAAGGTCAAATATGATATGGTACAACTCATCTAGTCCCTTATTGTCTTATAATCTCTTTTCTGTTTTCTACATTAGGAAATATTATCTTGAGATTATGTCTTTTTCTATGTTTGCCTTATTGTCTTGTTGTATACAGATGATGGAGTTGGGTGAGGAGCCATCAATCACAGATTTAGTGCGAAAGACGATGAAGCTTGATGGAACTTTTGCTGACAAACGTGCAAAGATGATTGTTGATAAAGTTGAGTCGATTGTTGTTTCCCAGCAATTGAACAACACTGAACATGTTGAGGTCGGCAGCCAAGAGACGAACTCACACACACCAATTACACCACTTATGCAAGATGAGGCTTTTTATTCGGTAAATATTGTTGATTTACTTCTTCATTCATTACTTAAGATTTTTGGTTTCATAATAGCACTAACAAACTTTTTGTGAATTCCTCTTTTTAGATGGTCAAACCGTATAAAGGAAGGGTGTTTGGACTTCGATCTGCTCAGATGGAGAGTTATGATCCCATTGATCCACCATCTCTTGTTCTTCCTCGTCAAGCTCGTTATGAGCGGGACCTGGAGTTGTCAACATAATGAGCCAGAAAATTAGTGATTTGTGTGAAGCTAGAGGAGTCAGAGTTCCACATGTGGCTGAGAAGCCACCTCATCCATCACAGCCGCCACACTCTCAAACATCTCCAAGTGAAGCAGCTGCTACTCCTACTTCAACAGTTCATTCTTTATCTTGATAGAGCTTCTGTTTGTGAAAACTAACGACATAACAAGCATAATATTTAGTTTTTGTGTTTGAACCGTTGTTATGTGTTTTCACTTTTTCGTGTAACCTTTTTTGGTTGTCGACTTGAATTTCGACTTTTTGGAATTTCAGATTTCTTGTTATAATATATATCATGTTTTAAATCAATTAATATATTTCAGTTTTATTTATTTCTTATTTAAATCAAATATTTATTTATATTTTAAATAAAATATAATTGCCACGGAGATCTGTAGTTAAACTCGGTAGCCATATAGCCATATAGCCACAGACATTTAGCTACATATAATCTGTAACCAAATCTGTTGCTATTTTTGCCACAAAATTGCTAGGGGGAATCTGTAGCCATATAGCCACATAAAATCCTTCCCCAATCCATTGCTAAAGAGCAACGGAGAAATTTGTTGCCATATCGTAGCTATTTGCTACGGTCCTTGCTCTCGCTAGTTCGTTGCAAAATGGCTACAAAACGGCGACGGCCCAAGTTTAGCGTCGGAGCTGAGGCGACGAATTTCAGCTGTCACCATCTGTGGCCTGCCTAGTTTTTGCGACAGATTATGTCTTCTTGCTACAGAATAATCGGCAGCTATTTTAATGAATTCTTGTAGTGGTAGTGGCATCCGGAGCAGTAATATACCTCTAATTTACCCACTTTTTATACTGTTTTAGCATTGTTTTCTAATGGTTTTTGGCAGGTTTTCTATCTAAAAAGGTAGTTTTACTATGTTTATAGTGTCTAGAGTCTAAACAGGTGAAATGATGCATTTTGGAGCAAAACCATAGGATTTCCACTTCAAGCAGCTCCATGCACAAGCACCAACTTTAAGAGGGCCCAGAAAAAGATCTACTCAATCGATTTCATCAAGACCAGTTCCCTGCGTGCTCTGATTGAGTTAACTTTCCAACGCAATTGGAATGGCATCATTTGGATGAGTAGAAAAGGAGTTACAACCAAAAGAGTGGAGACTGTCCAGTCGGCTCTCGAGAAGACAGCGCCCAACCGCGCAGTCCGGCTGGCCGAGAAACTAATGCTCCGCGCTCGGCCAAATTCACATCCGTCCGACTGAAGTCTCGGCCAAGGTTCCAAATCTTACCACATGAGCCAATGTGAACATCATGTCTAAGAGGATAGCTGACAAGATATGCCTCACCAAGATAGAGCCATCATCCATCTCCATCAACTATGCTGATTCATTCTCACAAACACCCTATGGCTTTGTGCCTAATGTGATGGTGCAGATTGGAAATTGCTCTATCCCTACTGATTTTCCAGATTGTGGAAATGAGAGAGAGTAGTCATAGACCTCTCATATTTGGAACCCCTTTCCTGTCTACTGTGGGTGCCATATTTGATTTCCCCAATCAAAGAATCTCTTTCAACAAGGTGAACAAGGGTATGTTCTTCCCTATGTGTTCAACAAAGAACTCTTTTGTTGACATGGTCCAAAGAGGAGAAAGTTACTTTGAAGCCACCCCAAGAAGGAGAAACTGAAGAAACAATCAAGGAAGATCCCATTCCTAAGCCCAAGCAGCTTGCCAAACAAGCAAGGAGTAAGACTAAGGCCCCTACACCAAAACCGCCCAAGGGATCAACCAAGATTGAAGATGAGGTCAAGCCAAGAAGGAAGGTTAGAAAACCTAGGTCTGGCCGCAACATGAAGCTTCTATTCCCAAAGGAGCTTATTGATGAGAATCTAGAAGGATTCAAGGAGAGAGTGACAAGAACTCTAAAGCTTTTTCCTAAGGCAGTAGTGCCAAGGGACATTCATGGAGAGATTGTCTATCCAGCTGTGAATCACCCACCAGATACTCATTGCAAGGAGAAAAGACTTGGAGGATCAAAGATGCCTCTTGTCTCTATCTTCTCCTGAGCGCCAAGCCTTACAGTCAAGCTAAAGACTTCCAAGGCCAAGGAAGCCACACACATTTCAACGATGAAGAAGAGGAGGAAGAGGAGCCACAAGCTCGATCAAGTGAGCCGAACTCAGTCGAGTGGAGCGTTCCTGATGGCCGTCTACCATCTCCAGACCACGACCTAGCCTCCCAGTTCTTTGGGGGGCACTGAGGTATCCAAACACCAACCCTTGTATATACCATTTCATATTTTCTTGCATTTATTCTTGTTTTTTCTTGGTTTTGCCCTCTTGAATCTTTCACTAAATTTTTCTCACATAAGGGACTGTGTGATTTAAATTTGGGTGAGGGTTCAAGAGATGATTTAACCTTAAACAAGCTCACTTGGGAGGAAGTCCCATGTTTATCCTTGTACATACTCTATTATTGCAATTTCTATCTATCTTTATGTTTTTAACCTTTGAATAAGTTAAGTTTAGGTGTCAAGGGAGCCAGCTCGATCGAGCTAGAAACCAGGGCAACTCGATCGAGCTACACAACTCGACCGAGGTAAGTTTTTGAATTTCAAATTCATAGCCGTTTTCTTGGTCTCCCACTACCCTAATTTGATCAGAGAATCCCTAGCTTCTTGTCCCCTCTTTATTTCATCTTTTAATCTCAACCACACATCTCAAACACCCCTCTTCCCCATAACTCGATCGAATCCACCCTCTCTCTCTCCCACAATCTTAAAACTCTGAAAATCATCTCTCTCTCTCATCACCACAAGAAAAAAAAATCGATTTCTCTCTTTTTCTCCTAAGTTTTTGCGATTTCTCTTTGACCTTTGTTCTCAATTCGCTTTAGTTCTTGTTTCTGTGATTCTTTCATCATCCAAGCAAGGTATGAACACTTGAAACCCTTGATTACTTCATCTCGATATCCCTCCATTGCTTGTTTCTTCCTTGATTTTTGATTGCATGTGTACCTTGAGGACTTGCCCTTGAGTAATTGCTTTCCTTTTTACTTCATATTTGCATAATCTTGTGAATTTGCTTCACCTCACCTCTGTTTTAAAAAGGGAAACATATCAAAAAGAAAAGCAGAAAAACAGAGGAAACAGAGGAAATCAGAAAAGCCTGAGAAGAAAGTAATAATAAGATGTCTAGAATAAGAGCAGATATGAAAGGCATGCCTGTTCTTTGTCTCCTCCACTTTCTTCTTCTTCTCCTTCTCCTTCTCCTGTCTTTTCATTTTGTTCTTTCTGTTCGCCATTTGGTCTTCCACAATCGGACCCACCAAATTCTTGTTTTCGAATCTTGAAAACTTCGTATAAGACCAATCTCTAGGTTCACCGATCGGAGGAAGAAAGAAACATAGCAGAGCAGAGCAAGAACGAGAGAGAAAGACGATAATGGAGATGAAGAGAGAGCTTCGAGTAGAGAAGAAGGAGGCTGAGGAAGAGAACATGTGTACGGCGTTGTTGACTGCAGTTGTTGTGCTCTCGATGGCTTGCTTGAAACATTTCTCCTCTGTATCGTATTTGGTCGAGCAATGGCGTTCGTTGGTCTTTCTTTTACTCAACGTCGTTCTCTTAGCCGTTTACTTCACCTCGACCCGTCCTATTTCCGGCGAGACTCGTCACGATTTCAAGACTCGTCGAGGTGGTAGATTGAGGATGGTGCGAGGGAAGAAGATTAAAAAGACGAAGAAGACAAGGATGGTGGTGGAACCGGCTAGTTCCGAGAAAGGTTTTCTCGTCGTCGAGCCAAAGGAAGTGATCAAGGAATGTGTAGTGGAAGAGACCAAAAGGGTTTGTCCTGTATTAGAGGAAGCTGTGAAAGATTGCGTATCTCACAAGAAAGCTATGGACTTTGTTGGAGAAGAAGATGAGTTCGAGCCAGGGAGGTTGTCGAATGAGGAGCTGAACGAGAGAGTAGAGGCGTTCATCACAACGTTCAGACAGCATTTGGTGCTTGATGCGCGAAGAGGTAGAGACAGAGAAACTGACCAGAAGATGAGATCAAAAGACTCTGACATTAGCTTCTTAGGTCGGGAGGTCGCTTGTTCGGTTTAACAGTTTCTCTGCAATCTTCTTCTTTTTTTTTTGTTCTTTTTAAAGATTAGTTCGGTTTTGTTCGTTCTTTGGATTCGTTTCTCTTGTGGGTTTGAGCTAAATAGCTCAATATATCGCATCCTTTTTGGATATAATGTCATATATAAGAACACAAGACTATAATCAAAAATCTATATAAAAGAGCAAGAAACAGATAAATAAGTCTCCTTTTATGTTATTAAGTCAAACATTGAGAGAAACCGTAAAGATAAAGTTTAAGTCGTAGATTTATAAAGTGGGCTAAGTAAAATATGGAAAAATGTAGCTTTGAAGTAGAAGTTACAGGTCCACACTTAAGACAGCATTGCCCAAGTTCTCACTCACTCTCATGTTTCCAAGTCCATAAGACATGCGACCAACCATCTCATGGCATCAAAATGTAAAAAAACAGTGGCCTAGGCTGCGTATGGATATGACTCGAATCATGATGGAGAGAAATTCAAACTTTTTGTGTATATTTATATGATATGTATTTTTATTGTTATTATTCTTGAATTAAATTTTTTATTTCATCTATTATGAAAATACTGTTAACTGGCTTACAAAAGTTTTAGCAAAAAAATGTTTTAATTTTAGTTATGATGCAATGATGCATCCCTATTTTTTTCATACGACTTAAAAAAACTCTAGGCACGGTCTTGCATGTATACAGCCTATTATTTTAATTGTAGTGGGCACTGGTCAGTATTCAATATTTATTGATGTTTTATAATTCGAATCAGTACTCATACGATGTCCTTAAAGACAGCTAAAGTCAATGATAACTTTGATATCATCTCTGGTTAGAGTATGTTATTTGGTTTTAAATGATTTAGTTGGTCTTTCATTAATAGTAAAGATTGATGGCTATTCGAGAAAATAAATATATAGTATAGTAATGTTTTCCATAAAAAATATATAATTTTATTCACAAAGATAAATCATACCGTAGATTCCATTCTTCTGCCATTCAATTGAGTTTCTTGTTATCAAAATTTGGTCAGAAAACAGAAGTACAATCGAGGAGACACGAAAGCATGAGATATATTTTAGTAGAAATAACTAGTAGAGTACCCGCACGTTTGTGCGGTGTGACGTTGTTGTTTTGTGTAGAAAATTTAAACCCTAAATCCGAACCCGACAAAAAACCCTAATCAAAAAATTTAAAAACCCAAACTTTTTTAATAGGTCTAAACATGAAAATCCGAAATCAAAAAAATCCCGAAAACCCTGACTGAACAAAAAAAATCTGGAAACTTTTTCACCCGGAACCCGACCCCAATACCTAATCAAAATTTTAAAATACTCAATTTTTTTAATATATCTAAACCCGAAAACCAGAAATCTAAAAAATCCGGAAAACCCTAAACTGAAAAAAAAAATTGAACCTAACCCGAACAGAAATTTTCAAAGAAACCCGAACAATTTCTATATCTCTATATATATCTCTATAAAATTATGTCTCAGATTTTCACCCAAACCCGAACTTGTCTATAAAAACCCGAAAATCCAAAAAGCATATTCTATTGATTTGGAATTATCGTTAGATTATGTTAAGTTTTTTTTTTGCAGATTTTTAAGAGATGGAAAACGGAAGTTTTCTAAACCATCGGTTTATTTTAAGTTATTATTCTTGTATCCAAACAATTTTTTCCATTTATTCTTCTATCCAAATAGATTTTTCTCTTATTCTTATATCCAAACAACTTTTGTTTCCATTTATTCTTCTATCCAAATAGATGTTTCTCTAATTCTTGTATCCAAACATTAGAATGTACTTCTCAATTAATAATAAATATATAAAGATATTTTGATGCTGTTAGGAAATTTATTTTAGTGAGTCAATGCATTCTGTATATAGATACTGAACGAAAACAAAATTATTCGAAGTAAAAAAATAAAAGTAACGGGTAGAAACGAATTAACATAGAGACTTTGATGGTATCAAGTTAAAAAAATTCATACTATATATTATAACGGCCAACGGTCACTCTCTGTCACGATCGGTAGTTGCTATTTAAAACGATCAAAAGGACGTACGTGAACACATAACATTGCCCGAGAAAATCAAACACATTAAAAAAGAAGAAGATATATATGATTCCTCTTTAATATTACCGCAAGAAGTGAGAACCTTTTGGTCTTGAATAACAAAAAAAGAAGGGGGAGAGAAGACTGTGATCTGTCGTTTCCCTAAGGTCAAGGTGCTGTTGTAGTCTTTTTTCTCTGAAACATTTAATAAGAGAAGGAAAAGGAACACGGATGAAGAAGATGAAAATGAAGAGTTGGGAAAGTAGAAGATCGATATTCATGCACGCGGACGGTGTGGATTGGATGTTGATGGGATTAGGGTTAATCGGATCCATCGGTGATGGCTGCATCACTCCTACTGTATTTTTAATCATCGGATTAATACTGAACGACCTCGGTGGTACCTCATTTGGTGATGAAACCTTAATGCAATCCATATCGGAGGTCTTTTCTCTCTTCTTTGCTCTATGTTCTCTTTTTTGTGTGTCTCCATTCATTATTCCTAAGTAGACCAAACATGGCGTGATGTAAACAACTCGAGATATGTTAGGACATCGAAGTATAAAGGACCCAAATATAAGAGATGTAATCATCGATTTCAGTCATTACTAATTGGTTTTTGAGAAGTATACACATGTGAATCTTGACATGAAATGAGAGGAAGTATCTATGACGTGTAAGAGTATATATATTTCTTTCTTTTCTCCCAAGAAATTAAAAAAAGTACTAATATAATGTTATCTTCCGTTTTTTTGTACATGCTGGGTAATTAATAAACAGAAAGCGAGAGCTTTGCTTTATGTCGCTTGTGCATCTTGGGTGATATGTTTCACTGGTAAGTCTTTCAGTGAAGAAGAAAAAAATCAAACTAAATAGATATAATTTGGTGCATTTCATTGTAATAGTTTTTACTTAAGTTTGTGGATGGTTTTGCAAATACAAACAAAACAGAAGCGTTTTGCTGGACAAGAACAGGGGAGAGACAAGCATCAAAAATGAGACAAAGGTATTTAGGAGCAGTGTTAAGACAAGATGTGGGTTACTTTGATCTTAATGTCTCAAGCACTTCTGATGTTATCACAAGTGTCTCTAGTGACAGCCTCGTGATCCAAGACGTCCTTAGTGAAAAGGTCTCTCCACATTTATATTTATTTATTTACCATTCTAAACATGTTTTCTTTCTTATTTAATCATGTTTTGATGATTTTGATTTGGACCAGTTACCGAACTTTTTGATGAAAATGTCGACATTCTTCGCCAGCTACATGGTGTGTTTCATCATGCATGGAGACTCACAATCGTAGGCTTCCGTTTGCCGTCCTCCTTTTGATCCCTGGACTGATGTACGGACGAGTCCTCATCAACGTCTCAAGGAAAATACGTGAAGAGTACAATGAGGCTGGTTCTATTGCCGAGCAAGCTATCTCACTGGTGAGAACCGTTTATGCATTTGGTAGTGAGAGGAAGATGATATCGAAATTCTCAGTTGCGCTTCAAAGCTCGGTTAAGCTAGGAGTGAGACAAGGACTAGCTAAAGGAATCGCACTTGGGAGCAATGGAATCACTTATGCCATTTGGGGGTTTATGGCTTGGTACGGAAGTCGAATGGTTATGGACCATGGTGCCAAAGGCGGTACCATCTTTGTAGTCATCATATGCATCACCTTGGGTGGCCAGTAAGTATATATGATTCAACAAAAAACAAACCATACAATATTCAAGTCTCCTTAGTTTTCTTGACTCCTAGTTTTTCAGTTGAAGGATTTAACACAAAATCAAACCATACTACAGTTTTGATCTTTGGTATCCTACATTTTTGCAGAGCACTTGGTGGAGCTTTATTAAATCTTAAATATTTCTCAGAGGCCATTGTAGTAGGGGAAAGGATTATCAAAGTTATGAAAAGAATTCCCGATATTGATTCAGACAACACAGAAGGTCAGACTCTAGAGGAAATTAAAGGTGAAGTCCAATTCATGCACGTGAAGTTCATGTACCCATCTAGACCTGAAACTCCAATATTTGACGATTTATGTCTAAAAATCCCCTCTGGTAAAACTGTGGCTCTGGTGGGTGCAAGCGGATCAGGAAAATCAACTGTGATATCGCTTTTGCAAAGGTTCTATGACCCAATCGCAGGAGAGATTCTTTTAGATGGTGTATCCATACGTGAGCTGCAAGTTAAGTGGCTGAGGTCGCAAATGGGTCTAGTTAGCCAAGAACCAGCGCTCTTCGCCACATCAATAGAAGAAAACATATTATTTGGTAAAGAGGACGCATCCATTGATGAAGTTGTTGAAGCTGCAAAGGCCTCAAATGCTCATGATTTCATTTCTCAGTTCCCACATGGTTACAAAACTCAGGTTAGATATACTCCAATATTAAGAACATATTTTTAGTCAGGCTACAACATTTATTTGTTTTTTTTTTTCTTTTAAATAAAAAGGTTGGGGAGAGAGGAGTGCAAATGTCGGGAGGTCAGAAGCAAAGGATCGCAATTGCACGAGCGATAATCAAATCCCCGAAAATTCTTCTTCTAGATGAGGCAACGAGCGCGTTGGACTCAGAATCCGAAAGAGTAGTCCAAGAAGCTTTAGACAATGCCTCTCTTGGCCGTACAACTATTGTGATAGCCCATCGCCTCTCTACCATTCGTAATGCTGATGTTATTTATGTAGTTGATAATGGCCGTGTTGTAGAAACTGGATCACATGAAGAGCTCATGAAGAACTTAGATGGTCAATATACTTCTCTAGTCCGGTTACAACAGATGGAGGATGAAGAATCATATGGTGACAACAGCGTAAATGTGCCAGAGGGTCAAATCCCGATTTTGAGCAAAGATTTGAAGCACCCTATTCAAAACCAAGCTAACTTGTTAAAGACTTCAAGCGTTGATACAAATCTTTCAAGTTTGACACGCAAGGTTAAGAAGCCGCCTGTGCCATCATTTAAGAGAATGATGGCGCTGAACAGAACAGAGTGGAAACAAGCATTGTATGGTTGCATAAGTGCAGCTTTATTTGGGGCTGTAACACCAATTTATGCATATGCTTCGGGATCAATGGTGTCAGTTTATTTCCTAACGGATCATGACGAGATGAAGAAGAAAACGAGGATCTACGCGTTGTCTTTTCTTGGTCTATCTATCATGTGTTTCTTGATCAGTATTGTTCAACATTATAGTTTTGCTTACATGGGGGAAAACCTAACAAAACGTATCCGTGAAAAGATGCTCTCGAAGATATTGACCTTTGAAGTCAGTTGGTTCGATGAAGATGAGAACTCGAGTGGTGCAATTTGCTCTAGACTTGCAAAAGAAGCTAACTTCGTATGTCTTGATCACTTTACTAAATTAATTTCAGTGAACAATTTTTTTATATTCATCATCAGTTCTTGATAATCTAGTGTTTTGTGATAATAGGTGAGATCTCTGGTAGGTGAAAGGATGTCATTACTGATAGAAACCATATCAACAGTGAGCATAGCTTTCACACTTGGTTTGGTCATCGCATGGCGATTAGCCATAGTGATGATCGCTGTGCAACCAGTGATTATTATGTGTTTCTACACTCAACGTGTTCTGCTCAAGAGCATGTCAAAAAAAGCTCTTAAAGCCCAAGATGAGAGCAGCAAACTAGCCGCAGAAGCTGTCTCCAACATCCGAACCATTACAGCTTTCTCCTCACAAGAACGGATCTTGAAAATACTCAAAATGTTTCAAGAAGGTCCACGTAAAGAAAGTGTTCGCCAATCGTGGTTAGCCGGGATTGTGCTGGGAACTTCACGAAGTCTCATAACGTGCACTTCGGTCTTGAACTACTGGTACGGTGGAAGACTAATTTCTCAAGGGAAGATCACGTCAAAAGCATTCTTTGAGATGTTTAGCGTCTTTGTGAGCGCTGGTTGGGTTATTGCAGATGCTGGGGCCACGACGACGGATCTTGCCAAGGGCTCAGATGCAGTTGGGTCTGTTTTTGCAGTGTTAGATCGATGCACAACCATTGAGCCAGAAAACCCTAATGGATTTCTTGCAGAGAAAGTAAGTGGACAAATCGAGTTTCTCAACGTAGACTTCGCTTACCCAACAAGACCAAACATGCTTATATTCAAAGACTTCTCCATTGAGATAGAAGAGGGAAAGTCAACAGCAATTGTGGGTCCGAGTGGGTCAGGTAAATCCACAATAGTTGGCTTGATCGAGCGGTTCTATGATCCTTTAAAGGGTACTGTAAAAATAGATGGTCATGATATAAGATCGTATCATCTGAGATCGCTTCGTCAACACATTGCTTTAGTTAGCCAAGAGCCAACGTTGTTCTCCGGGACTATCCGAGAGAACATCATGTACGGAGGAGCATCTGACAAGATCGACGAGTCAGAGATCATCGAGGCGGCCAAGGCAGCGAACGCTCACGATTTCATCACATCACTATCCAACGGCTATGACACACATTGCGGGGACAGAGGAGAGCAATTGTCCGGTGGACAAAAACAGAGAATCGCGATCGCTCGAGCGGTGCTGAAGAACCCTTCGGTGTTGCTCCTCGACGAAGCTACGAGCGCTTTAGACAGTCAGTCGGAGCGCGTGGTTCAAGACGCACTCGAGCGCGTGATGGTGGGAAGGACGAGCGTTGTGATTGCACACAGGCTGAGCACGATCCAGAACTGCAACGCGATCGCAGTTTTGGACGAAGGAAAAATAATCGAACATGGGACCCACTCGTCTTTGTTGGCAAAGGGTCCCACGGGTGCTTATTTCTCATTGGTCAGTCTCCAGAACACTCTCTCTTGAAGTTGAAGGTCCATTTCTTTCTCATGTTTCTCGCTCCCTCTGCTGAAAACATAAAGCGAGCCTCAATGACAATGTGATTCTTTGCAATTACGACCAGAGTGTCTCAAAAAGAAAATTAATTAAAAAGCAAAGTGTATTGCTTCTAATTTTTGATAGTATAACACACATGATAAAGTTAAAATTTTCATATATATCAAAAGACCAACGATCACCCTCTGTCTCAGTAGTTGCTATATAAAACGATCAAGAAGACGTGAACAGATGTCACTACACGAGAAAATAAACCACTCATAAAAAAAAAAGATTTATGATTCGTCTTTAATATTACCGCAAGAATGAAAACCTTCCAGTCTTGAATTAAAAGAAAAAGAAGACACTTATCAAAAAAAAAGAAAAGAAAAGAGAAGACTGTGAGCTGTCGTCGTTTGCCTAAGGTCACGGGGTCGTTATAGGCTTTTTCTCTGAAACATTTAAGAAGAGAAGGAAAAAGGAGATGTGCAGGAATAAGATGAAAATGAAGAGTTGGGAAAGCCTAAGATCGATATTTATGCACGCAGACAGTGTGGATTGGATGTTGATGGGATTAGGGTTAATCGGAGCCGTAGGTGATGGCTGCATAACTCCAACTGTATTTTTAATCGTCGCCTTACTACTCAACGACCTTGGTGGTTCCTCATTCGGTGATGAATCCTTCATGCAATCCATCTCAGAGGTTTTTTGTCTCTTCATTACTCTATGTTCTCTGTTTTATTTTTTTTTGGTCTCCGTGCTTCCTAATATTTATAGCATATTAGACATAAGAATCATTCAATTTAGTCATTGCTAATTGGTTTTCAGATGGAAACACATGTGAATACGTAAAATGACAGGAAGAAAATCATTGATGCTTAAGACTAAGAGTATATAAATTAATTTTCTATTTTCCTACGGAAAGAGTACTAATGTATCTTCCTTTTTTGTACACATTGGCTAATTAATTTACAGAAAGCTAGAGCTTTGCTTTATGTCGCTTGTGCAGCTTGGGTGATTTGTTTCATTGGTAAGTTGTCCTGATAATAATTATTTCCCTTTCTTAGCTAAAATAAAAAATAAAACTCAAAGTAAATAAATTTGGTATATATCATTATAATTTATGTTTGTGGATGGCTTTGCAAATACAAACAAAACAGAAGCATATTGCTGGACAAGAACAGGGGAGAGACAAGCATCAAAAATGAGACAGAGGTACTTAAGAGCAGTGTTAAGACAAGATGTGGGTTACTTTGACCTTAATGTCTCAAGCACTTCCGATGTTATCACAAGTGTCTCTAGTGACAGCCTCGTGATCCAAGACGTTCTCAGTGAAAAGGTCTTTATCATTCTAGTAATGTTTTCTTGTTTTTAGTAAGCTTTAATATGATTATTTTATTTTGTACCAGTTGCCGAATTTTTTGATGAATGTGACCATGTTTCTCGCAAGCTACATCGTGAGTTTCATCATGATGTGGAGACTCACAATCGTAGGCTTACCTTTCATCGTCCTCCTTTTGATCCCTGGACTGATGTACGGAAGAGTCCTCATCAACGTCTCCAGGAAAATACGTGAAGAGTACAATGAGGCTGGTTCTGTTGCCGAGCAAGCCATCTCACTTGTGAGAACTGTTTATGCATTTGGAAGTGAGAAGAAGATGATATCGAAATTCTCAGCTGCGCTTCAAATCTCGGTGGAGCTAGGGGTGAGACAAGGACTAGTTAAAGGAATTGCACTTGGGAGCCATGGTATTACTTATGCCAATTGGGGTTTTATGACTTGGTACGGAAGTCGGATGGTTATGGACCATGGTGCTAAAGGTGGTACCATCTTTGCAGTCATCGTATGCATCACCTTGGGTGGAATGTAAGTATATATTTTCAAGGCTCCTTACTTTCCTTGACACAAAAAAAACAAAACAAACCTTACTATAATTTTTAATTTTTCGTATCTTACATTTTTTCAGATCACTTGGTGGAGGTTTGTTAAATCTTAAATATTTCTCAGAAGCTGTTGTAGCAGGGGAAAGGATTATCAAAGTGATTGAAAGAGTTCCCGATATTGATTCAGAAAACACAGAAGGTCAGACTTTAGAGAATATTATAGGAGAGGTGCAATTTAACCATGTGAAATTTATGTACCCGTCTAGACCAGATACCCCAATCTTTGAAGATTTGTGTCTAACAATTCCATCTGGTAAAACTGTGGCTCTGGTGGGTGGAAGCGGATCAGGAAAATCTACTGTGATATCGCTTTTGCAAAGGTTCTATGACCCAATCGCTGGAGAGATTCTTTTAGATGGTGTTTCCATACGTGAGCTGCAAGTTAAGTGGTTGAGGTCGCAAATGGGTCTAGTTAGCCAAGAGCCAGCGCTATTCGCCACATCGATCGAAGAAAACATATTATTTGGTAAAGAGGATGCATCCATGGATGAAGTTGTGGAAGCTGCAAAATCCTCAAATGCTCATGATTTCATTTCTCAGTTCCCTCATGGTTACAAAACTCAGGTTAGATTCTACTTTTAAGAACAAGTTATATTATGTATTTTTTTTAGGTGGATCAAGACGTATATCCATGTTTTTTTTTTGCTTTTAATAATTCACAAAGGTTGGAGAGAGAGGAGTGCAAATGTCAGGAGGTCAGAAGCAGAGGATTGCGATTGCACGAGCGATAATCAAATCACCAAAAATTCTTCTTCTAGACGAAGCAACAAGCGCGTTGGACTCAGAATCCGAAAGAGTTGTCCAAGAAGCCTTAGACAATGCCACTCTTGGCCGCACAACTATTGTTATTGCTCACCGCCTCTCTACCATCCGCAATGCTGATATGATTTATGCAGTTCATAATGGTCTCATTGTAGAAACTGGAACACACGAAGAGCTCATGGAGAACAAAGATGGTCAATATTCTTCTCTAGTCCGTTTACAACATATGGAGAATGAAGAATCAAATGTTAACAAAACTGAATCAAATGGTAACATCAGCTCAAGTATTCCAGAGGGTCAATCCTTAAGTTTGAGTAAAGAGTTGAGGTCTAGTTCAATCCTCCCTGTTCAAAGTGGGGATGACTTCGTAAAGACTTTAAGAGATAAGAAGCTTATGCCATCGTTTAAGAGATTGTTGGCGATGAATAGACCAGAGTGGAAACATGCACTATATGGTTGCTTAAGTGCAGCCTTATATGGGGCCATATCGCCAATTTATTCATATGCTTCGGGATCAATGGTGTCAGTGTATTTCCTAACGAATCATGGCGAGATGAAGGATAAAACAAGGTTCTACGTGTTGTTACTTGTTGGTCTAGCTATCTTCTCTTTCTTTATCAATATCATTCAACATTACAGTTTTGCTTACATGGGGGAATACCTAACAAAACGTATCAGAGAAGAGATGCTCAAAAAGATTTTAACCTTTGAAGTCAACTGGTTCGATGAAGATGAGAACTCGAGTGGTGAAATTTGCTCTAGACTTGCAAAAGAAGCTAACTTGGTATGACTTTCACATTACTAATTTTAACTTCATTGAACAGATCTTTACCAGTTATTGATCTTGTAATGTTTTTTTTTCATGATAGGTGAGATCGTTGGTTGGTGAACGGATGTCATTAGTGGTACAAACTATATCAACAGTGATCATAGCTTGCACACTTGGTTTTGTCATCGCATGGCGATTAGCCATAGTGATGATTGCGGTGCAGCCAGTGATTATTATGTGCTTCTACACTCAACGTGTTCTGCTTAAGACCATGTCGAAAAAGGCTATTAAAGCCCAAGATGAGAGCAGCAAACTAGCCGCAGAAGCTGTCTCCAACATCCGAACCATCACAGCTTTCTCGTCGCAGGAACGAATCTTGAAAGTACTCAAAGTTGTTCAAGAAGGTCCACGTAAAGAAAGCGTCCGCCAATCGTGGTTAGCAGGGACTGTCCTCGCAACTTCGAGAAGCCTCTTAACGTGCAGCTCGATCCTGAATTATTGGTACGGTGGTAAACTCATCAGTGAAGGGAAAATCACGTCAAAAGCATTCTTTGAGGTGTTTACGGTCTTTTTGAGTATGGGTTGGGTTATTGCCGACGCTGGAGCCATAACGACGGATATAGCCAAGGGCTCGGATGCCGTTGGATCTGTTTTTAATGTGTTAGATCGATGCACAACCATTGAGCCGGAAAACCCTAATGGATTTCTTGCAGAGAAAATAAAGGGACAGATCGAGTTTTTCAATGTGGACTTCGCTTACCCAACAAGACCAAATGTAACTATATTCAAAGACTTCTCCATTGAGATAGAGGAGGGAAAGTCAACGGCAATAGTAGGTCCGAGTGGTTCAGGTAAATCCACAATCATTGGTTTGATCGAGCGGTTTTATGACCCGTTAAAGGGTATTGTAAAAATCGATGGTCGTGATATAAAGTCTTATCATCTAAGATCACTTCGTCAACACGTAGCTTTGGTTAGCCAAGAGCCGGCGTTATTCTCCGGGACTATCAGAGAGAACATCTTGTATGGAGGAACAGCTGACAAGATCGACGAGTCGGAGATCATCGAGGCGGCGAAGGCAGCGAACGCTCACGATTTCATCACATCACTATCCAACGGTTATGACACGTATTGCGGGGACAGAGGAGAGCAGTTGTCTGGTGGACAAAAACAGAGGATTGCGATTGCTCGAGCGGTGCTGAAGAACCCTTCGGTGTTGCTCCTCGACGAAGCCACGAGTGCTTTGGACAGTCAATCAGAGCGTGTGGTGCAAGACGCGCTCGAGCGCGTGATGGTTGGGAGGACAAGTGTTGTGATCGCACATAGACTGAGCACGATCCAGAACTGCAACGCGATCGCGGTTTTGGACGAAGGAAAAATAATCGAATGTGGGACCCATTCGTCCTTGTTGGCAAAGGGTCCAATGAGTGCTTATTTCTTATTGGTCAGTCTCCAGAACACTCTCTCTTGAAGGTCACAAGATGTGGTGTATAAATAATTAAATACATCTCTTTCGCATGTTTGTGGCTTCCTCTGCTAAAAACATGAAGCTGAGTTTGACGTATTTTTTTAGATTTATTTCTCAGGGATTAGGGATATATCATATATGGCGAGTTCTTGCACTGATTTAGTTTTTGTCTGTTTTGTATCCTCATAGAATGACTTTAAGAAAAATTAAAAGAAAAAAATACTATATAGGTTTTCAAAAAAAAAAAAAAAAAATCCTTAAAAGTGAATAGATTCGCTAGCAGACGTTAATTCTTTATATTTAGTTCTTCTAGTATTGAATTGAATAAATTCAAAGATAGGTCCTATGATCATTAGTCGCGACGTGGGAGACACGAAACATAAGTAAATTGTGGAGTACGTAAACGGGTGACATGATGATGCATGCACGTTACCAAAGTAATAATCTTAAATACAAATCACATATTTATTTATTTTTCGGTAAAATACAAATCAAATCACATAAAAGACTTTAGAGAGATTTAAGATCATCACAGATAAATTGAGAGGAATTGATTAAAGTATTTGATTGTACAAGACTACAAAATAAAATTCTGAAGTTCCGATAGGTTAGCGGTGTTGAGCGACGAGCGCTTAAGCGCGTAACTGTGGGGAGGACAGTTTAAAGCAACAGTTTTTATTTAAAAATGACAATCAAATTCTTAAACAATGTGTACTATGCATGTTGAATCAGGATGAATATATAAATTCTTCCACAGATCACTTACTACGAGTCTACGACTAGAGATATTACTAAAGAAAAATAAAACCATTAAATAAAAATGAAAGAGTTGTGCATGCCAATGCACGGCACATGACTAGCATATGCCATATGGGATTGCTAGCAGGTTTGTTCAAAAAAAAAAAAAAAAAAAAAAAAAAAAAAAAAAAAGGGATTGCTAGCAGGTTTTAATGTGGCAGCAAGACGTAATCAATTCCATACATGTTGTGTGTTTAAAGAATCTTGATAGATACTGAATGTATTAATTAAAGATAAATATTTTTAAGAATACAAATATAATTAAATTAGTAAATCTTTAGCAAAAAATAAAAATAAATTAGTAAATCAGGGACAAGCACGAACTAATTTTATTTCTTATGATATATGTAAAGACAGCTAAAGTCAATGATAAACTGATAACCTGTCTGATTATAGTATATTATTTGTTTTAAAATGATGTAGTTGGTCTTTAATTAACAGTTTGAATGATGATTATACGTGCAGATAATATATATACTACTCCAGAAACATTTTCCACAAATAAAATTAATAAAAAAAAATGTAGATTTGATTTTTCTGGCCTTCAATAAAGTCTATTTAAAATTTGGTCAGAAATAGAAGTACTAGCTAGGTGGGAAACAGGTGACTATATATGTATGTGTTCTGATTAGTGATGATTCGTTTAAAAATCACTGTGGTGAAAACTAGTGACTATATATGTATGTGTTCTGATTTCTGAATATAGATACAGAACAAAAACAAATACATTCAAAGTTAAAAAATAAAAAAAAGGTACGCGTACAAACGAATTAAAATAGGGAATCTGATGATGCTATAAAATAAAACACATGGTACAAAATCAAAATTTTCATATAAATAAATGGTTACCCTCAATCTCTGTTGCTATATAAAACGATCAAGAAGACTTGAACAAATATCATTACACGACAAATTCCACACGAAAAAAGAAGAAGAAGAAGATATGATTCCTCCCTCTTTAATATTAGCGCAAGAAGTGAGAACCTTTTGGTCTTGAAATAAAAAAAGAGAGAAAACTGTGAGCTGTCGTTTCCCTAAGGCCAAGGTGTCGTTTTAGGCCTTTTCTCTGCAACAGTTGAGAAGAGAAGGAAAAGGAGACGTGGAGCAAGAAGACGAAAATGAAGAGTTGGGAAAGCATACGATCGATATTCATGCACGCGGATGGTGTTGATTGGATCTTGATGGGATTCGGGTTAATCGGATCCGTATGTGATGGCTGCATCGCTCCTATTGTATTTTTCATCACCAGCTTGCTACTGAACGACATCGGTGGTTCCTCATTCGGTGATGAAAGATTCATGCAAGCCATCTTGAAGGTCTTTTCTCTCTTTTTAATAACTCTATGTTCTCAGTTTTTTTTTTTTGTTTTGTCTCCATTGTTCCTCAGTAGACATGGCAAGTAGGCCAAATATATATATGTAATATGTTAGGACTTAGGACATAGGACCCAATATATAGATAAGGGATATTAGTCATCCAGTTGAGTAATTGGCTAATTGCTAACTGGTTTTAAAATGGAAACACACATGTCAATCTTTTTTTGTTTTTCCTAAGAAAGAGTATTAATGCATCTTCCTTTTTCTGTACACGTTTGGTACCAGAATGCTAGAGCTTTGCTTTATGTCGCTTGTGCAGCTTGGGTGATATGTTTCACTGGTAAGTCTTTTAAGTTAATTATGTTTGTTTAATTCTTTCCTTTTAAAGCTAACAAAAAGCCAAAGTGAATAAACTTGGTACATAATCATAATTTATATTTAAGTTTGTGGATGGTTTTGGAAATACAAACAAACAGAAGCATTTTGCTGGACAAGAACAGGGGAGAGACAATCATCAAAAATGAGACAGAGGTACTTAGGAGCAGTGTTAAGACAAGATGTGGGTTACTTTGATCTCAATGTCTCAAGCACTTCTGATGTTATCACAAGTGTCTCTAGTGACAGCCTCGTGATCCAAGACGTCCTCAGTGAAAAGGTCTCTCCATATTTCTATCTTTATTTGCCATTCCATTATTCCAATCATGTTACCTTTCTCTGAATCCCGGTTTTGATGATTTTGATTTCAACCAGCTACCGGATTTTTTGAAGAATACATCGGTGTTTTTCGTAAGCTACATCGTGAGTTTCATCATGCTATGGAGACTCACAATCCTAGGCTTACCATCTATCGTCCTCCTCTTGATCCCTGGACTAATGTACGGACGAGTCCTCATCAACATCTCGAGGAAAATACGTGAAGAGTACAATGAAGCTGGTTCTATTGCCGAGCAAGCCATCTCACTGGTGAGAACTGTTTATGCATTTGGTAGTGAGAGGAAAATGTTATCAAAATTCTCAGCTTCGCTTCAAGGCTCGGTGAAGCTAGGGCTGAGACAAGGACTAGTTAAAGGAATGGCCCTTGGGAGCAATGGCATCTCTTATGCCAATTGGGGGTTTATGACTTGGTTCGGAAGTCGAATGGTTATGAACCACGGTGCCAAAGGCGGTACCATCTTTGCAGTCATTGTATGCATCAACATGGGTGGCAAGTAAGTATATATTTTCAAGGCTCCTTTGTTTTGCTTGACACGCAAACAAACCATTCTTTATCTAACATTTTTTTTTTCAGAACATTTGGTCGAGGTTTGTCGAATCTTAAATATTTCTCAGAGGCGGCTGTAGCAGGGGAAAGGATTATCAAAATGATTAAAAGAGTTCCCAATATCGATTCATATAACACAGAAGGTCAAATTCTAGAGAAGATTACAGGAGAAGTCCAATTTAAGCACGTGAAATTCATGTACCCGTCTAGACCAGAAACCCTAATCTTTGAGGATCTATGTTTGAGAATTCCCTCTGGAAAAACTGTGGCTCTAGTAGGCGGAAGCGGATCTGGAAAATCAACTGTGATCTCGCTTTTGCAAAGATTCTATGATACGGTTGCTGGAGAGATTCTGATAGATGGTGTATCCATACGTGAGCTGCAAGTTAAGTGGTTGAGGTCGCAAATGGGTCTAGTTAGCCAAGAGCCAGCGCTCTTCGCCACATCGATAGAAGAAAACATATTATTTGGTAAAGAGGATGCATCCATTGACGAAGTTGTTGAAGCCGCAACGGCCTCAAATGCTCATGATTTCATTTCTCAGTTCCCACATGGTTACAAAACTCAGGTTAGTATAAAATATTAATAACAAGTTGATTATGTTTTCTTTTTAGTTGGATGATGACATATATCTTTTTTTTTTTAATAAACAAAAAAGGTTGGAGTGAGAGGAGTGCAAATGTCAGGGGGTCAAAAGCAAAGGATCGCCATTGCACGTGCCATAATCAAATCACCGGCAATTCTTCTTCTAGATGAGGCAACAAGCGCGTTGGACTCAGAATCCGAAAGGGTAGTCCAAGAAGCTTTAGACAATGCCTCTCTTGGCCGTACAACTATTGTTATTGCCCATCGCCTCTCTACCATTCGTAATGCTGATGTTATTTATGTAGTTGATAATGGCCGTGTTGTAGAAACTGGATCACATGAAGAGCTCATGAAGAACTTTGATGGTCAATATACTTCTCTAGTCCGCTTACAGCAGATGAATCAGAATGAAGAATCAGATTCAGATGGTAACATAAACGTAAGTGTGCAAGGGAGTCAATTCTCGATTTTGAGCAAAGATTTGAAGTATGGTCCAAAGCTCCCTATTCCAAGCCAGGCTATCTTGTTAAAGACTTCAAGCATTGACGCGGATCTTTCTTCTTCGATAGTTAAGGATAAGAAGAAGAAGCCACCTGTGCCATCGTTTAAGAGAATGATGGCGATGAACAGACCAGAGTGGAAACAAGCATTGTGTGGTTGCATAAGTGCAGCCTTATATGGGGCTGTACAGCCAACTTCTTCATTTGTTTCGGGATCAATGGTTTCAGTTTACTTCCTTACGAATCACGACGAGATGAAGGAGAAAACGAGGATGTACGTGTTGCTTTTTCTTGGTCTAGCTATATTCACTTTCTTGATCAATATTAGTCAGCATTATAGCTTTGCTTACACGGGGGAATATCTAACGAAACGTGTCCGAGAGAAGATGCTCTCAAAGATTTTGACCTTTGAAGTCAATTGGTTCGATGAGGACGAGAACTCGAGTGGTGCCATTTGCTCTAGACTAGCAAAAGAAGCTAATGTGGTATGTTTTCCACCTTACTAATTTGAACAAATATTTCTACCGATTTCTTGATCTTGTAATGTTTTGTTATGATAGGTGAGATCGCTGGTTGGTGATCGGGCTTCATTGTTGGTACATACTATATCGGCAGTGACAGTAGCGTGCACACTTGGTTTAGCCATCGCTTGGAGATTAGCCATAGTGATGATTGCGGCGCAGCCAGTGGTCATTGTGTGCTTCTACACCCAACGTGTTCTGCTCAAGAAAATGTCGAAAAAGGCTATTAAATCCCAAGACGAGAGCAGCAAACTAGCCGCGGAAGCTGTCTCCAACATCCGAACCATCACAGCTTTTTCGTCACAAGAACGGATCTTGAAACTACTCGAAACGGTTCAAGAAGGTCCACGGAGAGAAAGCATCCGCCAGTCGTGGTTAGCTGGGATTGTGCTCGCAACTACACGAAGCCTCATAAGTTGCACAGCCGTTTTGAATTACTGGTACGGTGGTAAACTCATCAGTGAAGGAAAAATCACGTCAAAAGCATTCTTTGAGATGTTTAGCGTCTTTGTAACTGAGCGGGTTGGGTTATTGCCGACGCTGGAGCCATGACGACGGATCTAGCCAAGGGCTCGGATGCAGTTGGGATCTGTTTTTGCAGTGTTAGATCGACGCACCACCATTGAGCCGGAGAACCCTAATGGATATCTTGCAGAGAAAGTAAAGGGACAAATCGAGTTTCTTAATGTGGACTTCGCTTATCCAACACGACCAGATGCGATTATATTCAAAGACTTCTCTATTGAGATAGAGGAAGGCAAGTCGACGGCGATTGTGGGTCCAAGCGGGTCAGGTAAATCGACAATCATTGGCTTGATCGAGCGGTTTTATGATCCGTTAAAGGGTATTGTCAAAATCGATGGTCGTGATATAAAGACGTACCATTTGAGATCGCTTCGTCGACACATAGCTTTGGTTAGCCAAGAGCCAACACTGTTTTCCGGGACTATCCGAGAGAACATCTTGTACGGAGGAGCATCTGACAAAATCGACCAGTCGGAGATCATTGAGGCGGCGAAGGCAGCGAACGCTCACGATTTCATCACATCACTATCCAACGGTTATGACACGTATTGCGGGGACAGAGGAGAACAGTTGTCCGGTGGACAAAAACAGAGAATCGCAATCGCTCGAGCTGTGCTGAAGAATCCTTCGGTATTGCTTCTGGACGAAGCGACAAGTGCTTTGGACAGCCAGTCGGAGCGCGTGGTGCAAGAGGCGCTCGAGCGCGTGATGGTTGGGAGGACGAGCGTTGTGATCGCACATAGGCTGAGCACGATCCAGAACTGCAACGCGATCGCAGTTTTAGACAAAGGGACACTAGTCGAACACGGGACCCACTCGTCCTTGTTGGCGAAGGGTCCTACAGGTGCTTATTTCTCATTGGTCAGTCTCCAGAGAAATCTACATTGAAGGTCTCATTAGTTTAACGTATTTATTTAGATTCTAATTTTTTCTATGATAATTCAATGAATGATTTTGTAAGTGTATACCCACCCAAATTGAAATCAATGTATGTTAAGCGGAGAAGCTATTTTTGTTAAACAGAGAAGTTTTTGTAACTGGTTTGTTTCGACTGCTATTAGTTGACACATTTGGCAGTTGAAATATTAATTAAGTGCATACTAATCCGTCTGAGGCCAAACAGAGTAAGCCCATTGTATGTATGTTTTAGATTTTGTTTGGAAACTCATACTACTGGTCTCAAGAACGTGGCTAAGATGTGCGTTCTCAAGTAATATATCTCTGACATGCTTTCATAGTTGCTATTTGCTTATGTAAAGAAAACCGTAGCTCATGAAGTTTGGTTACACAGATTTCAAGAAATTGACTGTACCATCATGCATATCTAGCAAACTTTCTTAGATCCTAAGGTGAAAGAAATGTCTTACATTCTTGGTAAACGAGTAAATCGATCTTCCCTCTAACATGTAACATTTGCTTGCTTAACTAAGACTCCACCATCTGCAAAGAAGAACAAATATCTTGTCAAGGCGAAAGCAAGCAGACAAAATGTAATTAATATCTTATATAAAACTACAAGCTCAGTCTACATATACTAGGCACAGTAACGAGGACTTGGACAATAATATTCAGTCATGTTAACAAATACTATCGAGTAGGAGAAAAATTAAGAACCCAGCATGATGAAACAACTAGCCTAGTCCTGCTGTTTTATATAAACGGAAAAAGAAACTATAGATCATATGTTGTGAGAAGGATGAGTGAGTGTTTCAGGTGTGACGGTGTTCTAAGGTGTGTATAACATTCCTAGTCCCCTAAGTGAGAGCCAGATACTTAATCACCACCAGTCTCTTCAGTCTTCACTATGCTATAAAATTCACACATTACGTTTCTTGAAATTCTAGCTACTCAAACAAGTGAACATGTCTACATTCTTTCAGGATGACATTCGACCTAAAAAGAGGCAGAACCTATGATGCCTTTTCCTGACTATACGGTTTATGGATGCTCCATAGACTACAAAAGTCTTTTTTAATGTGGAAAATAATCTGAACATGGACACATAAGACCGTATGTCAACATTCCTTATAAGCTCATAACGTAGGAATATAAAAGCTTTTGGTTCCAATATTTCGATGGCATTGCGCAAAAGTTGTTGTTTAGAAATGAGAAAAATTAGTTTGTAAGGGTAAACATACTTGATCTCCCTGAAGAAATAAGCTCAAGACTTCCAAATTTTCTGCCTGGCAATGTTGGCATTGGCATCTCTTTTGCAGCTCCTCCCCGAGTGAAGCCAATGTCTGTTCCAACTCAGAAGCCTGCGTGTTTTCCATCAAGGAAACCAATTCTTTTGAAAGAATGGCAAATGTAAAATAAAAGTCACAATCACTGGCTTCTGCATAGTGCAGGCTGTCTCAGAAAGAACAGGACTAGTTGGTTTAAATGTGATAAATGATTGCTACGACCTCAGCTCAGTAGCCAACGAAAATAAGGATATCTAGCGAGAACTTGCACTGAGTTAGTTTTCTCTGTTATGGCCTCCATGAGTGACATTTTCTTCTCATACTCATCCAGTTCCTTCTTCAGCTACAGATAGAAAAACCGAGTTTTATCAATTCCAAATTGTTCACGTCAAAGAATGGCAGAGGAGTAAACTTCCAAGCATACAATTGAAAAAAAAAAAAAAAAAAAGAGGAGACTAAACTCTTGGTCCATTATTACCTGTTCTTGTATGTTCTGCTCTGCCAAGTATCCTTCTTCCTCTTCTGCTAATTGAGAACTTAAATCGGATAGAAAATCCCTGATAGCTTCTGAATCAGCTCCACAACCATCCTCAAAAACTTTAACATCTGCTATTACGAAACATATACACAAGCCACCGCCTCTTAATAAACAGTGCCAAGTTATACAAGAAGAGTAAACTGCGTGCAAGCATTGGCTACTCACTTGACGTTATGCCATTACTATCATCATTTCCCAAACTGGAGTCTACATTTCTCTGGAACTCCCTGTTACCAAGCAAGCAACTTAATATGTTGCAGCAGCGTAAGACTTAAAAGTGCACAGAATAGTAAATCACACCTTATTTCCTTGTTCAGCTCAACCATATGGCTTATAAACTCATCTCTGTATCACAAAGAGAATAAGAAATTAGCAAACACAGCCTACGTTTATCTCAAGAAGTATAATCAATTAAGGTGTTAGAGAGATGAAACCACCTAAGTAATCCTTCCTTGTTCTTTGTTTTCACCAACCACCACATCAAGCAAGCCATACACGAAAAATTCCAGAATTTCAAACAGAGGAAACAATCAACCATAACCACTGAAAACTTTTATGAACAGAGTGTAATCAAAACCTTAAGAGCATCCACTTCATTGCCAACAGTTGAAATTTCATCCTGAAGAAGAGCAATCCTCGACTGAAAAAAATTACAGTTTCCAAGCAAAACCTTATCAAAACTCATTCTATGCACCAAAAGCTCTAAGCATCCAACAAACCACATGAATTAAGGGAAAATAGAAACCTCCAGAGATTGAATCGTAGCATCGTTCAAAGACAATTCAACTTCGTAGCCGTTGAGCTCCTCCTCTGCCACTTCTTTGATACGCTTCGCATGCTCAACTTCTGCATTCGCTGCTTCCACTTCCGACTGTAGAGACTCGATCCGCTTCTTCAACCCAACCACTCTTTGCTCTAGACGAGAAAATCACCACCCAATCAGAACCATAATTTTTCTAATCAGATCGAATCGCATACTAGCATCGCCTAAACAATAAATTTCACGAAAAAAACCCAATCGAATTGCAGATCAGTTTCTCTAGCATCTATCCAACTTTTTTTTTTCAAATTTCAGCTAGAGAAGCCTTCCGATTCTTCACTGTTGTCTTCTTCGCGCAATCTAGAGACCTTAAATCAGAAGAAATCTTACCTCCTCGAGATCTTTCAGAGGTGAAGTCGCGGATCAGAGAGAGAAGCTGCTTCTGTGTATCCATTCCCGCCATTGTTTCTTCGTGTGTAGCTTGCTTGCTCTACTGAAAAATATCTCAGTTTCTTCTTCCACCTGAAACCGTTGGGCGTCTTTACGAGAGGCGCAATAATCAGAAACGTCGGCCCATATGGAGCCCAAAATATTTAAGCCCATATATCTTGGGGATGTTAATAACGGTATGGAAGCTGACACGTGTTCCGCATGCCCAATTTTGACTTGTCTTTATGAAAAACACAACCCCTACAATTGTAGTATAAGGCTATAAGGCTATACCGTATAACCTAAGAATTTTATTAAGAGCAAATTGTTTCTTCGCCAATCAGATTCAAACAGCGTATTTCATGTTTTTTTATGTTATTTGCAGAAAGATACGAAGAAATAGTCACCAAGGCACTGTTCTTGGAGAATCTGTGAACAGAGAAACCATGGAACTGTTTCTTGGAGAATCTGTGAACAGGTAAATGTTCATAGGATCCACATAGAAGCCACGTCGAATCCACCATATCTGAATGTTATTTTTTCGATCCTAAGATTTTATTGCGAAATTGACTATTTTAGACTATAATGGAATACACCTTGAAGTAATTAAACTTCTCCTCAATAAATCTTTGTTGGACAAAGTTATTACATGAGTTGTTTTCATTATATACTTCACCAAACAAAGATAATGTACACACATATATATTAATATATATAACAACAAAATAATAAGGATGTTGGTATATTAATAATAATACTTAGTTATCTTGTTGCATTAACGGTTGGATATATAGTACTAAATGGGGACTTTTTTTAAGATAACATATAGTTGGTATACCGTATAGTTCTTTGATAAATTGAATATATTAAAATAGTGATAGTATGTAGATGTACACGTTGAGAGATGAAGAATGATGTGAGGGTCAGTGGGTGTGAAGGAGTGTTATATAATCACTACTAGTAGGCCAAGTTGAAAAGCAATGGTTGATGATTGATGAGTGAGGGCTGATAGCTGATGAGCCCTTTTGCCACATATGAAAACCTGCAACACTTATGATTTGGTGGGATATGTTTTGCTCGAGCTTCTTTAGTGAATGCATGAATGAATGTATGTAGTTCGAGTAAAGTGGAATTTGGTTTTCGTATAATCAAGACATGATATGACATGACATATTTTTAATTAAGCACTAGCTCACTCACTCTCAAAAACTTCCACTTTCTTTCTTTTTCTTATCTTTCTCTCGAACAATATTAAAATATGTAAACTGAAAAGCCGTACGTATGATGTAAGAAAAATAATTGTAAGATGCAATTGTATATATAAACATGTAAATATAAGTCTATACGTATTCACATATATATTAGATGTAATTTAGCTTCTGTTGATCCAAGCGTGAAAACATATATTAACTGAAAAACGTGAATCTAATTAGCATTTAATTTAGTAAATGAAATGTGTTTGCAATTGCCAATTGGCATGTGACTACTATGACGACGAATATGGAGAAGCAGAAATTTATTGGTTTTTCCATGGGAATACGTACAATCAATGGAATCAAGTAATGTAATATGCAATCAGAGGAGATAGTAAGGCTGTTGGTTCCATGATGTTGTTGGGGCTCTGTGCTCGCCGGGGAATGAACTTGGGAGAGAGTGAGTGAGTTCATCTAGTTCCAGTGGCCAGTGTAGCTCTGTCTTTGTTTTGAGGCCTAGGATTTTGTTGGTGGAGCGTCGCTACATAGATATTGAGGAAGACTCAATGTCTTGCTCGAGCCTCCACTAGCGCCTTGGAGTAATTTCACGTTGTTTTGGTTAGTGGTTATCTGTGAAACAGCTTCTTTCAGCTAAGAGGGTGTTTTTATCCATCTTTCAAAATTGCTACTCTGTCTTTGGATAAACTTTGTATTCAACTTCTACTAGAGTTTAGAAGCACATTATCGCTACTTTGTCGTCCTTAGCTTCATCGCAGAGTGCTACTCAAAGTACGGATTGTCTATACTTCCATGTTTTTTACCATTTTTTGCAATGGGACCATTTGTAAGTTGAACATTTTGTTAACACAATCTATAAAATCAAACGTTTCATTTTATAATGAATATTTACAATTTAGCACACCAACAAAAAAATGTAATATGCACTTGATCTCTCCAGAGACTGGTTGGATAGTATCGATCAAGCAAGTCAATGACATGATGAGTAACGCTTCTGTTTGTGCTTCGATGGTTTCGACCTATTCAAGGATAGGTTAATTTTTAAATGTAATTATGATTGGAAGTTTTCTAAACATAAATCATGAATCGAAAGCAAGTTGGGTTATTGGGAACGATCAAATACGTTTTATTAAAGGATCAAGACAAGCATATATGTCTACTATCTTAACGGAGTTTGAAGCTTTACAGATTTGGTCATGAATGGTAGTATGATACAAACACAAGTGGATTTTTCCATTGTTAGACTAGAGAATTTCGACTTAAGCTTCGGAAGCATGAAGATGTGAGAATTTTTGGTGCCAAGTAAATGAAAGTTGCTAAACAATTAGCAAAAAAAAAAAAAAAAAAAAAAAACGCATACATTCGATCAAATTCTTCAAGTATGTTTCTTACATATGTACCCAATGCTATAACAGATGCATGTAACGCATAACGATTACTGTGCTTCAGTTTAGCTTAATCCACACAAAAATGTGTTCAAGTTTTTTTTTCTTGATTAATTATTAAACTCGAACTATAAATTTATAGTCGAAGTCACACTTGGCAGTGAAAAGCATGGGTTATAAACATGGCAGAAGACATGAAGCACTAATTATACAATATGTCACTGTCATGATTTATCTTTCTTTGTTGGTCGGTTCACTACTGAGTTGCTTTTACTATCTTCTTGGGTGGCCAACTTGGAATATTTAAAGGGAAAAGCAGTTTTCTAAAATGTAGTATAAGCCTAATCGTTCAAAAGCCTTAGTAATTTACCATTAAAACGTGAGAAATATGTGTGTTTATATCAATTTTATCTATAATTTGTATAGGTTGATAGCAAAAGAATTTCTTGGCGGCATCTAAACATTTAAATGGCTAGGCGCTGTTGGATTGTCGTTGAGAACATATAGCTTTTTTTTTTTTTTTAATTTTACAATCGCAAAAGAAATGACATTTTCTTTTGTGGGTTAAAAATGCGTAAAACCAAAAAAAGAAAAAAATAAAGTGAAACATAATGAATGTGAACTTAAAAACCAATGTGTCCCCCACCGTTTTAATTCTTGGTGTGCCACTAAATTGTGTACGCAATTTACAAATCATTACACTTTGGAGAAATTCATGGTTTATTTTTTGTTTTCTTTCACTTCATTTATCATTAGTTTCTTAGATGAGTTGTGGGCAGAATATATGTTTTATAGAATGATCATTATCGCTTGTCTATGAATTTTATATATATCACTTTAAGTAAGTATTTAAATTTTAAACGGCACAATAAAACAAGCAAATTAATTCGATCTTAAGCACCTAAACTAGCATAGTTGATAGTACTTTGTTTAAATTAACCTATTATTTGTAGAAAAGAGCTTGCTATCATCATGAAATCACATTTTCTGTTAATTTCTACGCTCTCTTCCTCTTCTATTTCACAGGCCTCTTTCACTTCCACTTTTTATGTAGCCTTTCACTTGGATGTATTTATTCTGTTAGCACCCTTATATGATATTGTTCTTCTATATTCTATCAATTTTATGTTTTAATTAGAAACTAATTGATACATACGAATTTAAAAGTGATATCAAAACCCCAAATATCTGATAACATAGAAAAACTGTGTCAAACATAGGTGTTGTTAAAAAGTTTAAGAAAAGATAAGAAAAACAAAATTAGTGAAAGAACTGAAAATCCTATACCTAACTAAAAGCTAGTTCTGTCTAGGAGACCTAAATCGAAGTTACACCGATATTGTGATTATATAACTAGCAGCTTCTGTTTTTTAAAGTTAACAAAATAAGTTACTCCACTAATCGTTGGATATAATTAGTACAGAAACGAATATTAATGTTGTATGAATTCCAATATAAAACCAAATAGAAGTCAACGTTTACATAATTTAAGCAAGAAAAAAAGCGTCACCACATACGTACATGCAATTGTACAAACCCTGGAGATCACCCATGGGGACGGTATCATTTGCCAGCATAATGAGTCATTATTAATGAATGTTTAATGTATTAAATTGTAATCGGCATATACGTTCTAATTCGGAAAAACGCATATCAATTATTTGATGTTAACACTATCATAGAAGGATGTCAAATCTATATATATAAAATACAGTTGGGGTCTCTTCTGGGAGCGCCACGTCAGCAAACTCTCTTTTAAACAATGCTTTCCAATTCTCTTTTAAGACTAATAATTTATTACATCTATCACTTAATCATAATAGAATTTGAAAAGTCATTTTGTATAAGAAAATATTTTATATATTGATCTAAATAAATTCTAATTTAATAATTTTAGTTTTATCAAATAGATTTTAATAATTTAACAATAATAATAATAATAATAAAATGAACGGAATGACGCAAAACTGTATGATAACGAGACGGGAAGAAACAAGACGAGTCGAAAATGAATTTGACGAGGCAAAATGGGATAGAAAAGAAAGGGACATGGTGGAACAAGACATGAAGAAACAAGATAAGGCAGAATGGAAAGAAATGAACGAGACAAGGCAAAACGGTATGTGAATGAATAGGACGGGGAGGAACGAGACGGAAAGGAAATGTACATGATGAGGAAAAATGAGATGAGAATGAATGAGACGGTGCAAAATGGGACAAGGCGGAAACGAGAAGGAATAAACAGGACGGGACATAACGAGGCCAAAATTATACCCGACAAGGCAGAACGAGACGGGAAGAAAGGGATGGGGCAATACGAGACGGGAAAAAACAGAACGAGGAGGAACGGGAGGGAAATAGGACAGGGAGGAACGAGATGGGAAATAGAACGGGATAGGAGGTAAATTTTGCCTACCTCTTATTATATTTAGAGACGGGACAAGAAGAAACAAAAAGACCAAGATGGGACAAGACAAGACAGGAAAAAACATAATGAGACAGGATGGGACTAGACGGGATGGATATGACGGAAAGGACGGGATGAAAAGAAACATAATGGAACGGAAAAAAGTGAATTTAGCATATCCCTAATTATATTTAGGGACATGACGGAAAAAAACGGAAAGAACGGGATGAGACTGGACAAAACGGGATGGAACAGTCTCAGACATGATGGGATTGCACGTGACGATACGGACATGGCGAATGGGACGGGAAAGAACGGACATGATAAAAGGAACAAAATGGGAGGAATGAGAAATGATGGTTCAAAATTTTTGCGTAAACTTAATTATATTTAATTTTCGGAAATTTTTGAGTAACCCTAATTATATTTGATTAATATGTGTATGACATTTTTAAAATAATAATAAATCATAGAATTAAATTAAATTTATGAAAAATAATAAAATCAACACAACAATTTCAATTCCCGCGCGAAGCGCGGGTCACCCCTAGTAAGCACTATAAAAAAGTACACAGTTTGGAGGTCGTAGAATAGATAAATAATTATTCGGAGGCCTAGGCTTTGAATGGAAGTCCAGATTTACTGCAGAATAAATACAGGACAGATCAAATACAGATTGATATGTATTTAATGCACAATCACATTTTTAATGCAGACTGAAACAAATGCAGGAGAAATTAAATTGATCTGTATACAGATCAGAAAAGAGAACAAATTTTTGCTCTGCACTGAAGGACCCAAAAAGCACCCGTACAGGTGCAGATCCGTTTTTTATTCTCTTTTATTTTTTCTTTTATTTTTTCTTTAATTCTATCTTTATTACTTATTAATTTTATATTCTACCTATTTATTTCAAAATAAATTACAAAAAACAGTATTCAACTTATATTATATATTTTATTATCAAACACAATTTTGTATATCTTATTATATATTTAACTAAGGAAATTTCTATGAATATTACAAACTTTAAAGTATTTTGAAAACTAACTAATGTTTTCAAGAACTTGAAAAATAAATTTTTCCATGAAACAAAAAAACTAAATATATAATTTCTTATAAATTCAAATATATTATTTTAAATAATTTTAAAAACATAAGAAAAATACTATTAAAATATAATCAACTAAATTAAGAACTAAATTAACTATCAAAGAATATCCTCAATTTTGATATAATATGCATAACATAAAATAAAAAATTTAAATTATTATATGTCATATCATATATTTTATTTTACTTTATTTCCAAAATTTTCTTTTGTATATAATATTGTAAGTATTATTTAACAAAGAACATGAAGAAAAATAAATTAGTTTGATATGACTTTTAAAAGAACTGAATTAGATGAAATGAAAAAATAGAAATTAGAGAAAAAAAATTTAGAAAAAAAGAAAAAACAAATTCTTTTATGGTACGAAAAATCATATAATATCATATATTCTTGAACGGATGAAATACTTGTTATGCAATTGTTCTGCATACAGATCATGATCTGTATTTCTTCTGCATGATCTATATATTCCTTTTGATCTGCATTTTTTGATCTGTGTCACTATTAAAAGCCTTAGTCTAATATTCGAATAGCAAACATCTCACGAAATTTAATAGTATAAACAATCCCTTACAAAACTTTTTCTGCCCGAACTCAGTTTTTATGTATGTAACCATAATATCGCCTTGACATCAATTTCTACAATAAACAGGTATATCTTCAGGTTTATAATTCTACAAGGACGTAGACCTAAAACTTATTGGTCCTTGAACAGTTTAATGTATTTGTAGATGGATTTTATACCCGAGAATAATAGATCGGCGTCATTCAAGAAATATAACGTAGACAATTGAAGAACCAACATATAAGAGTATTTAATTGCTTGAAGGGACGCTTTTATATGCTTTACAAATTGATCATAGAGTTAACTAAATTTTCCTTTTCTTCACCATAGTTTAGTTGTGCGAAGTAGCAAACAAACTAATGGAAGTCTTTTTTTTTTTTAACAAAGGCTTACAAACTAATGTACGTTTTGTTGTTGTTGTATACCAACCGTTACAAACGCAGTAACCCAGTCATGCTATATAACGACACTGTATTACATACTAGTATTATCCAATTATAACCGTACCTCGAAATATGGAACAAAGCATTATAAATACTTATTGTATACGATAAATTATTTGTAAAAAAGGGTGCTTCCAAAAAAAAAAGGGTACTGTACTATATACGGTAAATAAATGATGTCATAATTAATAGTAGTGGTAATAAATAGACATTCAGAGAGTCTGTGTTGTGTGAAAAGGCTGCATGCAAGGCTGCTAGGCAAGCACATGACTCGCATAGGGAATTGCTCGCAGGTTTTAATGTCGCAAGAAGACGAATTCAAGTCCATGCATGTGCTTACTAGATATCATTAATTAGTATAACTCTATACCGCCTTCATTTGAAGCCATTTTTACAGATTTGGACACTCAGAAAAATTCAATACTACTTGCATAAAATATCAAAAATATTTATTTTGTTGTTTATTTTTAGCTCTAGAACTTCTTAAGAAACTAATATTTTTTTAAAATATGGTGCATGATAAAAATGAATCATAAAGATATTCACACAAATAGTACTTAATAGTTAACTATATATGATACTATTGGTTTTGTTAATAGTTTAACATATGCATGACTATAACATTATCTAAAAGAAAAATGTATACAAATTTATGTAGATCACTTTTAAAAAAATATTTATAAAACATGATTTAAAATAAAAGGATAGCCTCAATTATTGAGATTATAAAGGCATCAAATAGTAATCATAAAAATGAAAAAGAAAATGGCTGATGACATTGATGATATCTGTTCATGCATAAAGTATCTTTTCGAATACGGGATGAGATTTCTAGTGATCGGGCTTTCGAGCTGTTACAAATTGAAGGGACGTACATTTTAGATTTCCTGGTGTTTTGGGTCCCAAACTATTAAATGGCAATGGTTCGACCTTTGAAAAGCAAACAAGACTTAGTATCTTCGTGAAAGCTTAACGTTAAATTGGTAGTGTCAGAACAACGGTATTAATACAAAGTACTTTTTTTAAAGTACAAAATACTAAGCTACATATTAATTGTATAGCATAAAGAGTAAACCAAAACATGATATAATATTGAATATTTTAAACTCCATATAAGTTAAGCAGCCGAAATTTAGAGAAGCCAACTGGCTTCTCCCTCTCGGTTGCTATAAATATCCGCCGACTACCACATTGGATCGACGAAATGTGGATGAAGCGTAGAACAAAAACATCACACAACAAAAAAAATACTCTAAAAAAAAATTACAAAAAAGGAAATAATAGGTTTCCGCTTTAAATATTACTGTACGAATAGAGAACCTCTCGAAGAAACAGAGAGAGAAAGAAAGAAACCGCTGCCCTTTCGTTAAGGTCAAGGTGTCGTTTTTGGTCTCTCTCTCTCTCTCTTTGCAACAAAAGAGAAATGGGCAACGAAGAGACAAAAGAGACTGGGAAGAAGACGATGAAGAGTTTTGGAAGCATAAGATCGATATTCATGCACGCGGACGGTGTAGACTGGGTGCTAATGGGATTAGGGTTAATCGGAGCAGTCGGTGATGGCTTCACAACTCCTCTTGTTCTTCTCATCACAAGCAAGCTCATGAACGACCTTGGTGGTCCTTCTTTCAACACTGAAACCTTCATGCAAAGCATCTCCAAGGTCCTCTCAGTTCTCTCTTTCTCTCTCTCTCACTCTTCTATTTGGATCTTATGATGACAAGCTTTTTGTGGTTTTTTTAATCTTGATTATCCATAATCCGTTTGACATTTGGTGGAAAAAATCAACAAAATTACAAATTGCTATTATTTAGAGGGAGATACGTACACACTAGGTCAAACATATAATAAACTGATTGACTCCTCCAAGTCTTTTTATTTAACGGTTTACGTTTAGACTTCAATCTATGACACATGCACTCTTAAGTTTATTGTATGTGTCTGACTCTGGAGAGAAGACTAATGTTCATTCTTTTCTTTTCATTTTTGTAATCAACAGAACTCTGTAGCTTTGCTTTATGTGGCTTGTGGTTCTTGGGTTGTCTGCTTCCTTGGTAAGCCTTTCTAATAATTATGTAGCCTTTCCTTTTCTGTATAGTTGACCCCAATTAGATTAATGGAATTTTATTTAAATTTGTGTATTGAATTAATTATTTAATTTTTGGGATAAAAAAAAAACAGAAGGGTATTGTTGGACAAGAACAGGGGAGAGACAAACAGCAAGAATGAGAGAAAAGTATTTAAGAGCAGTGTTAAGACAAGATGTGGGGTACTTTGATCTTCATGTTACAAGCACTTCTGATGTTATCACTAGTGTCTCTAGTGACAGCTTCGTCATCCAAGACGTGCTCAGTGAAAAGGTCGGTCTCACCTTTCTATCTTTTCACTCTAATCATTTTTCTTGTTTTACTAAATAAACCGTTTTTTTTTTAATTGATGATTTCGATTTGGTGCAGTTACCTAATTTTTTGATGAGCGCATCAACATTCGTTGGAAGCTACATAGTCGGATTTATTTTGCTATGGAGACTCGCTATAGTTGGCTTACCATTCATTGTCCTATTAGTGATTCCTGGCCTTATGTACGGACGAGCCCTCATGAGCATTTCGAGGAAGATACGTGAAGAGTACAATGAAGCTGGTTTTGTAGCTGAGCAGGCGATTTCTTCGGTGAGAACCGTCTATGCGTTTTCGGGTGAGAAGAAGACCATATCAAAGTTCTCAACCGCGCTTCAAGGGTCTGTGAAGCTAGGGATTAGACAAGGTCTTGCTAAGGGAATCACCATTGGAAGCAATGGAATCACTTTCGCCATGTGGGGGTTCATGTCTTGGTATGGAAGCCGGATGGTCATGTACCATGGTGCTGAAGGTGGTACCGTCTTTGCAGTTGCCGCCTCTGTTGCAATCGGCGGCGTGTAAGTATTTTTAACTAGAAAGGTGGTGTGTGCATAAAGAATTATTGATTTTAGGATTTTATTGCATGATGATACAATGAGATATGCAAAACGGCTTTAACAAAAAGAGTTAATATCAAACAAAAATATTACTTAACACTTATAAGTGAGTTTTTGTTTACGTAACCAAATAAAATGTGTATAGTTGCAAAGTGTAGAATGATATAACATTTTTCGTTTAGATTTTTGAAACATACTGAATAATCTTAGTTTTTAAAACGTCTATAGAAAATCATTTTTTCATATGCATTTTGGGATGTCTTCGAAAATTAGTATTATTCAACATGTTAGAAAAAAATTCAGTGAATATTTAGTAATAGAGTACATAGTACTTAGATTAATAATCAACATAGTACTTAGTTTAATAATCATATATCGTTTTGCTAGAACGCAAAAAAATGTTGATCTTCAAAGAACCTTATCAGGATCAGGATCTTTGACATCTTTGTTATTGTTTCAGATCACTTGGAGCTGGTTTGTCTAATGTCAAGTACTTCTTTGAGGCGTCTTCAGTTGGGGAACGAATCATGGAAGTGATAAACAGAGTTCCCAAGATTGACTCCAACAATCCGGACGGGCACAAACTGGAGAAAACTAGAGGAGAAGTAGAGTTTAAGAACGTAAAGTTTACCTATCCATCAAGACCCGAAACATCTATATTCAACGATTTTTGTCTAAGAGTTCCTTCTGGAAAAACCGTGGCTTTAGTAGGAGGAAGTGGGTCAGGAAAATCAACCGTCATATCGCTATTGCAAAGGTTTTATGATCCAGTTGCAGGAGAGATTCTCATAGATGGTGTATCCATTGACAAGCTGCAAGTGAAGTGGTTGAGGTCTCAAATGGGTCTAGTTAGCCAAGAGCCAGCACTTTTCGCCACATCAATAAAAGAGAACATATTGTTTGGTAAAGAAGATGCATCCATGGATGATGTTGTTGAAGCTGCCAAAGCCTCTAATGCTCATAACTTCATTTCTCAGTTACCTAATGGCTACGAAACTCAGGTTAGATTCAAATTTTAATAACATACTTTTGCATTATTTTTTTTTTCTAGCCTTATGATATAGTCTCGTGTGTAAAAAATATAGGTTGGAGAAAGAGGAGTGCAAATGTCAGGAGGCCAAAAGCAGAGGATAGCAATCGCACGTGCCATAATCAAATCGCCGGTGATACTTCTTTTAGACGAGGCAACAAGCGCATTGGACTCTGAATCCGAAAGAGTAGTCCAAGAAGCACTAGAAAACGCCTCCATCGGTCGAACAACTATTCTTATCGCTCACCGTCTCTCTACCATTCGTAACGCTGACGTTATCTCTGTGGTCATGAACGGCCATGTAGTGGAAACCGGGTCACACGACGAGCTAATGGAAAACTTAGATGGTCAATACACTTCACTAGTCCGCTTACAACAGATTGAAAAACAAGACTCGGATGTGAACATCAGCTCCAACATACAAATGGGTCCAATCTTGGATCCTAGCAAAGATTTGAGAAGTATTTCAAGAGTCTCGACTCTAAGCAGAACAAGCTCTGCTAACTCGTTTACAGTCTCAAGCACCATGAAGAATCTTTCTCAAGATGATAAGCCTCCTTTACCCTCGTTTAAGAGACTCTTGGCAATGAACTTACCGGAATGGAAACAAGCCTTGTACGGCTGCATAAGCGCGACCTTGTTCGGTGCCATACAGCCAGCTTACGCGTATGCTTTGGGATCGATGGTATCGGTTTATTTTCTGACGAGCCACGACGAGATCAAGGAGAAAACAATGATCTACGCGTTATCTTTCGTCGGTCTAGCCGTTCTTTCTTTCCTGATCAACATCAGTCAACACTACAACTTCGCATACATGGGTGAGTATTTGACTAAGCGTATCCGAGAACGGATGCTCTCTAAAGTCCTAACGTTCGAAGTCGGTTGGTTCGATCGAGACGAGAACTCGAGCGGTGCTATTTGCTCTAGACTCGCAAAAGATGCTAATGTGGTAAGTACATCAATGTTATAGTGTTTCTTGATCTTGTTATAGTGTTTCTTGATTTTCTTGATCTTTGTTCTGTTTATGTTATGATAGGTGAGATCGTTGGTAGGTGATCGGATGGCGTTATTGGTACAGACCATATCGGCTGTGACCATAGCATGCACGATGGGTTTAGTGATCGCGTGGAGACTAGCACTCGTGATGATCGCGGTGCAGCCGGTGATCATCGTCTGCTTCTACACACGCCGTGTCCTACTCAAGAGCATGTCCAAGAAAGCAATCAAGGCGCAAGACGAGAGTAGCAAGCTAGCAGCAGAAGCCGTCTCCAACGTCCGAACCATCACGGCCTTCTCGTCGCAAGAACGTATCATGAAAATGCTCGACAAGGCGCAAGAAACGCCGAGGAGAGAGAGCATACGCCAGTCGTGGTTCGCGGGGATCGGTCTAGCCATGTCGCAGAGCCTCACCACGTGCACTTGGGCTTTGGATTTCTGGTACGGTGGTAGATTGATCGCTGGTGGTTACATAACTGCTAAGGCTTTGTTCGAGACGTTCATGATTTTGGTTAGTACCGGTCGAGTCATTGCTGACGCTGGAAGCATGACCACGGATTTAGCTAAAGGCTCCGACGCGGTCGGGTCGGTTTTCGCAGTGTTGGATCGGTACACGTCGATTGATCCGGAGGATCCGGATGGGTACGAGGCGGAGAGAATAACGGGTCGGGTCGGGTTTCTCAATGTGGACTTCTCGTATCCGACTAGACCGGATGTGATGATATTCAGAGATTTCTCGATTGAGATTGAAGCCGGAAAGTCGACGGCGATTGTTGGTCCAAGCGGGTCGGGTAAGTCAACGATAATCGGGTTGATCGAACGGTTTTACGACCCGGTGAAAGGCGTTGTGAAAATCGACGGTCGCGATTTAAGATCGTATAATCTGAGATCGCTTCGTCAGCACATAGCTTTGGTTAGCCAAGAGCCGACGTTGTTCGCCGGAACGATCAGAGAGAACATCGTATACGGAAGAGCTTCTGATAAAATCGACGAGTCGGAGATCATCGAGGCGGCGAGGGCAGCGAACGCTCACGATTTCATCACGTCGTTATCGGACGGTTACGACACGTGCTGCGGAGACAGAGGAGTACAGTTATCCGGTGGGCAGAAACAGAGGATCGCGATCGCTCGTGCTGTTTTGAAGAACCCGTCCGTGTTGCTACTCGACGAAGCTACGAGCGCTTTAGACAGCCAATCGGAGCGTGTGGTGCAAGACGCGCTCGAGCGCGTGATGGTCGGGAGGACGAGCGTTGTGATCGCGCATAGGCTGAGCACGATCCAGAACTGTGACGCGATCGCTGTTCTAGACAAAGGGAAACTGGTTGAGCATGGGACCCACTCGTCCTTGTTGGCAAAAGGTCACACAGGTGTTTACTTCTCATTGGTTAGTCTCCAGAGAACTTCTTGTTAATAAGCTTTGGAGACAAAAAAAACTCTTTAAGCTCTTTGTAATGAAATTGATCATGTTATATATAATAACGCCATTATATTAGTAATTGTTACCAAAATATATATATCCAAAATCTCCTGTTTAAAGCAGGCTACAAAAACAAATTTTCAACACTAGAGCAAATCTGTGTTTTAACTTTGCTCGATTCAAAGGCTACACAATAGTGCTATAGATGGTGACTTTATGAATCAATCACCACCGACTTGACGTTTCCATGAGTCTTCCACAATCAGTTCATCGACTCTCCATTCTTCAAAGCTGATAATGAGGACACAACAATTCAGATGAAACTAGTGAACTGATATGTTTGTAATGCGGATGAAATAAATTGATTAAACTAACCTCCCATCGGGTAAGTAACGCCTGATTGTGAAAGGTATCTTACGTTGTCGAAGCTCCTTCATTGCAATCTGCGAGTCACATATAAAGCCCTTTTAACACTCTTCTTCATTTGTCTAAGTAGCTCACATCATAACAAACTCTTGAAAAAAAGTGGAGAGAGAAAGAGATACAGCAAGTACACACCTCAAGCGGATCAGTCTCACCCTGTAGCTCTACCATCACAGGAGCATTCATGCTGAAAAAAAAAAAAAAAAAAAAGCAGAACAGAGCTTGTTTACTTTCAACTGAAACCAAGTACTGTAATCTCAAAACTTCAACACTGAAGATGGAAATTTGGTATGGAAGGCATTATTTTATAGTCCGGTCAAGGCAGGAAGGAATGAGACCTGATCTGGAGAGCACGAGTGCCGAGAATCCGAGCGCGTTCGTATTTGGTCATGAACTTTGATGTTTTGCGAGGACGTTGTACATCTTCCTGCTCTACCTTATCTTCAGTTTCGATAGGTTCGCCAGTGGTATCATCAGTCTCCTTCATCTCAACATCCTCCTCTACTCCTTCCTAATCACAACAAACTCATCAGAAAATTGCTAATGGTGATAATAAGCAATTATCAATGTCTGTTTCCTATAGTAATAGCTTACTTCAATCTCTGGCTCTGCTGGCTCGTCCTCGTACCTACAGGACAATCGATTCAACATTTTGAACCCATAATGATATATAGAGAGAGCGCGTTTGAACATAACTGTAGAATAAGGTATTCAACTTGACCTTGGTTTCTTCATAATCTCAAACTTGGGTTATTTATACAAGCATGTCTCTAGATAACTTTAGATTCCTAAATACAAGGAATTGAACTCTATCATATTATAAACTCTATCCTTATTCTTTACCAACTTTGTATTTATCCTAATACAAACACAAACCCACTGGAAATTTTTGCAAATTCAAGAGATTTGGAACACATAGGTTTCAGTAACTAGCAGAGTCAATGTGTCATGAAATTGTAATTAGCTTCATTTATAGACAGTTAAACTGTATGATTTATATTTGCAAATAACATGATTGGATAATGTGAATGGTTTGTAGATAAAAGACTATTCTTTGAACCAGTAAACGCTGTGCATCATCTTCGTCAACAAACTTTTGCAGCCGAAACACGATTTCAGCAAGTTTCGTTCATTTATAACTTGGTGAGTACTTCGATTTAGATATCAAACAGAAAGCTCACAGCTGCTCCGTCAAGGCGTCAACAAGTGAGGGAAAAAAATAAAAATCATCTGAGGGATAGAAACAGAGAAAGTACCCCAAATCGTCGACATCTTGGTAATCTTCGTCCGCCATGGATTTGAGATTTCTACAAGTCTAGTGTCACCCGTAAAACCCTAAATGGCGTCGGAGAAGGAGCTTGCAACGGCGTTTTGGTGTGCGTGTGTGATTCTGATAAATTGTAAGCCAAGTGTGAGAGAATTTAGGAATTAATATACTTCGGTTTACTTAAACCGTTTTCTCGATTGTCGGTTTGATGTTTTTGATAATTCCATGGTTGACCAAATTAGTAGTATTGAAATTCATTTTAATTTCCCTTCCAATAAATCCATAATTTATCTTCTTTTCTTTTTGCCTTCGGGAAGTTGAGGTTAATTTTTGTTTTCATTATAGTAATGAAAAAAGGATACTATACGTGCTAAATAATAGTATGTATATTCGAAATCACAATGCATACAAATGAGATGGTTTTTTTTTTATCCAGATAATATATATAATAAAAAATAATAATATTCCACCAGCTTTGACACAATTGAAAGCAACTCGTAACAGACGTACCAAAAGTTTCTTTTAAATAAGAAGTCGCTAGAATTGGTAATTAGGAATTTTTGTAATTAGGTAAACATAATGCCAAAGTGAGATGTATACTCATGACAAAAGAATGATGATATTGCCAGCCCGCTGCCGCACATACAGCTAGCCCTGGGCATTTCGGGACGGGAATCTCGTTCCCACCCTTATCCGTTTAAAAATTCCCGAATTTTTTGAGAATGGGAATTTGCAATTTACCTTTTGGGAACATTTATTTTATTCAAAAGAGTAAGGGAAGGGTAATGGAAGGGTAAGGGATTTCCCGATTTTCCCGTTTACAAAATAAAAAATTGAAAATTAGATATTTTTTTCTTAAATATCCCAATTTTTCTCATATTTTCCCGAATTTTTCCATAATTTCCTGTATTTTCCCATATTTCCCGTATTTTTCCCGTAATTTCCCATATTATCTTCAATTTTCTCGATTTATTAAGACTTCGGGTATTGTTTTTTTATTCCCAAAATTCTCATTCCCTTCCCATTCCCGTGGTTTCCCGTCCCGTTATAATAAGGGAATGCTTCGGGAATCATATTTGGTTTCCCAAATTTCTCATTCCCGTCTCATACCCGTCAATTCCCGTCCCAAAACCCGAAATGTCCAAGGCTACATACAGCTGTATTCAGAATTCAAACATTACACTATATATGTTTTTTCTTCTGATTTGTCAATTATATTTTTATGAACAACTGCACAAAATAGTGAACTTAATTTATTAATTCAATTTTATTAGAAAGCAGTTGCATGATTAACGTAAAACCAATAATAAAATCAAGTGAAAAGGGTAATGGCTGCTTTCCGGTAAACACAAAATAATTGTGTAGATTTGTGCGTATCAAGATGTTGGAGCAACAACTCTGTCTTATAAAATGTCTTCTATTTTCTGTTTGAAATTCCAAACAAATTGTTGGTCTTTCTCATATTGAGTCTTCAAAGTTCAAACTAATGAAATGATGGATATCAGTCGATATGTAATGTTCTCTCCAAATGTGTAGATTTTTAGTTTTAGCAACTTTTGTTTGATCTATCTAATGTGAATCAACTACACGTTGACACACGATATGTACATCTATCGAGGATTAGAGATAATACGGATGTGATCATCATCTTCACTAACCAAACACATTTTTATGTGTTAATCTTAGTTGCAAAAGAAACGTAACGTGCTAATTCCAACTATAATATAACATAAGATGTGTGTATACTGTATAGTACAGAGAAATTTGCAATTAATATTGTTTGGCATGATGCTACAATTAGTAAATCACTGTTAGTATCAGAGAAAATTATTAAATAAAAAATCTACTTAAGGAAACAACAAATTCTAGTCATGGAAAAGGGTGAAACCTGCAAATGAAATCCATCTTAACGAGGTATACGCACATGCTTATAGTAAAATACAAGTATTTTTATTTTTAAAATGTGATTAATTTAAAGAGCATTGTATCCAATGAATGTGAGCTGACCCATTTAAATACATTATTGTCTTTTGGGGGTCAGTCAATAATGATATATTATCACAAATGTTTTATATATATCGAAACAAGTAGAAAAGCACATGGACCCATGTGTTCATTGGACCATTATCAACCCATATTCGAAAATGCTGGATTCCTACAACCTAACATGCTTTCTTTTTATATGTCACATTTATGCCTATGCGTGTAATGTCTACATTTACATGCGTATTCATTGAATTAATTATTCGTTAATCTTTGATATTTATAAGAATTTATGTCAATATTGACTAAGATGGGTTCGTTAATCCTCCCTCTCAACATTTATTGCTATAAACCAAATGTAGTTAATCGTTGAAGAACTACTTAAACTTTAAATTTTCATATTTCATATTTTTGTCCAACAACATTAAGAAATATGAAAGTATTGAACGGCTTGATCTTGCCAAAAATAATATCGATATTCTTAACTAGATGGCGTGAATACGTGAATCCCGTAAATTCACGTATCTATCTTTAATGTTTTTCTTGGTCGTAAATGTATGTATGTATCCTTAATGTTTACGACAATATACACTGAATAATATTCACGATTCTTCTTTTCTTTTCTTGCGTGTTTCAAATTGAATGTTCTCATTACAAACTCGAAGTTATTATTTTGTATTCTTGCCATATTTCAAATTTAATGTTCTAGAAAGAAAAGAAAAAAAAATATCTACAAAAAGACATTGACAGTGACAATAAGAAAAGAGTTTCGAACGACCTTAATTTGACCGTGTTTTATTTTCTTTACAAAACCGCGTTTCACTTCTTGTCTTCGTCTTCTTCCTCGACCCTTCTCTCTCTCTCTCCATAAATTCCAGAAACTCAATATCAAAACCTTAAAAAAAACGCTGCTTTAAGATCTCAGCCAGTCTTGAAACCAATCAGCTCTCTCTCCGATGATGCCTGATTCTAGATTAGTCTCTAGACTAATAATTTTCTTAGTAATCTCCACAGCCTTCTCCACCGTCGCATCGATTCGATTAATCTCAATCTCAGACGAAAAACCATCATTCGACGATGCATCTTCAGATTTCACGGAGGCTCCAGCATACCAAAACGGACCGAAATGCTCTGTTTTAGCCAAAAACAGACTTTTATTAGCTTGTGATCCTTCAGCTGTTCATATAGCTATGACCCTTGACCCAGCTTACTTGCGTGGCACGGTTTCTGCAGTCCACTCCATTCTCAAACACACCTCTTGCCCTCAAAACATCTTTTTCCACTTCATCGCTTCAGGCTCGAGCCAAGGTTCGCTCGCCAAGACTCTCTCCTCTGTTTTCCCTTCTCTGAGTTTCAAAGTCTACACCTTTGATGAAACCCTAGTGAAGAATCTCATCTCTTCCTCTATAAGACAAGCTCTCGATAGTCCCTTGAATTACGCAAGAAGCTACTTGTCAGAGATTCTCTCCTCGTGCGTTCACCGAGTGATCTATCTCGACTCGGACGTGATCGTAGTCGACGATATCCAGAAGCTATGGAAGATTTCTTTATCCGGGTCAAGAACAATCGGAGCACCAGAGTATTGCCACGCCAATTTCACAAAATACTTCTCGGACCGTTTCTGGTCGGACCGAAAACTCTCTAGCGTCTTCGATGCCAAGACGCCTTGCTATTTCAACACGGGAGTGATGGTGATCGATCTAGACAGATGGAGAGAAGGAGAGTACACGAGAAAGATCGAGAGCTGGATGAAGATTCAGAAAGAGGAACGGATTTACGAGCTTGGCTCGTTGCCGCCTTTTCTTCTGGTGTTCTCGGGAGAGATTGAAGCTATTGATCACCAGTGGAACCAGCACGGTCTCGGTGGAGACAACGTTGTGAGTAGTTGCAGATCGTTGCATCCTGGTCCGGTGAGTTTGATACATTGGAGTGGGAAAGGGAAGCCATGGGTGAGGCTTGACGATGGTAAGCCTTGTCCGATTGATTATCTATGGGCTCCTTATGATCTTCACAAGTCACAGAGACAGTATCTTCAATACAATCAAGACTTAGATATTCTTTGATTCTTTTGTTCAATGGATTCATTTCTTATTTTTTTTTTTTTTTGTTAGTAAGAATTTTTGTTTTCGGATGTATATAAAAGTGAAATACATTGAGAATTTACCTCTTCCAAGTGCTTGATTTTTGTTCTTTTTTTTTTCCCCTTGAATCAAGCTTTTCCTCGTTCCTTATCCCACAATGGTTGCATCGGATCCCCAACACGGTGACAAGACAAGAGTTTGGATATAATCAAGTTACTCATGTGATCACATAATATAAAAAAATAAATTGTTAAACAAGTGTAAAGTTCAAAGAGAGACAGAAACAGAATGCAAAACCTTGTAGTCGTGGCCTATGAACTGATCAACAGTCTTGAGAGCATTAGACCGCTCAACGTTGCCCCAAACCTCACCTCCTTGACGCCTCTCCAAGGAGATCTCCGCAGACCAAATCTCAAGACGACGACGATCTCCCTCAATGATGACATCCCAAAAGAGCACAATGTTGGAACCACCAGAGCTGCTGAGCCTGGCCCCTGGACGTAAATCGATGAGCTTTTTGTCACTCCCATCCTTCGACTTCCACGAAGCCTCGAGCATCCTATCTATGTGGACCAGTCTGGAGCTAGAGAGAGCCGTCTTGAGAGAGTCCAAACCATTGACCTCCCTCCAATACATGATCCCCTCCTTCTCCTCTCCCTCTCCTTGTCGTTGTTCACCTTCCAACTGATCTGGCTCACACCACCACAACCTCCCGTGACGATCAAGACAGTATATCAATTTATCAATCACACACCAATCCCTTCTCTTTCCAGGCAAGGAATCATTATTCCCTCTTCCCCATTTGCCATCACTCGGCGAATAGTAGAAACTTCTATCCCTTGAATCCACTGCGTACACCTTTTCCTCCCTCACCACCACAGTGTTACGGAAACCTCCAGAGCGCAGTCTCTCATCCGGCATTGGAGCTAAAGTCTCCCAAGTTTGAGTCTTTGGGTCGAAAGCCTCCGCCCAGTGCGAGGAGTCCGGCTCTATGCATCCTCCGAAGACGTATATCTTCCCTGCTACGATTCCGGCAGCCGGCTTAGCTCGTTCCACTCGCATGGAAGGGGCTTGCCGCCACGTGTGAGTCCGGCAATCCAGGAGCCAGACCTCGTCAGTGAACTGCCCCTGTATCAATCCACCGATTACGTAGATCCCCCAATCCAGGGCCACCACGGTGGATCCTTCCGTAGGAAGAGCGTGAGTCATCATTCTTTCGTCTGTCTGCGGTAACGTCAGGATGCTCCTTTCGCAAAACGGGACCTGGATTCTCACAAGCCGATTCTCGGATTCACCTCGCCGGAGGATATACCATCGTGGGTTTTGGTCAAGACAGGATCGCATGCATACATACGTGTATGTTTCGGTGAGACCCATCCGAGATCTCGTCTTGTAGAGATCGGGAGAAGCCGCTAGAGACCGATAACCCCTGGAGACCAGAGACAAGGCCGCCCGATCGGATCTCGAGGTCAGGGCCACGCAGCTCAGAACCACTTCATCTGGGAGCGATGATAAAGGAGGAGAAGACGACGACGACGGCGGAGATTTTTTCTCACGTTTACGCGGTTGGCTCTTCGGTGGCTGAAATCCACATGGACATGTCTCTTTTCGGTTTTCTCTCGGTGGTCTCTCTGTTTATGTTTCTGAGAGGATACGAAATCATGTTTTGTTTTCGTTCTTCATTCTTCTTCTTCTTCTTCTGCTTATTTATAAAAAAAAAAAAAATATGGATAATTTCCTTCTCCAGTTATATAACGGTGAAATTAAAAAAAGGAAAACCAGAGTTTAGATATAATATACTTGCAAGATTTCATTATCAAAAAAAAAAAAAAAAAATCTTTATTAATATCTTTAATTTTCTTGTTTTGGTTAGTTATTGTTGTTGTTCCTTACGCAAGATTAAGACGTTGTAGCTAGGGCGGTTTTATAGTTTATGTTTTAGTGTTTAAGAGAGAAAAGAGAAGAAAATGGTTACTGTTTTTTTTGTTTTTTTTTTCCAAGTTTGATTGCTATAATTACATTGTCCTCCAGACGTGTAAATAAGAACATAAGAAAGTGCAGAAACAGAAATGAGAGAGTTGCACATTTTGTTTCCATTTGTTTCTTATCTTTGCTAACTACTGAGTGTTGTTCCTTGAGGAAAAAGTTTTAGCTAGTATATTGGTGTTTGTTCGGTTGATTTTTGAGGGGTCTATTCTGACTGTGAAAAATGGCTAGGGCCCTTTTAATCATTGGTAGCTTTGAGCTTTTGATCGGTTTATGATCGGAGATGATGATACCAAACACAATACAATAATCATAAAATGCTCATTGACAATTGATAAGGAGAGGAGGAGAACGATAACACATAGTTGGTATAGTTCTTTGATATAATGAATACTAGGGTTTGACCCGCACTCGTTTTTACAAAGTTTGATAGTTGTGACAATTATTCTATTGCTAAAAAAATATATCAATTTTTCAAAGTTTTCTCTAAAACCAAAAAAAAAAACAAAAAAAACAAAAAAAGAAAGGAGGAGATTATTGTTAACTTGTTATGCAAGTAAGGATAATGTAAAAATATGATGTGATGCTAAGTGGCCCAATAGGGAGAAAGTGACCACCAAGCGGTCGCAGCTCTATAAGCCCTACTCTCTTCGATTTACGACCAGTATTCGAAACAGATCTATAAACCCTAATCCCAAAAGCGCAACTTAAGCAGAGACAAGAGGAAGATGGACTCCTTGACAGATGACGTCAGTGCGATCGTACTTGCAAGATTACCGCTTAAGACCATCACAGCTTCAAAACTGGTTTGCAAGCGGTGGAAGTCGATCGTAGAGTCTCCATTTTTCCGTGACCTTTTCCTCTCCCTGCACCAAAAATCGCCCTCTTCTTCATGGTGGCTCATGCACATGTCTTCTACAAACCCAGAATACGTGGCTCACTATGGATGCGACACTTGGGGACTTAAACGATCTTTGGGCTCTTTCATCTCGTCTTTCCTCAAAAAAAAGTTCACGAACAAGACCGACAGATATCCAACAGCCAGTATGGTGGCTTACTCCGATGATGGTTTGATTTTGGTATATGACGATTTCCACGAGGAGAAGAGATCCTTGTACGTGGCTAATCCGGTTTCACAGGAATGCGTAGACATCTCTCCTCATGCTTTTCCTACAGGGTTTGAAGCGGGAAACTTTTCCTGGGACTTGGGAATTGCCACACGGACTGTGAAAGGCGTGCTTTTGGGCTACAAAGTTGTTAGCTTTGCTCGAAGGAAAAGAGATGAGATGGATTTAAGTTTCCTAATATATTCATCTGACACAGGCTTGTGGAGTCTCGACACTTTCCGTCTTCCTTACTCTTTTAAGAACTATCTTTTTTTCGACAATCCCTTTAGCTTGAACGGAGAACTTCACTGGCTCGTCCGGAACAATGACAATGATGACGTTGTTTTATCCATAGATTTATATGGCACGGGTTCTGATCGATGCCGTGCTACACCTTTCCCTGACGTGGATGAAACTACCAAATTCATAAGATTTTGCACAATTTCTCAAGGATTTCTCATGTATATGAACATAGTCTCTCCAACCGATGGAAGTCTAGAGGATAGGTTATGTGTATGGAGACTACATCACGAGGAGGGATGGCAACTAGTATCTGAAATCTCCCCGGATTTTATTTTGACCGGCTTCGACTATTTTCCGCTGACAATAAACCCTTTTGATGCGAAAACAGCTTACTTTTGGAGCAAGGAACAACAACGTTTGCTATCTATCAACTTACACAATGGGAAGTTTGTGCTCCACAATCAGTTGGAACGTCTCAAGTACGGTTGCATTATGATTCCCGTTCAAGACACGGGAGGTATGGTTTTGGTTAGAGGCCTGAAAGATATGCAATACATGGAAGAATCAAGCTTTTCCCAATTCGTTCTCCCACAGTGGCTGCATCGGATTCCCAGGACTGTGAGAAGAGTTTAAATATAATATTTGCAAGACTCCTTTCGTTTTTCTTGTCTTATAGTTCCTTATGCATGATGAAGAAGTTGTTGGACGGTTTTAAGGTTATGTTTCAAGTGTTTTTGGTTGTGAAGAATCACAGAGATGAATGTTTAAGAGATTTCTGAATGAATATTGACAAAGAGGATTACACATCTTTATAGCTCGAGGAGCATATTCTACATTCCTAAACTACTACAAATCATATCAATTTACATTGAATATACAATATTTAGGAGATGATTGTTCGATATGATGTGATATCATATTACCCCCCCTCAAGCTGAAGCATGTAGATCAAGTATGCCAAGCTTGGACCGAAAACTGTCAAACTCTTGACGTCCCAACGGTTTGGTAAAGATGTCTGCAAGTTGTTGAGTTGTAGAGACATGATGAGGGGAAATGGTACCTTTGACGATCTCATCCCGAATAGCATGGCAATCAGTCTCTATGTGTTTGGTGCGCTCGTGGAAGACAGGATTTGTGCTGATATAGATTGCCGCTTTGCTATCACAATGGAGACGCATGGACTGAGGATGAATGACACCGAGAGAACACAAGACACGCTTTATCCACAAGAGTTCATCACGGAGAAGAGACATAGCTCGGTACTCTGCTTCTGCTGATGACTTGCTTACGATGTCTTGTTTCTTGGTTTGCCACGAGACAGGAGATAGACCAATTTGAACAAAGTAGCCAGTGACGGAGCGACGGGTTAATGGACAAGTCGCATAATCTGAATCACACCAACCATTGATCTGAAAATCATTATCAGAACTCAAAAGAATCCCTTGACCAGGCGATCCTTTTAGATAACGAACAACCCGCAACGCCGCTTGCCAATGATCTGCACGAGGCTGTTGCATAAATTGGGCCAAGACATGAACACAAAATGCCAAATCTGGTCTAGTGTTAACCAAGTAGATAAACCTCCCAACCATGCGTCGATACGGTGTTGGATCAGACAAGAGTGCAGAAGTCGATAAAGCCAATCCATGGTTCTGTTCAAGAGGAAACGTTGCAGGCTTTGCCGCCAACAATCCTGCATCGGAGACAATGTCCAAAGCGTATTTCCGCTGACTGAGATAGAAACCAGTTTTATTCCGAGATACCTCAATCCCCAAAAAATATTTTAAGAAACCAAGATCTTTCATCTTAAAGCAAGAGGAGAGATAGTCTTTAAAAACCCGTAAAGCTTCTGCAGAGTTGCCCGTCAAGATCATATCATCAACATATATCAACAGATTAATCACAACACCACCTTTGTTGAATGTGAAAAGAGAGTAGTCAGCTGCAGTCTGTTCAAAACCGTATTCTCGAAGCGACTTAGAGAGCTTCTCAAACCAGCATCGTGGAGCCTGTTTAAGGCCGTAAATCGATTTCCGTAAGCGGCAAACCTTGTTTCCAGCATCAGGGTAAAACCCTGGTGGCGGTTTCATATACACCTCTTCTTCGAGGTCTCCATGGAGGAAGGCGTTGTGAACGTCCATCTGATACACAGGCCAATCATTACCCGCAGCAACTTTCAAAAACATACGAACGGTACCCATTTTGGCAACTGGAGCGAACGTTTCACCATAGTCCTCCCCTTCAACTTGTCGATTCCCAAGCGCAACAAGGCGAGCCTTGTAGCGTTCAATCGTGCCATCAGAATGATACTTAATTTTGTACACCCACTTACTTCCTATCGCACGTTTCCCTGGTGGTAAATCCTCCAACGTCCAAGTTTCATTTTCTTCCAAAGCAATGACCTCTTTTCCCATTGCTTGTTGCCACTGTTTCAGCCCCATAGCTGTTTTAAACGACCGTGGTTCGATATTTTCAGTGATGGCAACAAGATATGCTGTATGTGTTTCTGAAAAACGATTGCAATTGACATAATTTCCAATCGGATAAGTTGCCGGAGTACCTGATTTCCTCAAGAATGTACTTTGTGCTGTGTTAACCACAAAATTCTTGAGAGTAACGGACTGTGTTTTCTTTCTCTGACCTCGACCTAAAATTTCCGGCGGCGCCTGAACAACCTCGTCAGAAGAGGTGGACACGGTTGGCGAATTGGCCGGAAGAGAAGAACAAGGGGAGGAAGTCGTGGAGGAGGAAGACGGTGAAATTCGATCTGAAGAGAGAGACTGAGTTTCAGACGGGTTTAATATTGGTGAGTTTGGGCTGGAGACCTCATGGGCTTCTGGTATTTCTGGTGATGGGCCTGAAACTGGTGAAGATGACAAGATGGGCCTCTCATCTACCGTATCAAATGCATTTTCACAAATTGGAGCCCACAAAATTCCATCTTCTTCTTCATTTGGCGGCGATATGAGTTCAGGTTGAGAAAACGGGAATTGATCTTCGCAGAAGACAACATCACGAGAGACAAAAAATGTTTGTTTCTCCAAATCGAACAATCGCCATCCCTTTTTCCCATATGGGTATCCAACAAAGACACTCTTTCTACTTCGAGGAGCAAATTTATCTCCTTTATGTAATTGATTGTGCGCATAACACAGGCTGCCGAAAACTCGAATATGAGCATAATCCGGAGCTTTCTGATACAACATCTCAAACGGCGTGAGACCTTGTAGAAGAGAACTTGGGGTTCTGTTGATCAGGTAACCTGCCGTAACTATACATGCGCCCCAAAACTCGATTGGCAAATGTGCTTGGAAACGCAAGGCTCGGGCGACATTAAGGATATGCCGATGTTTCCTCTCAACTCGTCCGTTTTGTTGTGGTGTACCCACACAAGAGGTTTCGTGGCTGATCCCTTCACTCTGAAAATAACTGGTTAAACTAGTAAATTCTGTGCCATTATCACTTCTCAAGGTCTGAACCTTCTTCTTAAATTGTCGATCAGCCATTGATATAAAATTTCGTAGACATGTCGGTGCCTCTGTTTTGTCAGACAGAAGATGAACCCATACACTTCAAGTATAGTCATCAACAATCGTTAAAAAATAACGAGCTCCACAATGTGAAACTGTTCTGTACGGACCCCATAAATCGCAGTGGATTAACTCAAAAGCTTGCGTAGTTTTATTAATACTCGATAGAAACAGAGATCGAGTCTGTTTTGCGCGGAGACAAACGTCACACGCTTTATTGGAAACATTGGAATTAACAGAAACAGAAACATGTTTCAAAGAACCAACAACTTTTGGAGAAGGATGTCCCATCCTGTGATGCCACAACTCATACGCCTTGGCATTCTGAGTCTCCACCGATGCGGCCAGCTCCGTTTTGCAAAAGCGGAAAGTCCCCGAGTCTCGCTTACCCGCTCCAATCACCGTCCTCGAAACGCGGTCCTGAATAACAAGGAATTTGTCAGCAAGTTGAACCACACAGTTGTTCTCATCCATCAACTGTCCAACCGCAATCAGATCAGACTTTAACTCTTCCACAAAGAACACAGATTTCAGTACCAAGTTCGAACCCAACACGACTGTACCCTCAGTTTCAGACACACGTTGTCGTCCATCAGCCAAAATAATCAACACAGGATCCATTTTCCGAACATTTATCAACAAATTATAATTTTCAGTCAAGTGATGAGATGCACCTGTATCCAACATCCAAGAAGAGGGAAAATACGTACCAGAAAGTTTCTCTGTGCTTGTGCTAGCACCAGCATTCAACAGGTTCATCAGCATACGCCACTGTGAATCGTTAAGACCATTAACACCATCTCTGTCTTTGTCGGTGATGGTGTAATTCACTTGTTCCTGAGCAGTGACCGGTGGAACCTGAACTGCATTCGCGTAATTGACCATCCGACCACGTCCGTGTGATGCAGAACCAGAGAAGCCACCTCGACCTTTTCCTTGCATCGTTCTGACACGTGGGCGTTCTCCCCACCAATCTGGGTAGCCGATGACAGCAAAGCAGCTATCAGACGGATGACCAGATCGATGGCAATGTTTGCACATCAGAGAAGTGTCATGCGTATCACCACGAATCGGATTCACACGAGCACGAGTCTGCACCGCGTGAGCCGTCACCTCCAACGTTTCGTCACTGGTTCTCGCAGAGGTTTTCAGATCTTCCTCTTGTCGAACAATATTGTACACTTCCTCCAAGGGTTGAAGAGGAGAGCGTGACACCAAAGTCGATCGAACAGTGCGAAAAGTTTCGTCAAGTCCGAACAGAAACTCATGAACCTTTTCCTCTTCACGGTCCTGTTCTTGTGTAGTTCCCAAGTCGCACTCACACTTCCCACACTTGCAAGTACGAATGGGACGATAGTGTGCCATACTATCCCAAATTCGATTCAGTTTCCCAAAGTATGCTTCAATTGCAAGTCCACGTTGCTTACAACAAGCCAGTTCCGCCTTGAGTTGCTGAATCCTCGGACCATTGGTCACGGAAAACCGCTTCTTCAAGTTATCCCACAGATCCTTTGCAACATCTCGACGAGAAATGCTGGAACGGAGCGATGGTTCAATTGTCATCTTAATCCACGAGACAAGGAGAGCTTGGATTGTCAACCAATCCTCCAAGTCAGGAGATCCGTCAGTTGGTCGTTCAATCGACCCATCAAGAAAGCCAAACTTTTTGCGAGAGCACAAAGCCGTCTTCAAGCCACACGCCCACTCTTCATAATTCGACCCCTTTAGTAGAGGATGCGAAATCACAGCACCTGGGTTATCCGCAGCAGAGAGATCGTAGGGTGAGATCGTTCGTCGTGTCTCGACGGTTGCAACAGGTCCATTGACGTTCGCTTCTGTTGCCGCCATCGTTCAGAAAACAGAACAAAGAAATCGAGAAAGAGAAAGGAGTAGAGATCAATCGAAAATCAAAGGAAACAAAAAAAAAAAAATTGTTTATTGTTCAAGCTCTGATACCATGAAGAATCACAGAGATGAATGTTTAAGAGATTTCTGAATGAATATTGACAAAGAGGATTACACATCTTTATAGCTCAAGGAGCATATTCTACATTCCTAAACTACTACAAATCATATCAATTTACATTGAATATACAATATTTAGGAGATGATTGTTCGATATGATGTGATATCATATTAGGTTGGTTTAAATAAATAAGCTAGCGAGAGATTAAAGAGGGAGAAAATGGTTACGGTGTTTCTCTTTGTTTGGAAGTTTGATTGATATAGTTACAATGTCCTCGAGACATACCCTCTTTCCCCTTGTCAGATTCCATTAACGCAATGTATGGTTTGCTACTGTTTATTGTAGTGATGAATTGATGATTCATAATTTCATATTAATCAAACTGGTAACATATATGCAAAACTCATCTGAGCTTGGTAAGAAAGTATCATCTATGTGCTGACCAGGTTTTAGTCGACAATGAGATTGACTGCTTGATGATATAATAATATTTATATCAGAACAGCTTTGTTTGTAGGACGAAGCTCTTCATTATGTTATTGGATTCTTGATTTCTTGTGATGACTTTTCAATATTCTTGCATTTATTGCTAGCTACTGCCCTCTTCAGTCTCATTTTTTTTTTGAATTGCTTTGATAATATAAGATTACAATCTACAGCTGAAATATAGAGGAAGCAAGGTGGAATCAAAGTGGAGAGGACTAAAAGCTCAGTTTTCACTTAAACATGTTTGGTTTTATTGGTCTGATTACTGTCTCATCTCATCATTAACACACAAAATTAAAAAATCCATATAAACTAATAAACCCTCCAAAAATCCTTTTTCCTCAAAATCACAAATTTTAATATTTCGTAACAAAATTCCAAAATTTTCCTAGGCAAAACGAGAAAAGGTTTTCTTTTCCTAGTGTATGAAGGACTATTCACTTTTATTATTAATTTATATAGAATTATAGATGTAGTCATCGGAGCAGAGTAAAACCCTAATCCCAAAAGCACAACCGAAAGAGTGAAGGAGATGATGGATTTCTTCACAGAGGATCTATGGTCGATTATACTAGCGAGACTACCACTAAAAACCATGGCCACTTCAAAATTGGTCTGCAAGCAATGGAAATCGATCCTCGAATCTCCGTTTCTCCAAGAGATTTTTCTGTCACATCATCAAAACTCACATCCTTCATGGTCTCTCATGCGCAGAGATGCACCAGAAAAAGTTGTGGCTCATTACGGATGTGAAGTTTGGGGACTTCCACGATCGCTTGGCTCTTACGTCTCCTCTTTCATAACCTCAAGATTGAATGTCCCAGATAAAAGGGCCAGACTTTGGCAACCGGAAAATTAAAACAGTATACTGTCTTGGCTTACACCGATATCGGATTGATTTTGCTCCACGTGAGGACTTTATTTGTGGATGAAACCTATTACGTAGCTAATCCGATTACAAAACAACGCATCAAAATCCCTCCTCCATCTGAAGATCTTCTAGGGTTTGCAGAAACTACAGAAGAGCTAGGGTTTGTTGATTCATATTTCTTTCTCAGGCAGGCGAGTCTCGTCGCTCAAACTGAAAACGGCGTCGTCTTGGGGTACAAAGTTGTTCTGACCGGAACAAGATTCAGGGACACCGGATGTTTCATAGTTTTCCTTATGTATTCATCAGAGACAGGCACGTGGAGTTACAAAACTCTCCAATCTTCTCTCCCGTTGGTCAGTTCCTATCATTGTGATTCCATTAGCTTGAACGGAAATCTTTACTGGCTCGGCAACAACCTAGTCAGTCAAGATGTCCTTGTATCCTACGACTTCTATGGTTCTGAAAATCAATGCCGAGTTATCCCTTTTCCTGATTCAGAAGAAGAAAAACCCAATTTCAAAAGATCTTGCACAGCTTCTGAAGGAAATCTCATGTATATGAACATAACCTCCCAATACAAAGATGATGGAAGCTTGGAGAATAAGTTACGTGTATGGAGGCTAAAGAACGGCAGCGAATGGCAACTAGTATCTGAAACCTCCCCGGCTTTTATCAAGACCGGTACTGATTATATTCCGCTGGTGATAAACCCCTTTGATGCGAATACAGTGTACCTGTGGAGCGAGATGGATAAATCTTTGGTATCTCTCAACTTGCGCAATGGGAATCTTGAGCTTCACAATGAGCTGGAACGTAGCAGCAATGGTCAGACTCTGAGTTCTTTTCGATGCATTAAAGAGATGAACACAATGGAATGCCTCTCAAACTCATATTTTTCGTTTGTTCTCCCCCGGTGGCTGTATCGAATCCCTCGCCGGCAACACTGAGAAAAATATTATAGATATTCCTAGAGACTACTTCACACTTGCTTCTTCTAACTTTATTTTTTTTTCCAAAAGGAATATGTTTTAGGATGGTGTTTTGTTTCTTTTTAGTATTTTGGACTATTTGGCGAGTCCGTTCATGAGCACATTGAGAAGAATTTAATGTACAGTATAATTTTTAATTATGTTTGGGTTAGTTCATGAAATAATAGACTAATAATGTACATGATACTATTGCATTATTGGACGAATATTAGTGTGTTTTTTTTTTGGTAAAAGACTAATATTAGTCTTATACTCACAATCTTTGTAGTTTTTTTTTCTTTTTTTTTGACGACGACCTTTGTAGTTTTATGACTGATATTGATATCTGTTACCACAATGAGATCAAGTATAGTCATTGTAATTCCCTTCGTGCCAAAGTCAAAATTTGGAAAAATCGCATTTTTAATTTTTAAAGTGGCAAAAGTTAGCACTTTAAAGTTCAAACTTTAAAACTATTCTACTTACACTTTAAACGTTCAAACTAAATATGTTTAACATTATTCAGGTTATGAGTTAAAGTTTGTTTGATTTATTTTTTTTCAATACTTAATCAAACATTTATCATTTGACTAGTTGATTTATAACTTTTGTTTCATGAAAGGGAAGGAATATTAGTATTACACATATGTTTTTTTCTATTTCCTTTAAATAAAAGAATTTTGGACAAAAGGACATTTTTAATTTAGGGCTGTAAATCTTTAACTTTCTATATTTTCCCATATTTTAACTAAATGGACCTTAAATATGAATATCAAATATATTTTTTTTTACAAATATTTTTAATATAGCTCTGTGAATAGATATATACTTATCTATATTTACAAATTTCATTAAGGAGTATTAATTTAGTATATATATATATCCTCAGTGGAGAAATTGTATTTGGCATCTTCTGGTAAGATTTTTATTGGTCACAAAATTCAGAAAATAACGAGGAAACAAATTTCCTCAATATATATGTATATCGAAAACTTAGGGTTATTAATATTAGTCTTTGAAACAGAGTAAAACCCTAATCGGAACTAAAACCAAATCAAATCCCTCATTCCCCAATGATGAACATCTTCCTCACAGAAGATCTATGGGCGATTATACTGTCGAGATTACCACTAAAAACTATCACCGCTTCAAAACTGGTTTGCAGACAATGGAAATCCGTCGTCGAATCTCAGTTTCTCCGAGAGCTTTTCTTGTCTCGTCATCAAAACTCGCATCCTTCATGGTCCCTCCTCATGTTCAAGAATTCTCTAAAAGAAGTTAAAGAAGTTGTGGCTCACTACGGATGTGAGATTTGGGGTCTTCAACGATCTCTTGGTTCTTACGTCTCTTCTTTTCTTACCGACAAACTCCGCGAAGATGATAAACACCGACCGGTTTGGTTTGACGGAAACGTTAGTGTCGTTTACAGCGATGTCGGATTGATTTTGATCAGTTTTAGAAAGCCTTACGGGGGCTGGAACCGAACCTACTATGTGGCTAATCCGATTACACGACAATGTGTCGAACTACCTCCTCTTCCTCATCTTCCATTAGCTAAACCATGCACATACGATGGACTCGCCACACGGATTGAAAACGGTGTCGTTTTGAGTTACAAAGTTGTTCTGATAGAGAGATGGTACAGCGACACCAATAACCTATGTTTCCTGATATATTCATCAGAGACAGGCTTGTGGAGTTCCAACACTCTCCGTTCTCCTCTCACTTTACGCAGTGCTCTTGGTTTTGATCCAGTTAGCTTGAACGGAAAACTTTACTGGCTCGGCCACATCTCAGGCTTTGAAGAAGTTGTTTTCTCCTATGATTTCTACGCTACTGGCACGGAATCTAGTCAATGCAGAATTATACCTTTCCCCGACTTAGAAAGACAGCCGGAATTCAGAAGATCTTGCACAACTTCTCAAGGATCTCTAATGTATATGAACATATTCAGCGAACAAAATGGTGATGGAAGTGTGGAGCATAAGTTGAGTGTATGGAGGCTAAAGAGCGACGACGAATGGCAACTAGTATCTAAAATATCTCCCGCTTGTATTAAGACACGTTCCGACTATTCTCCGCTGATGATAAACCCTTTTGATGCTGATACAATGTACCTGGTGAGCAAGATGCATAAATGTTTGGCATCTACTAACGTCCACAAAGGCAAGTTTGGGCTTCACAACAACTTGGAACGTAGCAGCAATGGCCGCACCCTGAGTTTTTCTGGAGGGTTTAGCGATTTAAGAAGACTTTCCACTTTCCTCTCCCGCTTTGGCTATATCGGATTCCTTCTCCACCGTCATTAGCAAGGTGAGAGGCACTTCACTAGCTTCTTGTTATTGCCCTAGTTTTTTGTAAGTTTCTTTTTAGGATGGTGTTTCGTTTATTTGGAGTATTATGGTCTTGTTAATACATTATACTATCTCTTCCTACTCATCCTAGAGCTTAACATAGACAACACATTAGTTTCTGCATATTGGTTAACTCATTTAATTTTCATAAACTGTACAACAAGCTTATCATAAAATTATTATCACTAAGTTCATCTAAAGATACTCTCTTTTCTCATAATCTGTGAAGTTCCATGCTCTGATACCATGTAGAATAAGGATGTGTTTAACTGACTTGGTTTATTCATAATCCCAAACTTGGGTATTTATATATACAATATGTCACGATTCAAGATAACTTTAGGACTCCCACATACAAGGGATTTAATTCTACCTTAATATAAACTATATCCTTATTCTTAACACTTTGTATTTATCCCCAATAGACTCGTTGTCTGGAAACCACGTGGATCCCACTCAAGATTGCTTGTAAGAATGGTTGCACGAGTGGTTACAACCAATTATGTAGCTTTGCTCTTGGATACGAGAACAAGCAATCCTGCCGCAGCTACAAAGTCTATAAAATATAAAATCTTGATGTTTGGATGGAAATTACATGAATAATAAAATCTATGAGCTAAGCTCTAATTCATGGAGACTTGTTAATGCTCCCAACGACTTCTACGGACCAGAATATTCCAGCGTGTGTTTGAATGGAAATACTTACTGGATCACTCGTGATGACTTGCACTGTTTTGATTTTACAAGAGAGAAATTTAGAGGATCATTGTGTCTTCCTAAAGCTCATCATCATCGTCGTGCAGCTATATCATTTTTTAGAGAATAAGAAGTCTCAAAGTTATGTTATACACACTTTGCTTCTTCAGGAAAGGTGGAGATGTGGGTGACCAATAAAATAGTGGATGTGGAAGCCGACTTGTCATGGAGCAAATTCGCAGTGGTGTTAGTCCGTCCTAGCGTTAACTTTCATGCGTTCACAAGTCTTTTGATCGACGAGGAGAAGAAAGTGGCCGTGTGTTGTGAGTATAGTCCTTGCCCCAGAAGAAACGATGATGCCACGGAAGAAATCCCTCATTTAAAAGACCCATGGTTGCAGGTTTTTCTTTCTCGCACTTCTTGTTAAATTTGTTTTTCTTTGTCCCAAATAATTCAATGTAATTTTTTTTTGTTCTTACTTTATAATCTTCTGTGTGGTAGATCGGGTATTTCGGGTATTCGGTCCGATTGGTCACCCCCACATCTCCAATGATGTATATCGAATACCCACATTGGTCACCGATCCGAACCGAACCGGGTATTCGGTTATATGTATATCGAAAACTTAGGGTTATTAATATTAGTCTTTGAAACAGAGTAAAACCCTAATCGGAACTAAAAGCAAAATCAAATCCCTCAATCCCCAATGATGAACATCTTCCTCACAGAAGATCTATGGGCGATTATACTGTCGAGATTACCACTAAAAACTATCACCGCTTCAAAAATGGTTTGCAAGCAATGGAAATCCGTCGTCCAATCTCAGTTTCTCCGAGAGCTTTTCTTGTCTCGTCATCAAAACTCGCATTCTTCATGGTCGCTCATGTGCAAGGAATCTCAGAAAGAAGTTGTGGCTCACTACGGATGCGATATTTGGGGTCTTGAACGATCTCTTGGTTCTTACATCTCTTCTTTCGTTACCGACAAACGCAAGATCCGTGAAGATGATAAACACCGACCGGTTTGGTTTGACGACGAAGAGGTCAGTGTTGTTTACACCGATGTCGGATTGATTTTGATCAGTTTTAGAAATCTTGAAGGGAATCTAACCTACCATGTGGCTAATCCGATTACACGACAATACATCGAACTCCCTCCTCTTCCTCGTCTTCTATTAGCTAAATCAGCCAAACACTCTGGACTCGCCACACGGACTGAAAACGGTGTCGTTTTGAGTTACAAAGTTGTTCTGCTAGAGAAATGTTACTTCGAAACCAATGACCTAAGTTTAGAGATATTTTCATCAGATACAGGCTTGTGGAGTTTCAACACTCTCCGCTGTCCTCAATCTGTACGTCGTTGTCTTAATTTGGATCCATTTAGCTTGAACGGAAAACTTTACTGGCTCGGCGGGAACTCAGACTTGGGTGAAGTTGTTGTATCCCATGATTTCTACGCTACGGGCACGGAATCTAATCGATGCAAAGTTATACCTTTCCCCGACTTAGGAATTAAACCACCGAATTTCAGAAGATCTTGCACAACTTCTCAAGGATCTCTAATGTATATGAACATATTCAGCGAACACAATGGTGATGGAAGTGTGGAGCATAAGTTAAGTGTATGGAGGCTAAAGAGCGACGAATGGCGACTAGTATCTCAAATATCTCCGGCTTGTATTAAGACCCGTTTTGATTATTTTCCGCTGACGATAAACCCTTTTGATGCTAATACAATGTACCTGTTGAGCAGGATGCATAAATGTTTGGCATCTACTAACGTTCACAAAGGCAAGTTTGGGCTTCACAACAACTTAGAACGTAGCAGCAACGGTCGCACCCTGATTTTTGCTGGAGAGTTGGATTTAGCAACATTTTCCACTTTTGCTCTCCCGCTTTGGCTCTCTCGGATTCCTTCTCCACCGTCATTAGCAAGGTGAGAGGCACGTCACTTGCTTCTTGTTATTGCCCTAGTTTCTTTTAGGATGGTGTTTCCTAGAGCTTAACATACATATATAAGTATATAACACATTAATTTCTGCATATTTCATTTAATTTTCATAAACTGTACAACAAGCTTATCATAAAATTATTATCACTTACTCTCTTTTCTCCTAATCTATGAAGTTCCATGCTCTCTTCCTTTCTACCGAAAACAAATAAGTATAATCAGATTCAGAATAATTCCTGAAACCAAAGGGAACCAAATAACTTATTGTAGTGGAGATAAGTTTCCTTTTGCAAGTAAAATACCTAACTCGGAAAGTATTTTGTTTTGGAGAAATCTTCAAATTCCACTTTAAACATCAATTTATCGTCTACGAGAAGACCTTTAGAAGTATCCATAAGATCAGAGAACGGCACAAACTTCTGGAATCCCCAACAGTTTGCTCGATCAAACATGTTCGGTTTACGTGAATATTTGTAAGTGTGGCGCTTATAATTTATAGCCAAAAGATTGGAATTGAGTACTGGAGTTAGTTAGACACATACTAAAAGGTGAGTTAGGCGTAAATGTTTTTTTTTTTTTTTTTTTTTTTTTTTTTTGAAAAACAGTTAGGTATAAATGTTATTGGCTTTTCTTTTGGTGTAAACAATTTTTAGCGCAAAAAAGTTACTTCTTCTTTTTACCAATATATGTATGAGTATTGAGTCCCTATATGGCTATATGTAACTCATCTTTTTTTGGTGGTGGCCTTGATTGATCAATTGAATGGTTTTCAATGGAGAGTTGCAAGAATTAAGACGATTTTCCACTTTTGCTCTCCCGCTTTGGCTGTATCGGATTCCTTCTCCACCGTGAGAGGCACTGCATTTGCTTCTCGTTGTTGCCCTAGTTCTTGTTTTTCTTGTGTGAGAGAAACAAATTTTAGGATGGTGTTACGTTTATATCGAGTATTATCATCGTCTTGTTAATGCTTTATATATAACTAGATAAAGCCCCGCGTATACGCGAAATTTATTTAAAATTTATTGAAATAAATTACCAACAAATTATGAAACAAAATATAATTTATTGACGATCCATTCTCTCCAAAAGTTTCATTACAGAAAATCACTTGTTTTTGCATATCTTTCAAGAACCTTGTTAAAATAATATTTGTTCATCTTGTTTTTAATGTAATAAACTTTTTATTATTTATCTTATTGTAAAATTTTGTTTACATATAAGAAAACTGAAAAATCCAATCATGATAGCTTTAGAAATACTCTCTACCTTGTCATTTCTTTTATCCTGTGTTATTTTTCACCATATAAACCATGTCAATATTTACTCTACATATATAATGTACACACATGCATATGTTATGTAAAGAGAAGATAGATTTACTTCAAGCGTGAAGTTGGTGGGCGTGGTGGCTGATGTAAACATTGCTCTCTGATACATCTTTTTACGCAAGCAGAACCAACTCGTAGGTGACAATGCAGTTCACATTTTAGTCAACATCCAGCAATTGCACCTCCTCCATTTTTGTCAATGGCAGGCCATCCAACAGTTGAATCTCTTCCAATAGCAGGCATCACCACCAAAAAGAGTACTATCATAACAACAATCCATTTGTTCTCCATTTATTTTCTTATGTTTAAAAATAGATATTTTGTGGAAACTGTCATCACATGTATATATAATTAAAATCATATCTCTCCATTAAATGTATTTTGACTCAAAACATATATTTGGTAGTACTTGCCTTTTTAAAAAGATAAGATTTTACTTGTGTTATATTCTTAATTAACTATATTAGGTATGAAGTAATATATATATTTTCCATTTATCTAATTTTAGAATATGAGTTATGCAAAAATACTTTTTCCTTCTTCCGTTATAATATGGAATATTTTTTCCGTTTTAGAATATTGTAAATATACGTTTTCCTTTTGTTAACACATTTTAAAATAGTTTTTTTGTTCCTTTTTTTTCAAAACACATATGAAAGTCTTAATAGTAAAACTAAAGTTGACACATGTCAGGGATAATCTATTATAGAGGTTCACATAACTTATTTCATGCAGTTAGAAGATCTTATTATATAAAGCTGGATGCGCGCGATGTGGTTGCGACACGTAGGATTTTTATAAAATTTAGGATTGCGACATGTGTCACTTTTAATGTTATATCCGTTAAGATCGTGACATGTGTCTTAGAAAAAAAGGAAAAAAATAATAATTAAAAAAAATAGATAAAGGAAAAAAACGAAATTTTAATATAGTTAAAAGAAAAATTATATTTGTCATATCCTAATAGAAAAAGGTTTCCATTCATCAAATTTATATTATCCAAACACATATAAGATTCAAATTAATGAAATAAATAAAATCCTATTAGTACATGAAATAGGTTAGGTAAACTAAATTTCCTATAACTGCATGGAATAAGTTACATGAACCCCTATAAAAAGAGAGTTAAAGTAGTCTTTTTTCTCATTCACAAACTCATCAAAGCAAACAACATGATAGCAATACGCATGATTTTTATAACTCACAAAATTGCGATATGTGTTTATATTCCCATTATGAACAGGAAAAAAAACAATATATAATAAGCTATTGCGATTCAATTATGTGCTTCTATCTTTTGTATAATCTTTTCTCTCATAAAAAATCATGTATTTAAAATTCATGGTATCAATGAATAATATTTAACTCTATATTAGTTGGATAGAAATCAAAATTATTGTCGATACATGTATCTAACTCTATATCGGTTGGATAGAAATCAAAATTATTGTCGTTACATGTATTTGATCCGGTGAAGACATGTTAATTGGAAAAATGTTAAACAGATATAAAAACTAGAAAAATAATTAAAAAAAAACTAACTAATAATGAAAATGAAAATTTATAATGGTCTGAGTCAAAAACAAAATTGAGAAAGAAACAATATAAATAGAAAACTAACAAATTAATTATCAAGCAACTAACTTTTTTTTTGACATCATCAAGCAACTAACTAATATTAAGAAAATATAATGAACCGATATTCTAATTTTAAATAGTTTAATTTTCAATATTGTTAGGTAAAAAATTATTAAATAAAGATTTCATCAATTGAAATCTCTTGAATGGAATAATAAAGTTTTGTTGAATTAATTAATCAGTTGATCATATTTAGACATATATAAGTCTTTCTATATTGGATAAAAATAAAAATAAAACAAATTAATTCATTTTTCATATCATGAATTCAAAAAAAATATCAATTACAATAAAAACGTAAAAAGGTTACCGATCTTATTTTATTTAAATATTTTTATCGGGTTTTTAATATTATTCTGTTTACTTTAAAATGATCAAATTTGGTTTAATACTTTTCCATGATTTTATTACAAAATCTTAAAATAAACCCGCGTATACGCGGGTCTTAATCTAGTTATTTAATACATTATTAAGAATTTAAAATTAGTTAATATAACCTATTCCATGTACTATTAAGATTTTGTTTAATTGAATTTAATATATGTTTACCTATTCCATGTACTAATAGGATTTTGTTTATTTGAATTTAATATGTGTTTGGACAATATATATTTGATGAATGTGAAACATTTTTCTGTTAGGATATGATAAATATTTTCTTTTCTTTTACTATAATGAATACAATTTTCTCTTTTCTAAATTTTTGTTTAAGTTTTTTTTTTCAGTACACATATCACGATCTTAACAACCATAAAACTAAAAGTGACATATGTCGCGATCCTGTAAATTATAAAAATCATATGTGTCGCAACCACGTCGCACGCCTCTAACTTTGTATTAATATTAAAAGTGACACATGTCGGGATCTTATAAATCATAAAAATCCTATGTGTCGCAACCACGTCGTGCGCATCCAACTTTATATAATAAAAAAATTATAAATAGGAAAACTTTTTTTGTTTGGATATAATAAATATTATTTTTTCCTTTTTGATATAATATATTAAATTAAATTTCGTTTTTTTTATTAACATTTTTCTGGAATTTTTTTTTTAAGTTCTTTTTTTTTCTAAGACACATGTCACGATCTTAACAGACATAAACTTAAAAGTGACACATGTCGCGATCCTGAATTTTATTAAAATCCGACGTGTTGCAACCAATTTATATAATAAGATTTTCAATTTATATGATAAGATTTTCGTTTTTATTATAAAAGATTTAAATTTTCCCTTAATTTTTTTTTTTAGTTTACATATCTATTCCATGTACTAATAGGAATTTTTAAAATAGGGGTTTATGTAACTTATTCCATATAGTTTTAGGATATTAGTTTACATACCTATTCCATGTACTAATATGTATTTTTTATTATATTATTTTCAATTTATATAATAAGAATCTTTTTTTTATTATAAAGATTAAAATTTTCCCTTTGAAAAAGATTTTCCTTTTTTATTACATTATATTTTCAATTTATATAATAAGATTTTCGTTTTTATTATAAAGATTAAAATTTTCCCTTAATTTTTTTTTCTTTTTCCCAAAGACATGTGTCACGATCTTAACGGAAATAAAATTAAAAGTGACACATGTCCTAATCCTATATTTTATAAAAAATCTTATGTGTCGCAACCACGTTGTATGCATCCAGCTTTATATAATAAGATACCTCTTCTCAGTCCTACTCATTCTAGTGCTTATCATACATAACACATTAATTTCTGCATATTGGTTAATTAACTCACTTATAAGTTCATCTAAATATACTCTCTTTTCTCCTAATCTATGAAGTTCAATGCTCTCTTCCTTTGTACCGAAAGCCAATAATACATAACCAGATTCCACTATCATTATATGAAAGGTAGAGTACAAAATAAACTACATAAACAGAGTAAAGAGAAGAACTTCTGAAACCTTACGTGATTGATCATAGAATATAAGTGCTAAAATTTGAACCCTTTTTGTTCATCAGAGAGGAGAGCCATTGTATGCTTTTCTCTACTCATGACTTCGCTGGCAACAACCTCGAAACATATATTGGTTATGTGTGAACCCAATTTTGTATCCTAATATTTTAATTTAATTTATATTATTACTTATTAGCAAATTGGAGAAAACAAAAGTAATACACAAGTAAAAATACACGGATTGTTTTTCTAAAAAGAGAAAATACGCTTTATGTATGTGTATCTATTACTAATAAAAGTTGAGCCTATATGCATTAGAGGCTGTCCACCTAGGATTTAAAAGGTTGAATTTGATTGGTCCATGTCATTATTTTTAATTTTTTTGCTTTTAAATTAATTTATGTAAATTTTCTATTTTACATATTATTTATTAATTAGTTTTCAGTAAAGATAATTTCTCTGATTTTACAATTTTCGAGAACTGAATTATAAGTTTCCTATTCATAGATTATCTAAATTTACATATATTATTAGTATTAGTTTCTTTTTTAGTGGAAAATTTACACATGTTTTAAGTAATTATAGAAATAAATTTCCTATTCAGCCAAAAAGATGCTATGGTGTAGCGGTTATCACAATTGTCCTAAACTCAACAGGTATTGAGTTCGATCCTTTGCAGTCCCCTTTTTTTTTTAAACCGTTTCAAAAATAATTATATGGACATTGCCATTAGGTTACCACAAAAAAAAAAAAAAAAAATCAGACATCGGCATCTCCAAAACGGGATCTGCTACATCTTCTTCCCCTTTTTTCTACAAACCCTAAAACTGCATCTCACAAAACTCTCTCTCTCTCTCCACCGTCAAACAACAAAAATTCATTCTTCATTTCCCAGATTTCGTAAATCGAATTGGATTTATTTTGCCCTAAACTCCCTATTTCGCATTGTTGCAAGTTTGAAGCTTCAGTACAACTTCAGTTGAGGGAGTATTAGACCAAAAATGGAGAAATTCGGAATCTATTACTAAGATAAGTCTTGTGATTTGACTGTACAATTCGGCTGCTTTAATTTCTGGCGAATATAAGATTGCTTCTTGGCATTTTTTTCTTATTTCTTCTTCCAAATTTATTTCTTGGTTTCATTATTTCGTTTTAGTCTAGAAGATTCTTGAAAAACAAATTGGATATTGTTTGATAAAGATTAGGATTTGGATAGTTCCTATTTTTGTAATTATCACTTCTCTAATTTCCTTATTGTACAATGACATTGATATACATTGATTCCTTTTTCCATTAGGAATAAGATGATCTTAAATCCTATATATATGTGGTCTTATTGCCACATGAAACCAAGTTCAGAATATACATTCACATCTCTCAATCGATTTTTATAAGCCATGGCAAATTCATGCTCTTCTGTTTCTAATCAGTTAAGCCATACTTTGGTTTTCGATGATCTAAAAAAAGGTTTCATGACAGAGTCATCCACTTTTGAGGCACGAAACGTTAAAAAAGGCGGATTACTCATGGGTGTAGAACTCCTTCTCATGGATCAGAAGGTACTTAATCAAAGGATTTTAAAGAAAAAAATTGAACCTGAAGGCTAAGGACGTTTGATCTCTGTAAAAACAAGAAAACCAAACAAAAAAGGGGTAAAGTCAATGAGAAGAGATTTCAAATATTATTAAAAACGACCAGTGAAAGGAGAAAACGCTCTAAAACTCGACAGCTATAAGTCTCAGGAACTTGCCAAAGCAATTGCCACCACCTAGAGTTATACATTTATCACCAATTCGCATCCGGACAATTAGATTACAAACAAAATACACCATTTGGACATCAGCAAAAAAAGATTGAAAATACGGAAAATCTAACCTTCATCGAAGCCATTAGCTGAGAATCAGGAGAAGAAAGAAGCATCGAAACTCAGGGAAGGGGATGATGAGATGCCAAGAACAGTGATTTCGATGACTTTAAAACGAAGTCGTTGACTGAAGCCATTGAAGAAAAGTTGTGCTCCATATGAACTGAAAACAAAACCAACGAGATATTTCAAATATCAAATTGATAGCTAAACCGAACCGAAACAAACATAGACTGATTAAACATCAACAAAACTAGCAAACACCGAGAAAACCCAAAATTTAACTCGGTGACGTTATCGAAAATCATTTGACCAAAAAATCAAACCATCAATCGGCGATAAAGGGGAAATTCGAGATTGGTACCTAAGTTAATTGAGAAATTCAGAGCGAGAGTCGAAGGAGATCGAAAAGAAGAAGAAGCGTGAGCTCTCCCCTGGTAATAACAAGATTAGCAACAAAGAAGAGGGATCTAGATGATGAGATGGTTCCGGTGGGAATAAGGAAGAAGAAATATTGTTCGATTGTGGTCGGCAAATGAAAGAAAAAGAAACGAAGCATTTCTAATTTCTATGAGATAGGAAAATCGAACCGTAACAAACCAAAAGAATTTAACCGGGAATTGGAAAAACAATTAAAAGATGATGACCACGGGAAGAAGAAGAAGCCATATGATATGGAAAAAGTGGGAATACATTTAACACGATTATATCATATGAAACAATTAAAAAAAATTATTTTTTACTCCTGATCTTTCTGATTCCTTTCTTCCCGTCCTTAATGATCTGTAAAATACATTTATATTTTATTTTATTTTCTAGATATAAGACTTTTAAATATAAAAACAGTGATTTAAAAATAAAGAGATGAATTTATTGAATGGAATTAAATGCAACATAATTAAAATTACAAAAAAAATTAAGTATAAATCATAAATTCATAGCTGGAAAAGCTAAACAAATAAATAAAATTAAAAAATAAATTAAGAACTAAAATATGTATTAGACTAATATTGGATAAGTTTGCCAGATAACCTTTATTGGATATAAAAAAAATTGTCTAATGAATAGTAAAATTAAGGGATTAGTTTAAGAAATTTGAGGATTGGGCTGTTGTATGTTTTTATGACAAAAAATATTTTTAAAAGGTATCTTACTTATTATGACTACTTATAAAAATAATTAAATTGGTTAGGTAAAAAAAATTAAAAGTATATTACAAAAAAAGTTTATTAAAAAAAATTATAAACAAAAATTGAAAAATAGTGAAGCATTTTAAAAACTTTTTTTAATAAATGAAACTATTATTTTCATCTCTTATCAAAGAAACAAAAAAAATTGATGACTCGAACTTGATATACAAATATTCTTAATTGAATCATACATTTTCTTAATATTATTGAATAAAATTAAAATAAAGAGGACATAAGATTTATTTACAAATATTAAAACGGAACCCGCGCGTGCGCGGGTAAAACACCTAGTATATATACATAAGACAAGATAAGTCCTTGGGGTAAAAACAATAAAAAGCAAAGCCCTAATTAGAGAGATCCCCCCATCGAGTCATCTTTCTTCATCTTCATCTTCATCGAGAGACCAGATCGCAAAGAGCGAAACAATGGTGATGCCGGATCTTCCGTTGGATTTGGTAGATGAAATACTCACTAGGGTTCCGACCACATCTCTGATACGATTTCGATCTGCTTGCAAACGATGGAACTCTTTATTCAAAGAGTCGGGATTCTCCGAGAAGCAATCACGAAGAGCTCCAAAGCAGCATCGTGTTCTCATGCTGAAGGACGATAAGCTTTGTTTTACGAGGGTCAATCTCAAATCTGTTCCTCCATCTATAGAGTTTCATGAAGATGCACTTCTTACCCTAAAGGATACCAATTCAAAACAAGGTTATATAGATCAAGTCCAACACTGCGACGGTTTGTTGTTATGTCTCACCACAGACAATAGACTCGTTGTTTGGAATCCGTGTCTAGGTCAAACCAGGTGGATCCAAAGCAAGAATGGTTGCACGAGTTGTTACAACAAATACCATAGCTATTCTCTTGGATACGAGAACAAGCAATCTTGCCGCAGCTACAAAGTCTTGATGTTTGGATCGAGAATAAATGAATTTGAAATCTATGAGCTAAGCTCTAATTCATGGAGACTTGTTAATGCTCCCAAAAACTTGCACCGATCAGGATATTCCGGAGTGTGTTTGAATGGAAATACTTACTGGATCTCTCGTGAATATTCAGACTTGATATGTTTTGATTTTACAAGAGAGAGATTTATAGGATTATTGTGTCTTCCCAATCCTCCTCATCGTCGTCGTCGTCGTGCAGCACTATCAGTTTTTAGAGAAGAAGGAGTCTCAAAGTTATGTTATACACACTTTCATGATTCAGGAAAGGTGGAGATGTGGGTGACGAATAAAATTGTTGACGTTGAAGCTGACTTGTCATGGAGCAAATTCGCAGTGGTGTTACTCGGTCCTAGCGTTAACTTTTCTGCTTTCACGAGTCTTTTAACCGACGAGGAGAAGAAAGTGGCCGTGTGTTGTAATTTTAGTCCTTGCCCCAGAAGAAACAATGACGAAGAAAACCCTAATTTAAAAGACCCATGGTTGCAACATTTTACCCATTATGGTGATGGAAACTGGTGGCCATTTCTTTTCAATTATGTTCCAAGTTTGGTTCATATCCAGTCATAATAAACGAGTGGTTTTTGCTTCTCGCACTTCTTGTTAAATTTGTGTTTCTTTGTCCCAAATAATTTAATTTAATCTTTTCTTGTTCTTACTTTATGATTTTTTCGTTAATTATTTGATGACTTTTATGTGGTAGATGAATAAAACAAGTGTCTCCTTCCTTCTTTTAAAGCATATATTATACAAGACAAGGCTTATGAAAACAATGGAGAATCATACATGAGAAACTTAAAAGAGGATTTGGTTGTTGCATGCAAACTGTTACAAGGGAAGAAGAGAGAAATTTTTTAAAGAACTAAAAGGATCTAACAGATGGAGAATTTGATGAAACAGAAGTTCCTCTTCCACATCCTTTCTTGTTTCTCAAGCTCAAAGCTTCCATAAACTTCTCATTCCACGTCGAGCTTGTTCCTGCTGCTGTATTAGTAATGGTCTTCTTGTTACAGACATGATCTGTCGGAAACCTGTGTTTAAGACAGAACTTGACCCCACAATCTTTGCAAGTAAGGTTGTTGGCAAAAGTCAGAATCTCTCTGCAACGCTTGACAGGACAGATTGGCTTCTTCTTCTTCTTTGGGTCACAATCTCCGGATTTTTCGTGTTTCTCAAGCAAAGATTTGATTCCTTCTTCGTCGAAACCAGTTGTCTCAATCGCTACAGAACATGTCTCGCAGATCGAAACTGTTCTGCTTCCGTGATCTGATTTCGGACAATCGTGAGACTTATACGATCTATGGTCCAAACAAAACACCTAAACACAGAAAAAAAAAAAAAAAAAAAAAAAAAAAAAAAAAAAAAATCAATCAAGAAACCATTCGATTGAAAGATTCTTTGAATAAATGAAACTGAGAAATTTTTTTCCGGGAATTTACCAATTTGCAGCCATCACAAGTGAAAGGAAGAAAATCGAGGAGTTTGCAATCTGGGTTTTGGCAGTGCTCTCCAAGATCAGGAAACGCTTCTGTTCCTCCTCCTCCCATAGCTTCTTGTTCTTGTTCTTCTTCTTCGATTTCGTATGTTTAATGATTCTGAGAAGCGTGATGAATGTTTTACAGAGATATATATAGAGAGAGGTTGGGGCTGACTTGAAGGCAAAGCCAGCTTTGGTTTCTTCTTCTGCTTGATAAATCTCGTTTTTTTCCTTATTTGGATTTTTCTTTATATTTAAATTGGATCATTGTATTTTAAATTAGATAAAACGCGGTTTTAGATGTTTCTAGGCCCATTTTGGAGCCTATTTTCTTTGAATCCTTAAAAATAAAAGAACTGATATTATTAATCTTAATCTAATCCATTTTCTTATCTTTTTTAGGAAAGTATGTCATTTTATACTCAGTCGGATAAGATGTCATGATTTAGATAAATAACAGATAACAAAATTAGAAAACCATTTAAACGTAATAGTTTCATGTACTAGCATAAACAAACAAGACTACTGAATTTGTTATTCCATTAAACATTGCATAGAGGCACTTGGCCCACCTCATATAAGCAGGCCGTGGGGGATTTGAAGCCTTGGACCGATATATCTAAAAAATAGCTCAAAAATAAATTAAATAGACATTTTCATAACCAAAAAAACTAGAAATATCACTACGAAAAATTGCACCTAAACAAAAAATCCAATTGCCGACAAATAAAAAAACACACAAATTCCACCCACTTCCACGGGCCAAAACAATATTTTATACAGGTGAAAATAATTGCATTTTTTTTTTACATGGTAAACAAAGACAAACAATATTGTTCATCATATACATCAGTATAAGACCAAGTCCACATAGTCTAACAACAACCGAAGATCCCTCCTAAAATATCTCTTTTTGCAGTTTAACATAGTCTAACTGTTCTCTCATTAGCTTCTTATATCGTTTTCATCCTTATCACTCACACGAGGAACAATTCATAGTTTTTGACACTTTTTTGCACTACAATGGATTCAGCTGCATTTTTTCTAAGGCGTCGAACTGTCAGGTCTCTTTTCAATCCTTCTTCCGTTGGCAATGAAAGCTCTTATGAGACATGTGATTGTACCCTTTTAAATGAGATATTTCCAGCTGGAATTGTTAAGGAATTTGAAAAGGTACTTGACAATTCGATACCTTAGGAAAATGTGGTTGAAAAGTACTTCCCAAATGTCCACCTTCTTGTTGAAACGAAGAATAGTAAATGATGCTATACGCTATGTTAAAACGGCAACCTCAAGGTATGGGAGGTGGTATTTTCTCTTTTCGGAGAAATTGTTCTCGATCTTTGCGATTATCTTTCGTAATGCAAGATCGATGAATAGTTAGATAACCACTAAAACTTAATTATCTGCTTCTGCTTGAATCTCCCATCATAAAACATACACCATTAGGTGTAAGCTAGCTTGAGAATACTCTTGGAAGAATATAGTATACAAACAAAAAAGACAAATCATGATGTTTAAGCATTGCTAGCTAGAATACAATGGTCTAGACTCTAGAGCGTTTTACAGGATATTGTTATCTCTCGTAATGAGTGATTTTTAACCTTTTCATAGGAGGCAACAAATTGGAATGTAACTCCAAAAATTACATTTGTCTGATGCAAATTAATTTTTTGCATAAGAGAGTTTTGTAAGAGATTCAAATTTCTCATTTCATCATCGTATCACATCTTTTCTTCCTTACTAATTCTTTCTCAAGAGACAGATTAATTACTAATCTACCACTAATGAATTAATGATCCAACGAACTCAACTGTCAACACTACTTGGCTCAGCTCAAATGTAGAACCTTTTTTAGTCAATCTCTTCACCAAGGTTAATACTATGATTAGAAACGGCCATCCATATAAAATTACGTGTTTTACATTACAGAAACAACATATGAGCAATTACTCAGAAGATTCACAATCCCCTCAAATCTCCCAAAATATAAATAATCCGGAAAAAAAAACTCAGTTAATCGCATCGCACCTTCGCCGGATCTCTCCCCGTCGTCCGGTCTGTACTCCGTAGAGGCTCAGCTTCTGCATAGCTCTAGCAAAATCTTTAAAGAACCGGTCTTGATCTCTAGCGTAAAGATCAACAAAAGGCCGGGTTCTCGGGTCTGAAAACAACCCGTGATCCGACTCCAGTAACCCGAGACCCTTGCCCATGTTCTGGTAATACATGTTGTCGAATTTGTTCGGAGTCATGATATCGTTGAAGACGGAGATCGTCGGGTCTCTCGGGTAATTAGAACAAGCCTTCTTCAACGCGACGGCGAATCTCGGGTTATACCCGGTATTGTTACGGGCGACCCGACCCACGAACTCTTTGCAGTGTGAGAACCCGATTGAGTGTGCGCCACTGAGAGCGACCATCTCCTGAACGGAGAATCCTCTGTTTTCGAATTGGGTGATGAGCTTCGAGATCGGCATAGAAGGGAGAGGGAGGAGATCGGAGAGGAGAGAGGCTTTGGAGATTCGCGAGTCGCGGCGGCCGAGGAAGACGTCGTAGTAAGGACCGCCGACGGTGATGAGGAGGTCGCGAGTGGCGACGGAGATGATGTCGGAGCAAGAGACGGTGTTTGGGCAAGCGAGCTCGAGGGCTGTTTTGGCTCTGACGATGACGTCGAATCCGTCGCCGGGGAGGGAGAGGTTGATTGAGGAGTCGCGTTCGGCGACGTTGAAGGCGGTGGAGGAGACGAGGACGGAGGCGTCGCAGCCGTTGGAGAAACAGTCGTGGAAGAAGAGGCGGATGACGGCGGGCGCGGTGGTTGGGTTTGTGATTTGTTTGCTGGAGATTGTGTCGCGGACGATGTCGTGGAATCTAGGGCATGATTTGGCGTAGAAATCGGTGGTTAGGCGAGATTGTGCGGCGGAGGAGAGTAGAGTGATGGAGAAGAAGAAGTGGAAGAGAAAGGAGAGAGATTTGAGTGGCGATTGTTCCGCCATTGTTGTAGCTGAAGAGAGAGAGAGTGTGAGAAATGAGATATTGCGAGTGCTAGAGAGAGAGTGAGAGAGGCTTGGGATTATAATGGAAGGAGGAAGATGAAGAAAATGGGAGGGAGAGTGAAGACCACGCGCTGATGTTTGGTCCTTTAATCACGGGTTGTGTCTTGAAGTCAAAATGATGGTGGAGGATCCGGTTCACTTTAAGTAGTTTAGTTTTGTGGATCGGTTATCTATTGTAGACCGGTTAATGAGCAATAAAAGCTATTGTTGATCCGATTTCGATCTATCTTAAGCCAAAAACAAGACAGGATTGGCTAAGATCTACTAATTGGACGGACATTACGTAGTTCACATGCAGGCTGCAGCTGAACTTTTGGTGTGTGTGTAAAACAAAAGCTCTCTCGTCCACGCGGAGAAGACAGAGAAGCAAATCTAATTAGTCTCATGGATTTTATTTGATTATTTCATAGTTACGTGGCGATTCGGTAATTTCAGAAGTAGTATGATATTTGGTTCGTAACAAATTGACAATGGACTAAAATAGTTGTATTTCGAATTCGAAAACAGTGAGTTCGCACGCTTGTTTTGAAGAGAAGAAAGTCTGTCTTTTTGTCTCGAGTGAAATTATCGATGTACCATACATGTTTTTTTTAACTTTGATAATTTTCAAGTATGTCCTTTTTGAAAGTCGGAGTATAATATTATTGTCTTATGCCTATGGTTAATGATAACGGAATGGTCCCCTAAATCATATGGTTAATAAGCAGTGAGTTTAAGAAATCTCAGTTGGGCTGTGAATGGCAGAACAAATATATCTATGTGATGATCGTCCATTTAGTATTTAATAATCACCGAAAAAACATTTTTATGGTACTTGTGATTAGTGCTTTGTGTATAATGTCGGTGCTGAATGATAATAAATAGGTGTCTTGGGGTTGGTTAACAATTGGTATCTTCTGTTTGTAATACCCAATAGAAGAAATAACAGCAAAATACAACTGTGTATAATGGTCCAAATGATCGAAAGATGGATATGGTGCATGGTGATCATGCTGATTACATGATGATGGTGCTGTGATGGTGATGGTGATGATGTTAATAGTACGATCACAATGATGTGCTGATTATTCTTCGTGAAGAAAATAGCTTTGTTGAGTTGTTCACTGAATGATAATTTTCTGAGTAGCAAATAAATATGTCCCGACCTGGAAACACTAGTAACTAGTAAGACGGTTAGTTAAGTATTTAAGACTATAAGATTTGATCGGTAACTAAAAAAATCGGAAAATGTAGAGAAATATTACATGCAAAAGCTATATTTCCTCTGTTTCAAATTAGTTGTTGTTTTGGGAAAATGTATTTACAATTATTTGGATATATTAAACTCAAAACACATCCAGATACATCCAAATAATTGCATATACAATTTTCCAAAATGACAATTAATTTGAAATGGAGGGAGTACTATTTTCTCTATTAGTTAATTATTTGTAAAAATAAATTGCCACATTTTCCATTTGTTTATGAAAATACAAGAAATATTGAAGAAAAAAGACTATATATTTTCAAAAAGTCATAAAATAGAAGAGAGTTTCAGTCTCGTGAAAGGTGGTGAAAGGGCATCTGAGAAAGATGTTGGGTTTTTAGAAAATACATTGTCTGAAGTCTGAACTATTGTATTAGGAAGGATCGAATCGAATGGGCCCAAAATCTTTGAGTATTGTGACCTATTGTTTTTGCAACATGCATATCTACATGCTTTATGTTTTCTTTTTATTCTGAGACGATGAAACTAGGTAATTTGAGTTTATCCGCTCGTGTCAATATAACTAACAACGTGCAGAAAGTCAAAACATTGATAAAGTAAACTTTAACATATACTTCATCCTGAAAATGTACTTTACCTTCAAGGATAAAAGTGAGTTATACATGCCATGAGTTATAACTAGAGAATGTACAATTTGTCAGATTAGGTGAGCTGAACTTTTTTAAACTATTTGAGCTCTCGTTGCTCCACATTGTGACAAAAGTTGAAACTTGAAAGTAGTCCTTGTTCATTGCACAAAAAAATGAATATAGTCCTTTTAAAATCAGTTCCATTTATTGTTCAAAAACTCCCTGTAAAATCAGATCCATTTATCTTTATGATCGGCTAAAACTCCATATACAGTATGAAGCAAATGCTTACTAATATACCGTATACGACCCGTATAAAATAAATTATCAATGACTGACTGTCCAAAATTGAATGACAATTTTAGTCCAAACAATGGTGATCATGATCGAAGTCGAAGTCAATTTTTATAATTAGATACATAATAATACATTGTAACTACATTGCGGCCTTCATGGGTCGATTCGAGGATCCTAAATTTTGCATGTACCTTACCCTAAAAGACAAAACAGCTTAAAAGAAAAATCAAACGAAGGATAAGTTGCAAAAATTGTAATGATACTATGATAGCTAGACACAGTTGTGATTCTTGTCGAAGCATGTGATTTAGTGGACCCACAATGTGTACATTGTCATTGATCTTGGCCGTCAAAGCCATAAAAAGAGTTGACTATGAACCCGAAGTTTTCTTTAGAAAAAAATAGTTTTTTTTTCCGCTAAAACTCTATCTATATTCAAGCTGGTTGATTTTTACAGATACTTTTCATAACGTATGTGTACAAGTACAACTATGAATATGTTGACAAAAAAGACCGACGTATCCAACCCTTCGTACTTATACTCGTCGGTTGAAATTACAGAACAGGATGATACTGTGGAACCATGACAATTAATAAACGACTGGACTTCTTGTTTCTTTAACCAGTCGGTTTCTAGCAATTTCCTGCTGGAAACTCTTTAACATCATCAGCCAAGAATGTAACAGTTAGGCGAAGATCATATAACAAATTAATCGTTTCATTAATTTATCTCAAACTGGACATTATAAGTTCATGAAAATTATGTATAAAAATCCACATTTAAAGAAAGGGAAAAGAATCAAAAAACAAACAAAAAAATAAGCGAATATAAACGGGGTTTTCCCCCTTTATCTCTGTCTTCATTTTGTATGTGTGTCTAGTTGATCTGTTCTCCAATCAAATCCAACCCTACAACCAAGAAAGACAGTCCCTGAAACAGCAAGAAGTAGAAATGAAGACCATGCGCCGATAGGAAGCTCCTTGCAGCTGCGGTAAGCAGCAAGAACGCAAGCCCGAGCTCCTTCTTGAACACCATGTTCCCTTTCTTCTTGTTCTTCGGCCTAAGCCCTCCAATGCTCTTCTTTGGGGTTTCTTGCTCTGCAAGATTCATTTCTTGCTCCTTAAGCTTGCTCAGAAGCTCCAAACCGGACTCTGAGTTTCTCCTATGCAACTTCTCTTCCTTTTCAGCAAATGCTAGCAAGTCTGACTCTGATGATCTCCCTGTTTTCTTGGTCACAACCCACTCGTAAGCCGATCCTAGCTGGAACAGCCCAGAGATCATGGCGTTGAACTTGGTTATCGACATTGTGTTCTCGAAAAGGAGGTAAGGGATTAGGAAAGGGAAAGATTTAGGTGATGGGAGGATGTTGAGAAGCGAAATGAAAATAGGAACGTAGCAGATGATCCACAATGGAAGCTCGGCTTCGGGTATGAACATTGTTAATGGAAGTATGATGCAGAAGAGTGTGAAGGAGTAAAAAGGTAGAATCAGCTTCCTTAGAAGAAAGAAGAGGAAGATCAAATTTGCCTTCTTCCCCACGGATATCTGCAAAAAACAAACAAATGCTTAAGCACCTAGATAACCAATTTTTAGATGGAACATCTGTAACTAAACTTTTAGATTTATGCACCTTTGATTTGATGATTGAAGGAAGGCATAACCGGAAAAGTTGCATAGGACCGGAATGCCAACGATGTTGTTGCTTCTTGTAAGCTTCATAAGACTCAGGCAACTCGCAAGTGACTTCAACGTCATTGAGGTAAATGAATTTCCATCCGTTGAGATGAGCTCTAACGGCGATGTCCATGTCTTCGACTGTTGTTCTCTCGAGCCACCCGCCGGATTCTTCCAATGCTTTGATCCTCCAGACTCCTGCGGTTCCGTTGAAACCGAAGAAGTTGAGAAACACTCCGTTCACTTGCTGTTCTACTTCGAAGTGGAAACATAGGTTTATGTTTTGTAGCCTCGTGAGGAGATTCTCGTCTTTGTTCACGAATGACCACCTTGCTTGCACCAATCCTAGCTCTGGATTTCCCTGCAACAAACAATATAACACAACACAATATTTTAAATCAAATAATAAATTTTCAACACTATTAGATTGATAATAGTATGTCTACTATTATTAAAAAAAAAAAAATAGTATGTCTACAGTTACAAAAATAATGACGGATTTGTTTCCTAGTGATGGTAAAATTCGAAAATCTAAACAGAAAGTAGTATTTATTGTAAATGTGTAAAAGTACTTTCACAAGAAAAGAAGAAATGTGAAAACAAACGCAAAGAGAACGGTTGTAACCCAAAATCAAACAGAAACAAGATTAGGTTCAGCTAATTTTTAATCTGAAGAGTTGTTGCTATGACTGTGAAAATCAACCAACCCTCGACGTGTTGATTTTTTGTAATTTTTTATTTGTCGGTTACTATAATTTCATACATAACAAACAACTGAGATTTTCTAAAAAATACTATATTTGTCGGCTACTATGAACATGACCCACCGAAAAAGAAAGAATAAAATAAACGTGACAACTGTCGGTGATGAGTATAATTAAAATTCAGAAGATTGTTTCCATTAAAAAAAAAACCACGAATCTTTTTCACTGAATTTCTCTGAAACATCATCGTAAATTACGAAACTTCCAAAAATAAATAAAAAGAAGTGTTTTCCTTTTACAGTATGAATAGATTGTGTGGTTACCTTGAAATAAGGAATAGTCTTCTTGAGGAAATCAGGATTAGGTTGAAAATCCGCGTCGAATATAGTAACAAACTCGTAATCTTTGACGTAATCACAGGTCATTGCTGATTTTAGATTCCCAGCTTTGTAACCAGTTCTGATCAACCTATGCCTGTAGATTATGTTCACTCCTTTCTCTGCCCAAGCCGTTACTTCTTCCTTAATCAAAAGCTGCAAATTTGGATCGTCTGAATCATCAAGAACTTGAATCAAGATCCTATCTTTTGGCCAGTCAAGCTGCGAAGCTGCTCCTATTGATTGTTCATACACCTAACCAAAACAAAACACAACAAATTACACAACAGAACACAAAACAGAGTAAAAACAGAGCAAAAAACAGAGTATTTACCTCTCGTTCATTGCACATTGGGATCTGAATAAGGACCATTGGGAAATCAGACGCGTCTTCCAAATCCAGAGCATCGTCTTTGATCTTAGGCTCGATCTTTTTGAGTTTGATCCAGAGGCAGCCGAGGCAAAGGACTAACCGGTCAAGAGACTGGATCAAGAAGAGGACAGTGCAGAATTTGGAGACAGTGATGACTAAAGGAGCTATGTAGTCGGATCGAAACGAGAGCCAAGCCATGTAGGACCATTCGACAAGCCCGCGAACTTCCCAAGACGGTCGGTTCATGAGGTCGAGATTCCATTTCTTGTAATGCGCGACGATTTCTATGGACAAGGCAACTATGGAGATAACGAGACAGGCTTTGATAAATCTGTACATTTGTTTTCCTCTGCTTTTGGGGTCTTCCTCTTCGTTCATGTTCTTGGAGGAGAAAGCGATACGCTTTTTGACTGAAGCGAAGAGCCATGAGAGACAGGAGACGACCCTGTGAGCTTTGAGGAGGAGGAACCATGAGAATTGCTTTGGGCTGATGGATTTTCGTTTGTTGTCGGGGAATGAGGATGGATCTGAGCCGTTGATCTCTAGTAAAGAGAAGTTATCTGGCTTCTCCATTGCCACTGCCACTGAATTTGGAGCCATGAATGGAAAAAGAAAACAGAGAAGGAGAGAATATAAAGAGAAATGGAGATTTTTGGTACTACGAAATGTTTGTCATTTATATAAAGATGAAACAGAGGAGAGTAGAAAAAGGGTTTGAGTCGTCGCGTCGTCACTGTTTCATTAAATTTTCCACAAAAACTGGATCGTTTGTTTTCACAGACAAAGCAGTGATCAGATCAGAATCTGAGATACGATTGCGCAGCTTGTGTAACTGAAACTTGTGATTGAGAGAGAGAGAGTGAGACGAGGATCATGTGCTGAAGTGAACAAACTGGTAATAAAGAGGAGAGAAGAGGAACAAGAGGTCCTTCTTAATTTCGTTGAATTTTCCTCTCATTTTTATAAGGAAAAATTAGATTGTTTTTTTTTTCATGATTATTTTTGACGGCAGGTATTTAGTGGAACCATAATTCCAGCTTTCTTAATACATAAAGATGAATTTAAAAGATAGAACAAGATTATTGACCAGAAAACATACGTAAAACAAGATAAATGTGTTCTGATGATAAACAAAAGATTTGAACAGGATATATATTGTTAACTACTACAAAACAAGTTTTGTTTGTGAAATTACAACTAAATTCCAAAAATTTCAAGGATGTATTTACAAATTTCAGGTTATAAAAACGTTTCTACAAGTTTAACAAAGGTTCATAAATAATTCAATATCTTTATATTATTAATTGAGAAGTACATTCTAATGTTTGGATACAAGAATTAGAGAAACATCTATTTGGATAGAAGAATAAATGGAAACAAAAGTTGTTTGGATATAAGAATAAGAGAAAAATCTATTTGGATAGAAGAATAAATGGAAAAAATTGTTTGGATACAAGAATAATAACTTAAAATAAACCGATGGTTTAGAAAACTTCCGTTTTCCATCTCTTAAAAATCTGCAAAAAAAAAACTTAACATAATCTAACGATAATTCCAAATCAATAGAATATGCTTTTTGGATTTTCGGGTTTTTATAGACAAGTTCGGGTTTGGGTGAAAATCTGAGACATAATTTTATAGAGATATATATAGAGATATAGAAATTGTTCGGGTTTCTTTGAAAATTTCTGTTCGGGTTAGGTTCAATTTTTTTTTTCAGTTTAGGGTTTTCCGGATTTTTTAGATTTCTGGTTTTCGGGTTTAGATATATTAAAAAAATTGAGTATTTTAAAATTTTGATTAGGTATTGGGGTCGGGTTCCGGGTGAAAAAGTTTCCAGATTTTTTTTGTTCAGTCAGGGTTTTCGGGATTTTTTTGATTTCGGATTTTCATGTTTAGACCTATTAAAAAAGTTTGGGTTTTTAAATTTTTTGATTAGGGTTTTTTGTCGGGTTCGGATTTAGGGTTTAAATTTTCTACACAAAACAACAACGTCACACCGCACAAACGTGCGGGTACTCTACTAGTATTTTCTTATTTAGGAATCCCACGCAAAATCTTAAATTTATGGTATTTTAATAAATATCTTTCTTTCTTTTTGCAAATATAAGTAGCCAATAAAAGAAAGAATATCACAAATATACATCAGAAAAGTACGATCTTTTTTCTTTGTCAAGCTTTTGTCACCATTTGATTACTTATTTTTTGTTTTAATGTTAAGAGAATATTTTTCATTTGGTTAAAAGTTACTTTGAAAAGCAAATACGCGCCTACTTCGTTTGATTGTGTTGTCTATATGAGAGAAGCGGTTGTTTATATTATTTTAGGAAAATTTAGATCTCTATTCCCATATATAAACTCCAAAATACTAGTTTTCTTAATTTATTGGCAGGATCCTGCGCGATATATGCAATCATGAAACCGTGTGGATACATGCATAAATATATGCGTTTATATGAGTGTGTATTAAGAAGAAAAAAAAGAAAGAGAATATGAATTGAAAACTCAAAGGAAAATAAGATGATTTCAAGAAAAGCCCAAAAATCAATTTGGATGATTGGTAAGGAAATGGAGGATGACAACTTGGTCCAGCGAGGACCAGATCAAACTTGTATAAAATGTAATTAGATCAACTTTAATAACTTCTAGTATTACTTTTTATTCAAAGTACACTACACTAATAGAGAAATGGGCTATGTTGTCACTTCACTGTCTTCCAACTTTTTTTAGACTATAACAATAAAAAAGTTTATCCAGGTTCACAGTGTTTAATGTATCCGCTTATCAATTGGAAATTTGGAGACATAGTAAACACTAATAGTAAACTTAATAGATATTGATTTTCTATGCTACTACAACACTAATTCCAAAATAAATCGTAGTTTTAATGTAACAACTAAAAACCAAATAGTTGATCAAAAAAAAAACTAACAACCAAATAACAACATTTGAAAGGTGAATCAGCAGTTATGAACAAGAGATATGTTCTTATAATTTTAAACAAGTGACTAATTACTATTTTCAAACGAAGGAAAAAACAGTAATCCTAACCGGTGGGCACATGGGAAGTTTCAATTTTGCGAGCATAAATTATTATATTAGAATATATTTATACTTTTATGTCATTATATATATATATAATATATACATATTATATTTATAACTGAAATAAACGGTGGATAAGTTTTGAATTGAACTAGTTTGACTTAGGAAGAGAATATACTGGCACAATATACAAGTTATAAAGGACCGCGTGTTTACCACTTGCGTAATCTTATTCTCTTATGACATACTTATGATGCTTATGTGATAGTTATATATTGACCAGACCTAATTAGCAGTTGGTGTAAAACGCGCTTGAGCTGGTAAATGGTAATTACTTCACAGTTGTATAAATTTTAGCAAAGCTAGTACATACTGTACTTTCTTTGCCCACATTTATAACATTACCTACAAGGCCACAAGACTAAACTAACATATGTAGCAATAGTGAAGGTATTAACTTATATTTGAAAATTATGAAGAATCTCATTTTGTTTTTAATAATTATGAGTTACCTTCTGATGGGGATTCCTCCCACTTAGCATTTAATAGGTTTTTAATTTCTTAATTGCGTGGCCAACAATTTTTTTTTAAATCGTACCTGTGTTATGGATATCCCCCGAAAATATTTTGAATATGATAAAATAACAATGAATATGATTATATATGTCATTAATAGAGGCACATGCTCTCTCCTCAGCACAGTGTCACTGAAGTAAGGTCTACCACATGAGAGAAGGCCAAGTTTTGTGTCTTCTATTCTCAACCCAATACTCATTTAAATATTATGGTATCGTTTATATAATCAATTATCAAATAACTCACCTAGCAATAATATATAGTGTCTCCTCTAAGATTTTCAGATGCAATCGGTGGGGTTCTGTTTTTAAATTGTGGAATTCTTATTTTCCATCGTAAAAAAGATTTTTTTTTATGTCTTGATTGGTCAATTTCATCAATAAGACAATATTTTTAACTGCTTATAAGTCAAATGATGGTCTTTTTTATCTACTTTAGTCTATTGGGTTTTTTTCACACATATATAGAAAGTCTCCAATGTCTCTGCTATCTCGATCCCTAGACGGCTAGACCCTAGGGAGGGCATGGCCAGATAACGATTTATTTTCGTAACTCGTTAGTTTCCATTATATTTTCTTTAGAGTAAAATTTTCAGAACTTCATAAATCTCAATTTCAAAGTTTCTCAACAAAGTAGTACAGTGGCATCCAAAATCAAGTAACTTAGCGCCAAATGTCCCTTTTGGTATTAATTGAGACTTGAATTAAATCATGAATGTCTTAAAAACTTTCCATATAAATAGATGAATTATTATGTTAAAAATCACTATAATGTGGTTTTTTCTCACTTCTAATTTTGGACCTCAAAAGGAACATATGGGTCACTGTGAATTCATGTGGCTGTATGTGAGTGTGTCCTAGCAACCAAGCAAATGCAAATTCTAGGAGATATTGAAGAGATAAGCCAAAGTGAACATGGAACATGTCTTCAACTCTTAAGCTAATGTTTATAGGTTTTGCGAATTTTCATTGGCATTGTCACATGTGAAATTGTACTATACACATGTGGTATGGCCTCTCTGGCCATGATTGTATAATAATGTACACATTAAAAAATAGGATTTCGAAAATTTTATTTAATTGAGTTTAGTTTTTTTTGTTTCTTTTAATTCTTATTATAGTTGGGCCTGTAGATTTCATATTAAAATCTCCAGGGTTCTAATAATCTAGCTACCATAAATCATAATAACTGGATCTGCATTTATGGTTAGATTTGCAATATAATCTTCTACTTAATCAAAACCATATATATTTGATTGTGTAATTTTTTTTGTTGGATCAAAGAAAGAGTATTAACGGTCATCTACAAGCAAATTGCTTAAACTTAATAAGTCTTATATAAAGCATAAATGCTAGATGTGAAGAGAATTCCATTTCATCTGACATATACAAGAGTTCCAAATTTATTTGGTCCAAAAGGAAAAAAAGTCTAAAATGCAATACAATAACGTAACAAAGCATTGTCAATTGTCAGGTCTACAGTCAATAATATATGTGCAGAGTTATGATTCTTTTAAGAACAATTTTTTTTGGCAGAAAATGTTTGTACCGTCCGAGAGTGGATAAACCTCCCAATACCAAATTATATAGGATAACTTACTGGATTGAAATCAGTAGCTGGATAGTCAAAATTGATAGTTTGAACACATATAAATTTACGTTCAGAAATAATCTGAATTTGCAGTGACACCTTAAAAACGTTTGTTCTCATTAGTCCATCCAAATATATTGCAATTCAAGGTTTGATTCATAGCATAGTTTGGAAATAAACTTCTATAAATCTATTTGCAATTCAAGGTTTTGGTGATTTGATCATCCAAAATTGCAAGTCCTAACATTTAGTTATGTTAATGGATAACTGATCATGTGTTTAAAGAACCGGACTGAATTCAAAATATAGTTTCCCTAATATCTATATCATATTCACAAGGTATACATCAACGAACAGTATTCAGTATTCTAGTTAGCAAACACATAATACTATTCGACCCAAAATGAATATATGATATCGATATGACACATTTAAGATTAATAGACTAACTTTTGTGGTGTATAACCAAAAAGAATTAAAAAAGGAATCAGTTATTTATATTTGTCAGATTCTTACAAATTATTGAAGTTCCATATCATCTGCTGCTCTCCCTCTTCTCGAGGGTAACAAGTTGTATATAATCTTCTGCTTTTTCGAGAATGCCTTTTAAACAGAAGTACATTTTTTTTTCCGATTTCTTGACAGAAACGTAAAAACAAAGCACACTAATAATGAGCGATGACTCCATATGGTTACTATGTAGTATGTATGGATCATGGAACTCGCTAGTAATGGTTTTGTAAATGCACAACGAGTCTCCATTCAGTTAATATATATGGATCGAATAAATTCTTCCCAACTCGAACCACGACGACACTTGCACAGTTCTTAAAGATCTGCATCACCAAATTAAACAGTAAAAGTCGTGTCCTTACTTACACTGTCAATCTGTCACACACATAATCATAAAACTTAGAAGTCACAATTAGAGAGCTGATAAGATCTAAGAAGTGACTCACTCTCTCAGCTCACAATCTTATCACAAATGACTGAATAACACTTTTATTGAAACGATAGATTGAAAGAACAATTGAATAACGAGGCAGACATCGGATCCCTTACCCAGGAATCCCGATTCTCCTTTGCGATCTAAGAATCGCCTGAACCTGAAAGTTCCTCTCCGTTTTACAAATTGTTCGATGATCCTTAACGTAAAACAAATGAGATGCTAATATACTCAAATGCAGCAAAGACTCTAAACCAGAGAGAGTCTCTCATTTGCAAATGCAGCAAAGACTCTAAACCAGAGAGAGTCTCTCATTTGCTTCATTCTTCACTTGCTTTGCCTTTGAATTGCTCTCTTCTTACTATAGCAAGCTTATCAAGAGCCTCCTTGTTAAGGATTCTCTTTTGCACACTCAACTGCGACTTTTTTTCAGTTCTTTGGTTCAATACTTCAATGAGCTAGCTTAGAGAGGATGTGATGGAATTCAGATTTTAGGTTTCCATTATCGAAAGGTGACTAGATTCAGAAAATATACAAGGAACAAAATTAGAAAGTTATTTTGAGGATACGTGTTTTATATGCGAAATGATAGAGCTAATCTTGGGCTGGATAAGAATCAACTAGCTGCTTTATAGGCCCAACAAGACCCGTCAAGTAATCTAGCAAAGTAATCTCCACGAGACCACGACATTCCCTAACTGACAATCGTTCAACAAAATTGTCTTTGTCTTGGATCTGAAAAAATACAACATGAGAACACTTTGATCCTAATAAGGAAGGGACGTCAAACTAAAAAAAAACATAAAGATGGCAAGCGACCCGAGAACGCGAATGCGATTGTATCCTTCATGTAAGCAACTCATGCAAGCCGAGATAGTATAAATTACTAAATTGCATGTTTTGGTCAAAAAGAAGAAAATATTTTTTGTTAATTATTTTGAATTTTTTAAATACGCTATTAAAGTTTAGAAATCCCACAAAATCGCGTTAAATTAATAACCTTATAAGTTGTACGAAGAAAGAAGATTATAGTTGACGCGTTAAGAACCAAAAGTGGCAACACAATTTTTCTACAAAGAGGAAAAGGAAATTACACCGTGAAATGTGGACTAAAAAAGTCTCACCACTTTCACAATTCACATGCAAACACACACCGCATCGTTGCACGCCACGTGTTGTCATCTGACGGCTACCGTTACATAATCAATGTGAAGCAAACACTTTGCAATATATTTTTTTTGCTAAAGAAAGAAAGTGTATTTCAAAGGAAAATAGCCATAACTCGCCATTGTTAATAACCTTTCTTCTTCCTTTCCAAAATGATAGTGTAAGGAAACAGAATAAAAGAAAAATATCTCCGCGTGTGTCCTTGTATATATATATAACATATGTTTAGGTACATTTCTAGGGATGAACGACATGCAATGAAGAAAATGAAACCATCATCTCTTTTCTCGAATTCAGAGAAAACAGAGAGATGGATGTTGACGAAGATGGGAAGATTAACGCCATTGCTCTTGTCTTCTTTTTGCATAACTCTCTTCTTCACCGGTTTCTTCGTCTTCCCTCAGAATCCTTTTAAATCCATCTCCGATCGAAAATTTCTCTCCCTCCAACCTCAAATCGGTAAGGTAAAACCAAATATGATCATTTCTAATATTTTTTTAGCCTTTTTATTTTCCTCTCTCCACGAACTGAGATTATGGGAATATGGATTATTTGTAACTTTGAAAACATCGAAATGTATGATCTTATGTTCAACTCTTCCCATTGTTGTTTGAAACATCTCAACTTTGTAAAGAAGTTACACTTTTGTTCTTGTGACATTTGTCGGAAAGTTTAATTGATTTTGTTTATCTTTTGCTGTTGTGTTGGGTTTGGTTAGATCCGGAATGTGAGTTGTTCAAGGGACATTGGGTTAGAGACAAAAGAGGATCTTTGTACACAGACTCAAGCTGTCCTACGATTCCTGACTCCAAGAACTGCATAAAACATGGGAGGCCAGACAGAGGTTTCTTGTTCTGGAGATGGAAACCAGATGGCTGCGATCTTCCTAGGTTTAACCCTAAGGCGTTTCTCGTTATGGTTCGAGGCAAGAAGATGAGGTTTATTGGTGACTCTGTAGCAAGAAACCACATGGAATCCCTTCTCTGCTTGTTGTCATTGGTACACACTTGAGGACATATCTGTTGCTTTGTTCACAAGAAAAGGGTTTTTTAAAAGAATCAATCACTTTTGCGTAAGCTTTGTGTGTTTGCTTGTGCAGGAAGAAACTCCTAAAGATATCTACTCTGATGGAGATGACAGAAACAGGATTTGGTACTTTCCAAAACACGATTTCACTCTCTCGACCTCGTGGACCAAGTTTCTTGTAGCGGAACAAGAGAGGACAGATGGTAACAAGACCGGAACAGGAGTGTTTGATATAGATGTAAGCAAGATCGACGAAGGGTGGTTTAAGGATCTGCCATTTACAGACATTGCTATTGTCTCGGCTGCTCACTGGTTCTTCAGACCTATATTCATTAACAGAGGAGACGAGTCGCTCGGTTGCATCTACTGTAGCTCACCAAACGTGACTCAGATTAGCCCTGACGAAGGGTTTAAGCTTGTTTACTCGGCGGTGTTTAAGCACATTGACGAGTGCGAGAAATGCAAGAGAGGTTTAGTCACTGTCATGAGGACTATCTCGCCTGCGCATTTCGAGAACGGGACTTGGGATACAGGAGGATCTTGCGGCAGGAGGAGTCCTTTTGGTGAAGACAAAATCGATCTGCAGAGCAACGAAATGAAGATCAGGACGTCTCAGATTGAACAGCTTGAAGGTTTAACGAAACGAGGCAACAAAGGAAAGAAGTTTGCGGTTTTGGATGTGACTAAAGTTATGCTGATGAGACCAGATGGACATCCGAATGGTCACTGGGGAAATAAATGGATGAAAGGTTATAATGATTGCGTCCACTGGTGTTTGCCTGGACCTATTGATGCTTGGAGCGAGTTTCTAATGGCGATAATTAGTCAGTTAAGATGATTTGTGGATAAACACACACAGTGAAAAATCATTCTTTGACCTCTCCTTATGAATAAGTAATATCACTGATGTGATTTTTTGGCTGCGGCTTCTAGAATATAGACATGATGCTACACAGATTATACAAATACTCAATAGAACACACATGACTTTTGTTTACCTTATTTGGTTTGCTCCTGATCTTCTGCAGACAGTACCATTTCATACTTTAACTCACCAGTTCTTGGCTAGTAAGTAACTTTTGTAAAGGCATGAAACACAAATGAAGAATCTCAAATTTAACAATGTAACTATGATCAAGCAGTAACTCTCAGCTGCAGAAGATTCAAGCATCATTGGGCATTGAGAAGTATGCACCAAACTGCATATGTACTAGAAGTAAATGTAATCCAAACGAATGGAGAAGTTCTGCAGATCCAAAAGATCAATCTTTTACGGAAAAAACCTGATCAAAGAAACAAAATTGCTAAACTTTTGTAACCAACCATCTTCACTGTTACATTCCAGCAACAACGAGATCATCAAGATCGTTTTTGGAGTTAAAGATCGAGACTTTTTGTACACAAGGAACTGAGAATTGATGAATTGCAATTCTTCAAACTATTCCTCAGAAACCCAATTGTGTTCAATAGTTAACATTTCATATAATCTAAACCAGAGGAATTACACAAACCCAATAAGCTAAAAATCATCAAACCCTGAGAATACATAGCAAATTGATATCAAGACTCCAAATTGTTACCAAGAGCAAAAGAGAAGACTTCACGAACCGGAGAGAACTCAACGAGACCAACATCCATGGCGTAACCGTTCACCGGAAGCTTCAAATCCCTCAGAACAGAGAAAGCCTCCGCCATACGAGACTTAGGCACCTCGAGCGCCACGGGACAGAACGGAACCCACGAATCGGGACGATACTCTTCGCCGATCTCGACGCCTTCTTTCTTCACCGCGTCGCATAGCTGGACCTGAAGCTGGAGGAGCGAGAGAGACGGCGTCGGCGAGAGGAAGAGCACGTTGTTGTCGCTGGAGAAGCTTCCGATGGAGGAGAAGGAGAGCGAGAGCGGCTCCTGCCTCGACGCGAAGGATTTGATGATGGGTTCGAGCTTCGTCGAGTCGACGAAGGGAGTGGAGAACAAGGTTATGTGGGGGCGAGACTCGGTGTTGATCAGTTTGGTGCTGATTTGACGGCGAGCGAAGACGTTCCAAGCTTTCAAGACTTGGTTTTCGAGCGCTGGGTCGAAGTAGAGCTCGATCGCGAACCCTTCTGACATTTGATTTCGTCGGGAAATTGAAGATTCGAGGAAGAAATTGAGAAGGTGCCCAGGAGACGTGAAACAGAGATCTAGGAGTTACGATTGGAGAGAAGACCTAGGAAGAGCAAATCGGGAGTGATAGTGGTGGAGAAGGTAAAGCTTTGACAGCGAGAAATTGAAGGAAAAGGGAGAGAATTGTTTTTGGGGAAGGGAGGATTAAGGGCCTGACTGGTGCTGAGACTGTGAGAGCTTTAAAAGTCTTTACAATTTTTTTTATCTCAGACTTTCATGACTTTAATTTTTTCTGAAGTATTGAAAGTCCCTTTTTCATTTTTCCTTCTTTGGTTTGATTTTTTTTTTAAATAATTTTTTCAAGACTTTTATTTTTTCTCCTTCTTTTTTTCTAAGATTTTTTTTAGTTTAATTACTTTTATTTTTCTTTCTCCTCCAAAAAAACCAAAAACTTATTTTTAACACAAAATTAATTTTATTTCAATAATTTTGTTTTTCTTATCCTTTTAAGATCTATTTTCATATAGTTTATAGTTAAAATATTATTTTCTTAAAAAAATAATCATTTTAATGTTAAAATTATATTTTAATTAGTTACGTTAAAAGAAGTTAACTAATTAGAAGATATTCATGCTCTTGTAAAAGGAAATTTTTTTTGACAATCTTTTTTTTTAATAAAATTTAAAAGTAACATTACAGTTTATGTTACCAATTAGATTTTCATTATTTTTAAAAGTTACAGTTACAGTCTCTAATGCCAAATTCTTTACAACCAAAATCCAACAATCACAACCTAAAACCAAAGTTCTAAACAATAAGGTCCTAATTCTCAATTGCGAAGATGATGATGAGTACATGGAATTATGAGAATTAATTAAAAAAAAAAACTAAAGCAAAAGAATCATTAAAAGGAGAAAATTATATAGTAATCTATCTATATATCTATCTATCTATCTATCTATCTATTATAATATTAGGTGGTTACCATTTTTCTCATGAGAGGCTGACATGTGTCACTTCAAATTGTTGACATATGTTCTTTTTTAATTTAACATCTATTTTATCTTTTCATATATATTTTTTTGTCAATTAAAATCAACAAACATAATTTTTATCAATAAATACCACATTAACTCTCTACAATTACAATATCATCATTTTAATATTAGGTGGTTACCGTTTTTCTCACTTCATGAGAGGTTGACATGTGTCACTTTAAATTGTTGACATGTGTTCTTTTTTAATTTAACATCTATTTTATCTTTTCATATATATTCTTTTGTCAATTAAAATCAACAAACATAATTTTTATCAATAAATACCACATTAACTCTCTACAATTACAATATCATTTTCATCAAATATTTATTTCATATAAAGTAGAAAATTAAATTACATTCCATTCTTGCAAACATATGTAAATTTTTTATGTAATACTCCATCTATTTCAAATTAGTTGTCGTTTTGGCAAAATGTATTTGCAAATATTTGGACGTATCTGGACGTGTTTTGCATTGCAAATACATCCATGTTTTCCGTCAAAATCTCAAAATCACATTTATTTGCAAAAATCGTAAAATCATGCTTTTTGGTCAAAATCTCAAAATCCCGTTTTCCGTCAAAATCTCATAATCATTTTTTTCCCGTCAAAATCTTAAAATCACGTTTTCCCGCCAAATCTCAAAATCACGTTTTTTTGTTTTTGGTCAAAATCTCATAATCACGTTTTTCTGTCAAAATCTCAAGATGACGTTTTTCTGTCAAAATCTCAAGATGACGTTTTCTCGCCAAAACCTCAAAATCACGTTTTCTCAATCAATTGGTTAATCATCTCAGTCCATCAAACTAATATAATTTTAACCATTTCAATCAAATCCAATTGATCCATCAATCGAGTTTACCCATGAATCCATTTGTATCCAAATTTTAAACCTATTTAGGCTAATGGATTGGATGGGTTGGATGAATTCATTAATTTTGACATCCCTAGAGCTGGTTGAATTCAATTTTTTCTTCTTTTTAAACAGACTTGAGAGGCAACGCACAAGGTAGGAAACCAGAAGGTAGAATTAACCATACATGATAGCAAGTAAGGTACATGTTTTGTTCAAAAGCAAGTTGTCTACATTCGGTTAAACACCTAATAATGTAGTTCCTTGACGACAAAACAAGCTTAAAATCCAGAAACAAACTCGTTGATCATCTCAGTTTCTACTGCGGAACTTTACCACGGATGAGATTGACGAAGACGTCAAGCAACATGCATTTTTGAAGAGAAAGCTCAAGAAATCTCTCTATGGTCTCTTGATCCGTCGTGCCCTTGAAACTTGAAACTTTCAAGACTCTCCAACAAACATTCAGTTAGGAAGAGAGTCATTGTCCCAATCAAACGATTCCTCAAACTCCTCCCGACAGCCGCCCTGAGATGGAAAAAAAAAGAGACGGTGAATAAAACCACGCCATAGTGTGCTTGTTAAATCGAAAAGGAGTCAACTAAGAAGTTTAGGAGAATCTTGGAGCAAGTTGACAAGTAAATCCTTCCAGTCATAGTAGTTTATATCTAGCTCCAGATGTTCCAGCTGATTAAAGATAGTACCAGCAGGATACGCAGAAATAACAAGAGAGGAAGAAGGAATTCGTGTTGAATCATTAGATGGAAACAGCAGAATTACCTCTCCTTGAAAGAGTGATGGGCATAAAGAAAGGCGTTTGACAGAGGTTACTGATTTAAGAAGCTCCCCGATATCATCATAAACACTGATATCATCAAAAACCGATTTGCCGTCAAGTATCAGAGTCGCGAGCGATTTGCAGGTATACAAACTAGTCGGCAAAAGTACACGAGGATCCTCATACCAAGAATCACAGCGGATACTCAGCTGATTTTCTCTTACAGTCATTTCGTAATGGTCTAGTTAGATTTTCTCTTCGGATACTCCCTAGAGTTATGGGTACCTTTGGGTGAGTTGAAGTTGTGGCCTCTCTGATTACTACACTTTTCAGACTTGAATATTGTTGCTCTTGGGAAATAACTAACTAAATAACTACTTTTTTCATATTCAGTCATGTAGCTCCAGAGTATGAGAAAAGTGATGTCTACAGCTTTGGAGTTGTGCTCTTGGAAGCTATAACTGGTAGATCTCCATTAGACTATGCTCGTCCATCACCTGAGGTAAACATTTTCATAAGAAACCTTGATAACACATAGACGTTCATACCTGACGAGAGCTCTCTGATTTTCATTTTGTAGGTACATTTGGTGGAGTGGTTGAAGATGATAGTCCAACAAAGACGATCAGAAGAAGTGATTGACCCGAACCTCAACACAAAACCATCTACGAGTGCCTTAGAGAAAACACTCTTGACTGCTCTGAGATGTGTTGATCCAATGTCCGAGAAACGACCGAGGGTGCGCCAAGTTTCTCGTATGCTTGAGTCCGACGAATATCCAATTCCTAGAGAGGTATGAACAGAGGAAAAAATATTAGATCTGTTTTTGTTTGAGTTTGGTTTGTTGAAAAGCTTTACCAATTTTTGTGAGAATTTTCAGGATAGAAGAAGACGAAAGAGTCAAAACGGGACAACAAGAGATTCAGATCCTCCTAGGAACAGCACAGACACTGACAAGAGTGAGTACCTTGACCTAAAGCCGGAAGCTGGATAGCATTGGAACTAAATCGAGGTCTAAATTGTCGCTGAGCTTTGTCTGAAGCAAGAAGTCATTGTTCTTCTCCAGATCTTCTGTGTTATGTGATATATCTTCTTTTGTTCATTGGTAATAAGGAGAGAGAGAGAAAGAGAGTGAGTGTTCGTTCATCTGTTTGTTTGCTTCCATCACACCATTTGCTTGTATAGTGTTTGTTTGTTGTATCATCATCATTTGCTTTTCTCTACACCATTGCATTGATGCATATCCCGTTGTCACTCAAAGCATTTTATAGTTTTTTGTTTATCTTTTGTAACTGCTTTGAGTAATGTTATGGATTCATTCACACTACCATTATATAAACCTTCCAATTACCAGATGGAGCAGAGTTATAGAGAACACGAGATATTATGTACAATGGTCGAATACAACATCTATACATTCATTTTTATTTTTATTTTTCTTGTGTCACAAGCATCATATAAAACTCTACGTACAATCGCTGTTTTGTATTCATTATCAGGGAGCATATTATTGATGTGGAGATGGAAGAGAGATGTAACTAAATTAAAAAAAAAAAACTTGATTAATACAACAAAAGGAAAAGAAAGGTACACATAGTGCAAAATCTCATTACACTAACAAAGCTATATAGAGATTTGATTCCTCTAAGCTTGTTAGAGATTTGATCCAATAAGTTCGAGTGCTGTATATGTAACACCCTGCTCCCGCTCCTATGTTTAACTTGAGCCCAATTCGTTATAAAGCCAATTGAGGCCCAAGTGGATTAACTCATTCTAAGAAACAACAGGGTTTGTGTGTGTTAAGTATCTCATATTGTTGAACCCTAGCCGTCATATATGCAAAGAAAGAGAGAGCGTGAATGTTGTGGTGAGATGAGAGAGAGAAGAGAAGGCAGAAGAGAGAAAGAGGAGAAGAAAGCGGAAAAGATGGTGGAGAGGTAACAACTACGGAGGTGACGACGGCGAGGTTAATCATAGTTGTGTGGTTTGGTCATGGCAGAGAAGTTATGGTGGATTTATTATCAGTAACCTAGTTGCAGCAGAGGCTAAAAGCAAAACAGAGATAAAGAAGAAAAGAATTAGACGATGCACGTGAGGAAGGAAACGTAGCGGTGCGACCGGAGCTCTGATCTGACACAGCGAGGCAGATCCGGAGGCGAAAGTGGAAGGTTGTGAGGAAGCAGTGGTCTTTCAAGCGTGACAATGAAGATCTGACTAACATTTAAGTTGTGGAGATGCAAAACTAAGACTGTGTGGAGGACGACACTTTGAAGGCTTGTCATCTGCAGAGGAGGTGTCAATTAGGTTCGAAGATGGTTTAGGCATGACCAAAAGCAACCCAGGAGTACACATAAGTCAAATCGGAACCCTAGTTCTACCAGAGGTGCATTTTAGAGGCGTTGCTTCTTGGCCAAGAAATTGCTGACAAACCTGCAATTTATTCTCAAGAAAACAGTGTGTGTGAAGCATACTTTGGAGGACTATTACGACCGGAGGAAAATGATTTAGACTACGAATGAGATGTCTCTGGAAAGAGAACGTTTTGGAGATTTCACGAGAGAAAACGGTTCATCAATTGAAGTTACAACTCATCTGCAAATCGCAATGCAAGTTGGACCGAAATCATCTAAGTCTGAGTTTTCCAGAAAAACAGTTTCGCTGCATAATTTTGAAGTGATCGTTTGGAGGTTTAAATGAAGTCCGATCGAGCTGATATTTGTAATCTGGCATGGGGATATATTCAAGTTCATAATCAACGGTGGGATTCAGAAGGTAACGGTCAGTTTGTTATTTATGCGTGTCTTTCCGAACCTGTTTGGCACAGTGAGAAGCAGTGTGATATGTCTGACGACTTGTAATGTTTGGTTGGGCATATGAGCTCGGATTGAGATCATTCATGGCAGGAGCTTACTAGACTCAAGTATCTACGTCCCAGTAGAAGTAGAACCGGTTTGGAGTTAAGAAGCATGGAGAAACATGATGTTAAAGCTGAGACTGAGAATCTGTCCAAAGGAGAAGAAAGGAGGAAATATGTTTTGCCTTCGACATGAAGTGGCTAAGGTGAGGGTGTGATCTGTGGAAGCATACTTTATATTTCTTTTGTTATGTTACATGATTCATGGCATGTAAGCTTAGATCTTCTTGCTAGAGTTAAGTTCTATAATGATATGCTCTATGATAATATTGATATGAAATATGAATGAGTATAATATGGTATAATATAACCTGATATGATGATATGATTGCATGGTATGTATGATATGATATGGTATGATATGTATGTATGAATAAGAGAGGAAGAATCGAGCTACGGGCCGTGGTCTTCCCTCGAAACTGGACTGTGATGGGCCGACAGGTTACATGCAGGTCATGAACGGCTGACGAGCCCGGTATGAGAGTGTATGAGCTACGGCTGCCTCCAAGCATGAGGTTATGAGTTATTACGAGAATGACTGAATCTAAAGATGAATGGTTACCTTGCATTATAGCAAGGGTATATGATTGCTAAGTGTCTAGGTTTATATGTTTTGTTGATTGTGGTATGATATTAGAAATGTTTATTATGTTTTCCAGTTGTCGGATATGATCTCCTCACTGAGTAATTCATTACTCACCCCTCCTTTTTTTCCCTTTTCAGTGTGTGCAGGTGTGTTAAGTTTAGGGCGCGAGACCGATGGCTCAAGGGAAATGTTTTTAAAAGGTTTTTACGAGACAACTTGATGCTTTGGCCAAGTAAGCCTGGTTGGGGCTTTACAGTATAAGTGGCAATGGAATGCGAGCAGCTACAGGTTCTTACAGGTATGCCCCGAGGAAAACAGAGCATCTGTTATTCGCAGTTTCAAATGACTATTGTATAATCATTCCTTTGCTTTCATACGCTATCCAGCAATCTGTTCCGAGTGTTTGGTGTTTCCCCGGGAAGTAATGAGACTGCAACCTTAGAAGCAAGCAGAAACCCAACGAGGTAAACTTAGTAAAGCCATTAAGAGTTATTGTTCTGAATCTTCTCCTTCTTCTCAATGTTTAATGTTGATGAGATGGAATTTGTGTTGTGGCTTATCTTAGGAGACATGTTCCAATTCCCCCTCGAGGCCATCCAGATCCTTATGCAATATAACGCGTAGAGGTCTCTCTCTCTCTCTCTCTCTCAAAAACATACTGGTTATGATCAGCTTTTGCATTCAGTATATTTTTTTAAACAAGTGTCTGCATTCTATCGTACATTGCATACTCCACATTTTAAAAATTTCCATATTATATCTATTATATTTTTTTTCAAGATACAAACCCATTAATCCCAAATTTATTATACATTTATACTTGAGATAATAGAAAAGAAAAATTGACGTTGAGAAACAAATAGATAAAACATATCTAAGATAAACAATGAAATGTGTAAAAACAAAATATGAGCTATAAGCCTGTAAGGCAGACCCAACCAACATACCAAATTTTAATCAAACATTTTCACTTTTCACTGACGATTACCTCGTCAATTATTACAAGAATAATTAATATCAAGTAGTCAGTTGAATCAGAATTAATTTTTACATTTTTGGCCATATATATCTAGTTTATGGGCATCTAATGTGCATTCACAAAATATTTTGCCTTTTTCTGTACGTATATATTTTCCGAAGTCGTAATAATATCTCGCTGTGCAAAAGTGTACGCACCGTTCTTCAGGAGACATATAAATACCCCTCCTAAGAGTATAGTCTTGTACTTTACATGGACGCGGTGCAGGGTTCCGGCTTTTCTTCGTTTCCGGTTTTGGTTTCACTGAATAATAATAATAATAATAATAATAATAATAATAATAATAATAATAATAATAATAATAATAATAATAATAATAATAATAATAATAATAATAGATGGTAAAAAATTGATATATAAAAAGTTTAAAGGGGTGTTATTGTGCATATATTTGAGAAGTCAATAGCAAATACAAACGACTAATGAAAAACATTAGTGAAATAATCATATGTAATAATGTTTATTACCTGTTGAAATCAACATAATGATCATCACAAAAGTGATAAGGCAAACAAGTTGTACACGTTTGACCATAATATCTCTTTCGTCTTTTTCGTATGGGATTTGTTTTCTTTTGTAATCATCTGCATGCATGTTATATATATAAAGAGTTTTCGTTTCTTTTTTAAGAAGTAAATAAGAATAATTCGTAGTTTGACCCGGAAAAACAAAGAGTAATCCGTAATAAGTATCTATAGGATAGTTTACAAAGGAGGGAAAAATACAAAATATCTATGTACTCCATTCATTTGCTATCTTTAGTATATATATAAAAATAGTTTGCAAAAAGGAGATTTCATTTTTTTTTTTAAGAAATAAACAAGAGTAGTCGTAGTTTGACATCCAAGAAGTTTTGTTTTTTTGAACTTTCTTAATTGAGTTTTGCCAAATATAGGACCTCACTTTTGTCATCTGGAATTATATTGATACTGTCAAGGTGAAATACATTTTTGAAATACGATCTTTAGATTGTCTGGTGTTTGGTGTTTTCCCGGCAACTAACGAGACTGCAACCTAGGAAGCAAGCAGAAACCCAATGAGGTAAACTTGGTCTAGCCATTAAGAGTTAGAGTGGAATTTGTGTTGTGGTTTATCTTAGGCGACATGTTCCTATTCCCTCAAGGCGCACTGAATATTTCGGATATACATCCAGGCAACAAACAAAAGCTATTAACAAACTAGGACTGCATATTTCGGATAACGGATATGGCTCAAAAAATTCTATTAAATATATCATTGACTTGTTGACTCCAAAGTCCAAACCTAAATACCTAATGACTCAAACGTAAACAACAACGCTTTGCTTTCTTATGCACGCTATAATTTGGTTACACAGAGCCTATATAACTAAGGCCGGCCTTTCCTTTTTCAAGAAACCCCTTTCTCAGTTCTCAATTTATTGCTACTGTGATAAATTACACAAAATTTCATCTCTTTCTTTTTTCACAGAATTAATTTCTTGTTGCTGTTAGGACAAACCGTGAGAAACTCGTAAAAACAATTGTTGTAATAAAAGTTCTCTTGATTACGCGACAAAGTTGCTGCATCTTGCATGGCATCCAAGCGAGAACTCAATTGCTTGCGCCGCTGCAAATAGCTTGTATACATGTACTATGCTTAAGACAAATACTCGAGAAGCAAAAAAAAAGGCGCATTTACTTCTTCTATGCTCGATATGGTAGAAAATGGACATAGTATGTTAGTGCTGAACATTATTTTAAGGATGTAGAACCATTTTAACAATATCATTTAGAGCTGCAAATAATAAATGACAAAATTTGTATTGCCTCATAATATTTATATATAAAACTAGATTAAGCCCACGTATAGCGGGTTTATTATACAATTTTTGAAATAAGTCATAGAAAAATATTAAATAAATTTGACACTTTAAACAATTAAAAGTAAGTAGATTAGTATTAAAACCCGATAAAATACCTCTAAATAATATTAGATTGGTAATCTTTTTACATTTTTATTATAATTGACATATTTTCTGAATTCATGATACGAAAAATGAATTAATTTGTTATCTTTTTACTTTTATCTAAAATTGAAAGACTTACACATGTGTAAGTCTGATTGATTGATTAATTCGTGAAAATTTTATTATTCCATTGAAGAGATTTTGGTTGATGATTTTTTTTTTAATAATTTTTTACCTAACAAAAAATTAAACTATGATAAAATTAGAATATCAGTTCATATAAATTTTTCCTTTTAATATTAGTTAGTTGCTCGATAATTATTTTATTAGTTTTCTATATATTATTTTTTCAGTTTTGTTTTTAATTCAGGCCATTAGTTACTTGTTTTCTAATTATTTTGTTCGCTTTTTTATTTTTATACATTTTTCCAATTTTCTTGTGTTAACACTTGTTTTCAAAATATTAGACACAAGTAGCAACAATAATTTGATTTGGATCCAACTGATCTTCTTTTATATCATGAACTTTCAAATACATTATATTTATTTCTTAATGAGAGAGAAGTTTAATCAAAAACAGAATCACACAATTAAATCATGAAGACTATAGCATACTATATATTATTATTTTTTTTTCCTTTTTGTATTTGAAATATGTTTTACTTTTCCTTTTAGTAATGGATGTAAAATTTATTTCTTTCTTTGATTTTCGTTTTTTTTTCTTTTCTTAGTAAGAGTTATTTTTCCTCCTTTTCTTAGTGAGAGTTATTTTTCCTCCTTTTCATCAAGTAATAGAAGTTTTATTTATCAGCAGACTGCAGATTAAAATTACAAATTTCGATAATGTTTTCTTCGGCCATCTGATCTCCAAAATTTCGAAGTAGTGAATGATGCACAAAAACTTGAATTGTGTTTTCTGTTTCAAACAAAAGTAAAACTTTAATGTTAATCAATGTTATAATAAGATTGTCTATATCAATATAATAAGATGTTACTAACCTTTTCATCTAGTAATAGAAGCTCAACTCCCATAAGAATATTATTTTCTTCAGGATTTCTAGCTTCCCACTTTCGAATAATACGTACTATAGTATGGTGATAATTTTGATTTCGATCCAATTGACCTATAAACAAATAATTTCCACTGTTCTCTTGAACTTTCTAAGATGATTTTAAAATTAGAGAAAGAGAATCAAAGAAATTTGTTGAATTTGCTTTGATGAGTTTGTGAATGAGAAAAATAGAATACAGTAGCTCTATTTTTATAGGGGTTCATGTAACCAATTTCATACAGTTTTATGATATTTAGTTTACATACTTATTTCATGTACTAATAGGAATTTTTAAAATAGGGGTTTGTGTAACCTATTCCATAAAGTTTTAGGATATTTAGTTTACATACCTATTCTATGTATTAATAGGTATTTTTATTACATTATTTTCAATTTATTATATAAATTTTCGTTTTTATTATAAAAGATTTAAATTTTCCCTTAATTTTTTTTTCCTTTTTCCCAAGACATACAATATTTTCAATTTATTATAGAAATTTTCGTTTTTATTATAAAAGATTAAAATTTCTCTTTATTTTTTTTTTCCTTTTTTTTCAATACATGTGTCACGATCTTAACGAATGTAATATTAAAAGTGACACATGTCGCAATCTTATATTTTATAAAAATCTTATGTGTCGCAACCATGTTGTGCGCTTTATATAATAAGATTGGTTTGGACACACTCTATAATAATTACACAGTCGAGCACACAACACTTACTTAAACAAAGAAAATAGTTGAAGAGAATATACAACATAAGAAACGAGCACAACAATAACATTACACACAATACAAATGAATCTCAAAACACACTCAAAGACAACCACAACACAAAACGAAACTCAAACGCAACATCACAAACGAGCAAAACGATTAACATCATTCACACATTCACACGCTATTTAGATTTTCAAAAAATCAGAAACACACTCAAATGCAAGGAAACTAATAAAATAAAATAAAGTTTATCTAATATCCACTAAACTGAAATGGCTATTGGCTCATATCCTTTAATTTTGTTTTGGTTGTTTGGAGTTGCAAGATGATTGCTAATATACATTGAAAAATTATCATTCTTTTACGTCTTTTAATTTCATGTTCGTCTTACTTTTAAGTTTTGTGTTCGTAACATACTTGTGTTAAAGAGTTGCAAACTATCGCTAATATCACTGAAAAGTGATCAACTCATTGCTTTTTACTTGTTCATGTTACTTTTTTTAGATTTGTGTTCGTAACATGTGTAATGTGTAATTTGTCACCAAATAAGTGCATCCAGTAAAGTTTTGTTTGTAATCCCAACCAATGTAAAGTATATAAACACAATTTACAAACGGATGTTTCAAATTTTTCTTTTAAACTGAAATTTGGTCGTCTTTGCTATTGATTAGAAGAGGAGCTTCCTCTGAAAGTGACAACAATTTTGCCTTCTCTTCTTTTGCTTTCCCCCACATCACAGTGTAAAACCCTAATGATATCAAAATGCCTCCGACCAAACTGTAACATAAACATATAACCACAAAACTAGTTTAGAAAAAAAACATTAACCACAAAACCAGAAACGATTAGATGTTTTTGTCTATAAACATATGTACATGTCCGATGAATATTGGTTTATAATATACCTGCCGAGGTAAAGAAAATCTCCAAGAAAAATCGCTCCCATGATCACTGCTATTAATATCGATAGAGGCCTAAATATTGCTAAGTAAACAGGTCCTTTATTACGCACTGCCCACAAATGAATCGCGTAGTACGCTGGATTAAATATTCCCTGAAAAAAAAAACATGCAATACATACATAACTTATTTTAGAATTGAAATAAACAAGAAAATGATCATTCTAATAGATACTTAATAATTATTGATGAGGTACCCCAAATAATATGCAAAGCAACGTAATATCAAACCGAAGGATCCACATGCTCGGATTGTTCTTTTCTGCTATGAATCCGATACACGAGATCAAGATTGATGAAAATGAAAAATAGATGAAAGAGACCGTCAATGGTGCTGGATATTCATTCATTATGTGTGCCTGTCCAAGTCAAATATTCATTAGTTACGATAATATTGGTAATTTTTTTTTTTGGATGTGTATATATATCAAGATCAAACATTTATCTGACCTACTATTTCATTTCATTTTTTACTTGTTAGTATAATTAACTATAAACTCTTGAATTTGCCTTCCACAACGGATTTGAAGCAAAAAAATAAAATTCAATTACCAAACTAGTTTTGTATGTATGAGAAGAAGAAAAAAAGGAAAACTTATAGTATACCTGGAGGATGAAAGCAACAGAAACCAGAGTGTCTTTGATGGCTAGAAGAGATCCACCGATGATCCAATCAGAGTTTGATGATGAAAACGGCGGAGAAAGCTGACGGAGTTGTGGATGTGGCGGAGAAGATTCGGTGAAGACACGTGGACCGTGGTAGAGAACCACCACAAGTGCGCCAATTAGTGACACTAATGTTCCCAGCATTTTGGCTACACTGCTCCTTTCTTTGAGAGATGCTTTCTCCATTCTTTTTTTTTTCACAAATAAAATAGAGTCAATGAGGAGAAAAGGAAGTATAGTGGGCGTATTTAGGTAATAGGGAAGTATTGGCATACGTATATACTTAGTGTGTGTTTAAAGACTAAAAACCCCTAACAAAAATGACACATTGTAACATGTGGGCCCTCTCTCTATTTCTCTATCTCAAAATTTCTAATTTATTTGTTGATATTACATATTTTTGGAACCTGCTAATAACTATTGTATCATGTGTATACATATAAATTTAGGTTTAACTTTAAATTTTACGGGATATTAAATATGTTAAATGAATAACAACAATATTAACGAGATACACATTTTTGAAACATGCTAACAATTACTGAATTACATGTATACATGAATATTTACATTTAATTTTATATTTTACAGGATATTAAACATGTTAGATGGATAACAAAACAATAAATCAAACAAATTTTTCTTCATGTTACAAATTTGTTTAGCGCGCTACAAACAAAGATAACTAGTTATTAAAATATATAGTATGTTAAAATAATATTGTACAATGTTACAAAAAAAATGATATATTGTGTTACAATTTTGTTTAGCGCGATACAAACAAAAATAACTGGTTATTAAAAGAAATAGTACATTCAAATAATATTGTACTATGTTAAAAAAATGATATCCCAAAACGAAATTAGTCTTTCACCTGAAGCTTTCTTTAAAAATTATGCCAGATCAGATTTTGCATCCATGATTGGAGAATCCTCTCTTCAGTGTTTGTAAGTGAAGATGAGTGTCGTCTTTGTCGTGGCCGTCATTGTCACCATCTCGTCGCTGCATCGTTGTTGCTGCGTTGTCCATGTGTCGTCGTTGCCGCCTTATTGTCACCAGGTCGTCATCGCCGTCGTGTCGTCGTCGCCGTCGTGTCGTCGTCGCCGTCGTGTCGTCGTCGCCGCGTTATCATCCCCGCCGTCATTCAATCAAAGTCGAGAGAGAATAGAAGAGAGGAATAATCGGGAGAGAAGAGAAAGAGAGAGAAAAAGAGAGGCATGCGGAGTAAACAAGGAAAAAGAATAAAGTGAGGAGAGAGAAAGGGTGTTTTGGTATTAAAAAAAAGTTGCATGTACCAAAAAGTATGTATTCCTTGTTACCTAAATACGATCAGTATTTGGGTCATACACGCAAATTTCTCAATAAAATATGTGTTTTAAGTATTTAAATCAAACGCCTTTCATTACAGTTTTTCGTTTGTTTACTAATTAATATGGCATCTTGAATCTTGACAAAAAGAAATATACATGTATGTTTTTATTCAATCCATTGCTAAACCATTATCAGTCATCACAACCGAAATATATATAAGGGCCCTATCTAATAATGCAAACAAGACTGTCACGTATGGGACAATACAATTTAGGTCCGTCCAAGAAGTTCCAACTACTCAAATGGACTAGTTGTGCAATACTGTTGATACGCAAATCTGTATAATCATGTTACCCAGTACTCAACTTGATGTATGTTTACACCTAACAATACGTTAAAAAATTAATATACACATATTCGACCGGGATTTAAATCTGGTTGTATGCGTGTCACGTGTATAAATTTGTAAACGGCAAAAAGAAAAAAATGCACTGCTAAATATTTTTTTTGAAAAGATTAATTATGTAACATCATCACCTAGGGAATTACTGGACTTTGTTTTTAACATTTGAAATTGCAAACGGCTGATCGTTAAGCTGTCTTAACCTACTGAAAAATTCTACCCCAACTCAATAATCATAATTGTAATGAATTATATTCCTGGATAACAATATATATATATATAATATCTCAAAAGTTGTTAAACATGTTCCTACCACTATCACTACGTATATATTTGATTATATATATAAAAAAAAACAAATCAAAGGAAAATGACGCGACTAACCTGAAGATAACAGCAAGGATGAAGGTAATAGCAGGATTGATGTTGCTAATGGCGGAAGATAATGTTGGGTTGCTGTATACGATGCCAATGAATCCAGTGATCTGGTACGTAGATCTGCTAAGTTATAATAATTAGGAACATAACTTCATATCCAAAATAAAAAGAAGAATAAGATTAAGAAGTGTAGTTGGCTTTACCCTAGTAGCCCAAGAAGTCCTATTTTACAAAGTATTGAAAAACTTAGTGGAGGAAGTGATCTTGACCTGCAAAAATTTAGACAAAACATCAAATGAAAATTTTCGACATAACAAAACTAATTAATTTGGTTTATTAAGGTCCAACGAGATTTTCTTAAAAACGTTATTGTTTAACCTGTTAGAGAAGAACTGATGAGAAGGAAGAAGAAGAAGAAGGGAGCCAATGAGATAAGAATAGACGAGGAAGGTATAAGAGTTAAGGCCTTTAGATGTTGCCGCTTTAAACAGAGTATTCATTGCGACATTGGCAGTTTCCGTCGACAACATCGCCGTCAGTAACACAGCGTCTCTCCGATGGAGATCCACGGAGGCCATTGTCAGAAAAGACAGAGAGTACTCTAGTGTGTGGAATGAGAGAGCATTATAACAATCCAGCGTAGTTCTTTAATCTAGTTGTGGTCGGCCCTACAAGAGTCATTATATTCTATTAAAAATCTTATTAAAATGGTTAGTGAGAACAATCGCATAGTATGATACTAGCTGTATCAGATTCATAAATTAGTAACAACATTTGAGAATCTAAAAAAAAAACATTACCATTTATAGAAAAAAAATTAGAATAACAATTTTAACAAGAAACAATTGTAACCAACCAGAAAATTACCATCTTCGATTTTGTTAACCAAATAACTTTTTCTTAAATTAACAAAAACTTTTTTGACTAATTGGTATATTCACCAATACCACCAATACTATGCATATACAATTGTACACAATTTTTTTCTCCTTAGTTGCAATTTATTTTTTTAACTAAATTTGATCGTCGTCGTGGTTCAATAGAAGAGGGATATTCTCTTTTTCTATAAGTGACAGTAACCGAGACTTGTCTTCGTTTGCTTTCCCCCACATCACAGCATAAAACCCTAACGTTATCAAGACTCCTCCGATCAAACTGCAACATAAGGCACAAAAACCGAAGATGATTTTTTTTTCTTTTGATATTTTATGTATAAATGGATCAAGACTATTATTGATGAATATACCATCCGAGATAGAGAGAATCGCCGAGGAAAATTGCGCTCATAACCACTGCTATTAGAATTGACAATGGCTTAAATATCGCTAAGTAAAGAGGTCCTTTGTAACGTACTGTCCATGAATGAATAACGTAGTATACTGGAGTGAATATTCCCTGAAATGTTTTACATGAAAACTATGTTAAGATCAAAACGTGGAAGTTTTTATTCAACTTCTTAAGTTGTATATAGAGAACTAAAATATATATATAAAGAGAGCATACCATAGTTACAATGGTTATCAAGGCAATATCAATTCGAATGATCCAAATGCTTGGATTGTTCTTCTCGACAGCGAGTCCAGTCAACGACGTCAATATTGAAACGAATAGAGTATAGAAAAAGGAGACTGTGAATGCTGCTGGATATTCAGTCATTATATGTGCCTGCCCAAAACATGACATAATGAATGAATTGATGTTTGATATATGAAGATATCATTTTCGTATAATATAAACCGATCATTTGCTGAATCAAGTTTCTTGATTTTGGACCACAGTTTCCATTGGACTGGACTGGTCCTCGTTGCTCATAACAAAAAAAAAATATGTTATGTATGTATGAGAATCATAAATGTTACCTGTAGGACGAAAGAAACAGAAACGAAGATGTCTTTAATGGTAAGAAGACATCCACCAATGATCCAGTCGGAATTTGAAGATGATAAAGGCAAAGGAAGCCGACGGAAATTTAGATACGGCGGAGAAGATGCGACAAAGACACGTGGACCATGGTAGAGTACTACCACAAGTGCGCCTACTAATGACAATATTGTTCCCATCACTTTGGCTACACTGCTCCTTTCTTTGAAAGTTAACTTTTCCATCCTTTTTCACAAATTAAAAATGATTATGTCATGTTTTGTTCCAATTAATCCATAACCATATAGTTTGTTTTTTCTCCCCCAAAAGCCAAAAACAAAGAAAAACCTGGTTGCCAAAGAATATAATGAAAGAGAGACCGATTAATACGCAACTTGCCTAATAATGCAAGCTGCCTTGTCAAGTACGGGACCAGTTCACTTACTACGAGTTAACTACATATTGTGATCGTGATATATTTGTGTCTCATTGCTCGTGACTGTGCGATATTTATAAAACTTATCATCTTACAGAACCTGAATACATAAATTTTTGCTTTAAAAGGGAAATATAAAAAATATATATGTAGACGTTAGTGAAAAACTTGGCTTGTAAAATATATTGAAGTTGATCATTATAGTTGTCGAATGGAACTTATAAAAAAAAAATCATCGTAGAAGATTGAGTTAACTGATCTAAACAAAAGTTAGTTTTAAGTTGCCGAAATATTATGCCCAAAACACTTCATTTGGACCCATCAACTAGAATAATGAAAATCTAAAATGAAAATTTGTATGAAAACTGCAAAATCCCATGACCAAGAAAATGATAAAATTAATAAACCTGAAGATAACGGCGAGGATGAAGGTAAGAGCAGGAGTGATATTGCTAATGGCGGAGGCTAAGGTTGGGTTGCTGTATCTAACTCCTATGTATCCCGTGATCACATATGTTGATCTGTTCATTATTTATATATTAGCAACACTTAAGTGGAAGATAACTCCATATTCAAATTTGGGAAAAGAAGGAAAATAACTGTGTAGTTGGATTTACCCTAATAGTCCAAGAAGTCCTATCTTACATAGTATTGAGAAACTTAATGGAGGAAGTGATTTTGACCTGCAAAAAAAAAAGAAGAAAAAGAAATACAAATCAAATGAAAAATTCATAAGAAATTTTGGTTACGAAAGGTCCAAAGATTAAAGTTAGTAGAAACCTGTGGGAGAAGAAAGGAAAAGGAAGAAGGAGAAGAGAAGCAAGAAGATACGAGTAGCCGAGGAAAGCGTAAGAGTTGAGTCCCTTTGAAGTCGCTGCTTTAAACAGAGTATTCATACCGACAATACCGGTTTCCGACGCAAGCATCGCCGTCAAGAACATTGCCTCTCTCCGCCAGAGAGTTTCGACTCCGGCCATTTTGGAAGTGATTGAAAGAAGCCAAGTGTTGAATGAGAGTCTTATCCCTTTGTAGCTTATTGACGCAGTCGGAAAACCCTAGAATAGCAAGCACTAAACCTAGATTGAATTCAAGTTCACAAGCATGAACTTGAAGAGAAAACTCTGGAAATCCACCAGATTAGAGAAAAGCTCTCTGCTTTGATTAATTAGAATAATAAGATATGATATGCCTCATGGCTACAACTTAAAAGTGTTTATATAGAAAACAAAACCCTAGAAAATATCCAAAACCCAAAAGGAAAAACATAATTAGAGAAAAAGGAAATTTGTGAAAATCTCCTAAATATCTCCTACATCAGTCTCCTCCACCTCTAAAGAACTCGACCTCGAGTTCTCTTCTAGATTAAGAATCTCATATGCATGGTACTCATGAATGCCAACCACATTGAATGTCTTAGAAACTGGAGAGCCACTACATAAACATCATCATTGATTTTCCGCAACACCTTGAAAGGACCATATTTGCTAGGTTGAAGCTTATTATTCCTCAAGTTCTTTTCTGGATAATAATCACATCTTCTTTAAAAGGTTGACCATAGTTGCTAGGTTGTGCTTTGTTGTATGTAACAACTTGAAACTTCTTGTTATGGAGGAACACAATTAAATCATCATCCTCTTTGAAAACTTTGGTTCCCTTCTGCTTGCCAACATCAATCTTTTTCTTCCCTTGTTCATCTGCAATCAGTTTCTTAAAATCTTTGTAGATCACTAGCACTCCTTCTGGAACTTCTGTCTTCTCCACTTCTGGGATTTCATAGGATAATGAAATATCTGCCTTAGTGTGAAAAGCATTATTATCATGCAGATTCTGTTGATCAATCTCTTTCTCTACAAAGTCTTCTTCAAGAGAACTAGGGTTTTCAATAACAACAACACAATTGTTTTCATCTCTTGGAACCCTAATTGAATCTCCTTCTTTGTCTATTTTCTGACTTTTGCCGGCTATCTTCAATCTATCGATTAGCATGTTCATGTGATTGCTAAATTCGACACTATTGTCTTGAACATGTAGAACCCTAATTCGTTCTCCTCTCCTTTCTCTTTGTCCGGCTTTGATAACCTTGTTGGTTAAAGCTTCCGTCTGATTGGTTAAAACTTTCATCTGATTAGTCAAAGCAGTTAGGGCCGAGGTTAGAGCCACGGTAAAACCCTGAAAATCTGCTTTGGTCAATGGTTGATCTCCCATAGCTGTTCAAGCTCGAAAAAGAGACAGGAGAAAGCCTGCTCTGATACCACTTGACGCAGTCGGAAAACCCTAGGAATAGCAAGCACTAAACCTAGATTGAATTCAAGTTCACAAGCATGAACTTGAAGAGAAAACTCTGGAAATCCACCAGATTAGAGAAAAGCTCTCTGCTTTGATTAATTAGAATAATAAGATATGATATGCCTCATGGCTACAACTTAAAAGTGTTTATATAGAAAACAAAACCCTAGAAAATATCCAAAACCCAAAAGGAAAAACATAATTAGAGAAAAAGGAAATTTGTGAAAATCTCCAAAATATCTCCTATATCACTTATCTTTTTATGGTATGATTAAAAAAGGAACATTTTTTGTGGTACATATTGTAATGTTTGTTGACTTTAAGAATACTCTTTGCTTAAGCACTGTGCTTCTTATATAATGGACGAATCGATTAGGCGAGTCTAAAACATTTATACCAAATTCTAGCTCGATGGAAGATAAAACTAATTATCCAGTTTCCCAAACAAACAAGATTATACAGTTTGAAATCTTGTTTACAGCAACCGACGATCAGTCTCATCAACAGTGACAATGACGTGAAAGTAATTGACGTCTACTCATAGGAAACCAATCAGTCTTTTATTACAACAAAAATCTACACTTCTCTATTATTTTATCAGAAAGTAATATTAATTTCACGGGCCCTCATCACTCACGTAATTTGAGATCCTGATTTCTCCTTTTTTTTTTCCTGTTTATTACGACGAAATTTGAAGACAATTGTACGGTTCAACTAACTGAACAAAAACAATTAGAACATTTGCAAAATTTTGTCAACTAAAATAAAAAGACAAAGTCTTGGATTATAATTTTTTAATAAAATTAACATAAATTTCTTTCTTGTAGCCCTCTAATACACTGTTGTGTGCAATCATTAAGTGATAGTTATTTCTAAAGTGATATACAAAGTAATATGTTCAGACCCGGAAAAAAATGTACATATTGGTTCCAATTTGTTCTTCTTGGTTCCTTATTGGCTCCAATTTCTTTTTAAACTAAAGTTGGTCGTGGTTGTGGTTCAACAGAAGAGGGGTTTTCTCTTTTTCTACAAGTGACAGTAACCGAGTCTTCTCTTCATTAGCTTTTCCCCACATCACAGCGTAAAACCCTAACGTTATCAAGACTCCTCCGATCAAACTGCAACATAAAGCACAAAACCAAAGATGATTACATTTATTTTTCTTTACAAATTAAATAAGTGGATAAAGACTATTATTGGTGAATATACCATCCGAGATAGAGAGAATCGCCGAGAAAATTCGCGCTCATAACCACTGCTATTAAAATCGACAATGGCTTAAAGATCGCTAAGTAAAGAGGCCCTTTGTAACGTGCTGTCCATGAATGAATCACGTAGTTTACTGGAGTGAATATTCCCTGTAATGCTTTACATAAAACTATGTTATGATCCTAACGAAGAAAGTTTAGAATTAACTTTTAAAATTAGTTATATAGATTATAGAAGAACGTACCATAGATACAATGCTTATCAAAGTTATATCGAATCGAATGATCCAAATGCTTGGATTGTTCTTCTCGATTACGAGTCCAGTCAACAAGGTCAAGATTGAAACACACAGACTATAGAAAAAGGAGACTGTAAATGGTGCCGGATATTCAGTCATTACATGTGCCTGCCCAAAATCATTATATAGTTTTTTTGTTAAACAAAATCATTATATATTTATATAGTTAGAAACACTGGAATGAGTTGATGTTTCACATATCACTTTAAACAAAATCATTATATATTTATATAGTTAGAAACACTGGAATGAGTTGATGTTTCACACATCACTTTCGAATGAGATAAACCGGTCATTTGTTATTTAGTTGAATCAAGTTTCATAATCTCATAGGCTATGTTATTGTTATGTATGCATCTCTTGTTAACGATTTGACGGTAATTAAAATTATTTTTACAACTTTTTCCCTCTTTTCTTCAAATTAATTGTTCATATATTTGTAAATCGTTTAAAATTGAATTTCACACCGAAATTTTTAGCATTTAGCATTCAGCATTCAAACGAATGCTAATAGCTCACAGACCTGGCCCGGAAGACTATCGGACTAGCTAAAAGATTAGGGATCACCTTTTTCATGGCCATCTAATTTGTTGCCTTTTACTAAAGGAATTGTTGTTTACGATATATTTTAATACAATAAAATAATTCAAATTAATATTATAATTAGGAGTCATAACGTTTTTTGTTAATTCAGACCACAGTTGACAGTTCCCACTGGACTCCTGGATTGCTCAAAAACAAAAAAAAATTTCCTTATGTATTAGAATCAAAAATGTTACCTGTAGGATGAAAGAAACAGAAACGAAGATGTCTTTAATGGTAAGAAGACATCCACCAATGATCCAGTCGGAGTTTGAAGATGATAACGCCGGAGAACGGAAGTTTAGATACGGCGGAGAAGATGCGACAAAGACACGTGGACCGTGGTAGAGTACCACCACTAGTGCGCCAACTAATGACAGTACTGTCCCCATCACTTTGGCTACACTGCTCTTTTCTTTAAAAGTTACTTTTTCCATTCTTTTTTTTCACAAATAAAAAATGATTTATGTCATTCCTTTGTTCCAATTAATCCATAACCATATGTTTTTTTTCTTCTCTAAATACCCAAAAAAATGCGTGGTTGCCAAAAAAATATAATGAAAGAAAGACCGATTAATACGCAACTTGCCTAATAATGCAAACAGTCTTTGTTAAGTATGGGACCAACTCACTTGCTACGAGGTAAACCCGTAACCATATATTATGATCGTGATATATTTTTGTCTCATTGCTCGTGATTGTGCGATATTTTATAAACTTTCTAATCTTACAGAACTTGAACAAATGTATGCTTTAAAAGGGAAATATAAAAATAGATGTAGCCGCTAATGAAAAACTTGGCTTGCATAATATATTGAAGTTGATCAATATAGTTTAAGTTTAAAACCAATATGATCTAAATTTAAGAAAATTAAGTTGTACTACATAAAAATCATCGTAGAAGACTGAGTTCATCTAAATAAAAATTATTTTTTTTGACAACATAAAAATTAATTTTAAGTTGCCGACATATGAATGAAAATCTCAATAAAAATAAAAGAACAGAAAAAGTTTGAAAATTGCAAAACTCCAATGATTAAGAAAATGATAAAGAGAACGCTAAAATTAATAAACCTGAAGATAACGGCGAGGATGAAGGTAAGAGCAGGAGTGATATTGCCAATGGCGGAGGCTAGGGTTGGGTTGCTGTATTTAACGCCTATGTATCCCGTGATCAAGAATGTTTATCTGTTTAATTTTATTTTTCATCCAAAAAGTTTTAAAATAAACTTTGTGTATTAGCAACACTTAATTGGAAACTAATTCCCTATTCAAAGTTGGAAGAAGGAGAAATTAAATGTGTAGTTTGATTTACCCTGATAGGCCAAGAAGTACTATCTTACATAGTATTGAGAAACTTAATGGAGGAAGTGATCTTGACCTGCAAAAAAGAAGAAAAATAAATACAAATCAAATGAAAATTCATATAAAAGAATGGTTACGAATGGTACAAAGATTAAAGTTGGTAGAAACCTGTAGGAGAAGAAAGGAAAAGGAAGAAGAAGAAGAGAAGCAAGAAGATAAGAGTAGCCGAGGAAAGCGTAAGAGTTGAGTCCCTTTGAAGTCGCTGCTTTAAACAGAGTATTCATACCGACAATACCAGTTTCAGACGCAAGCATCGCCGTCAAGAACACTGCCTCTCTCCGCCAGAGAGTTTCGGCTCCGGCCATTATTTGAAATGATAGAAAAAGCTTATGTGTTGAATCAGAGTCTCTAAATGATTATCCCTTTGTTGCTTATCTTTTATGTTATAAAAAAGGAACATTTGGTACGAGGACAGCCTTATGCTTTGGTTTGGTACAAGAGTTTAAAAAGTAGAGTAGATTTTCTCTTCTCCATCACAAAACTGTGAAACATTTGATGTAACAAAGGCTTTCGTTTGAATATAATTTTACATTCATTTAAAAAAAAAATAACATTTATGGTCGAAATTGTAATGTTTGTTGACTTTAAAATTATTGTTTTGCTCAAGTCAAGTACTGTACTACTTAATAATACTTATAGAATCAACGAATCGATTACGCGAGTTTAAAACATTTTTACCAAATTCTAGCTTGATGGAAGATAAAATCATAAAACTAATTATCCAGTTTCCTAAACAAACAAGATTGTATAATTTGAAATCTGGTTTACAGCAACCGAAGATCAGTCTAATCAAGCGGTTCACCGGTTTTGACGAATTTTACATTGTTTTATCTGGTCTAACGATTTGGATGTTGTAAAAATCTTCCCCCATGAAATTTAAATATTTAATTTACTTACAGTCGATTTTGGTGTAACAGTTAATTAACGACTGCGTTGCACTATTGTTCGTTTCTTGTTACAAAAAGAAAAATAGACCCAACGCATTACGAGGAACCTATATAAGTATGTAACAAGGTCATATATGTTACAAATAATCATAGAAAGCGATGATGAAGTAAAAGTAACCAAACAATACCACAAGTAGACATGGCTCGGACTAACCAAATATACTATAAATCAACAACATTATGTCAACCGACGATGTTCCCATAAGGCCACTTAATTTCATAATTATAATTATTGTTTTATCATTCAAAGAATCTTACTTTGGATCCATCATGTTATATAAAAGTGAATATATGTGTTACCAAAATGATTTTCCTCACATTAATTCATTATGAAACATAAACATATATATTTTGTGGCTAAATAAATAAATAATCATCGATCAAAGGCTTCTTTTGTTCTTTTTAATTGATTTTGTTTACATAAATCAAACAACCAAACAAAAAATCTTAAAATTATTGAAAGTTGCAAGAGAATCAATTAAATAATATGTATGTTTCCCACAAATCACTTTTTTTTCTCAACAAACAACTTAGCACGTTCTCTAAATATGTTGGGAAGTGCCACACACGAACTCAAGTAGGAGATAATATAATGTATATACACAGAAAAGAAAAGCAACTATATATAAAGGGTTTTCATGTTGAACTATATCATCATAAGCAAAAGAAATAACTAAAAAGAGTAGTATGGGTAAGATGAGATCCTCAAAAATGTTTGGGTTAGGGCATTGCATGGTTTATATCGTGGTCTTAAGTGCCATTGCGGCTACAGCCTACCCATACTCATCTCCTCCAACACCAGAATACAGTTCTCCGGTCCATCAACACAAATCACCATATCCACCCAAAAAGTATTCCCCATCCTACTCGGCATCACCAGCTCCTACACCACAATACAGAAGACAAGGTCCAAAGTACACGCCACATCCAAAACCATATGTTCCTAGCTCTCCACCACCACCACCGTACTACTCTCCTTCTCCTAAGGTAGACTACAAGTCTCCCCCACCACCATACGTTTACAGCTCTCCACCACCACCGTACTACTCTCCTTCTCCTAAGGTAGACTACAAGTCTCCCCCACCACCATACGTTTACAGCTCTCCACCACCACCGTACTACTCTCCTTCTCCTAAGGTCGACTACAAGTCTCCACCACCACCATACGTTTACAGCTCTCCACCACCACCGTACTACTCTCCTTCTCCTAAGGTCGACTACAAGTCTCCACCACCACCATACGTTTACAGCTCTCCACCACCACCGTACTACTCTCCTTCTCCTAAGGTCGACTACAAGTCTCCACCACCACCATACGTTTACAGCTCCCCACCACCACCATACTACTCTCCTTCTCCTAAGGTAGACTACAAGTCTCCCCCACCACCATACGTTTACAGCTCTCCACCACCACCGTACTACTCTCCTTCTCCTAAGGTGACTACAAGTCTCCACCACCACCATACATTTACAGCTCCCCACCACCACCGTACTACTCTCCTTCTCCTAAGGTAGACTACAAGTCTCCACCACCACCATATGTTTACAGCTCTCCACCACCACGGTACTACTCTCCTTCTCCTAAGGTAAATTACAAGTCTCCACCACCACCATACGTTTACAGCTCCCCACCACCACCACCGTACTACTCTCCTTCTCCTAAGGTCAGCTACAAATCTCCACCACCACCATATTACTCCCCTTCTCCAAAAGTAGAGTACAAGTCTCCCCCACCACCATATGTCTATTAAACGCCTTACTATTGATTTTTGAATTTTTTCATTAACTAGTGACCTTGTTCTGATATTTCTTTTTGCTGATTTTGTCTTTTGATTCTTCTGTTGTTGTTGTTGTTGTTGTTGTTTCTTCAACTATTTTGTTAAGCTTTTATTATACCAATAATCTTTTTGCTATTTTAATCAATGTCACAAGTTTTCTTTAGAATATAAAATTTGATAAAAGAACAGACTTTAGTAGAATTACATGACTATACATTTTACTTTGTATATATTCCTAATACACTACAAGAGAAAACATTGTCAAACTAATATTTGTGTCATGTGTTATTAACAAAAATGTCATTATTTAGGTATCAGCACCAGGTTCACTTTATCACAATTTTTAATAAGGTAAAATTTACTAGACAATTTACAAGAGAATAATTTATATAGATTATTTATACATATTTCAGCATTTAATTATAAAGATATTAAATCATTTTTTCCATATCTTATCAAATATATCAAATTAATTATTTTCTTAAATACTACATTTTTCTCTTATTTATTGGTTGGAATAAATTTTATAAAATAAATAAATTATCCCATTAACCATATAATAGAAAAATGTATATTTTTTACAAATTATAATTTGGATTTTTAAAAACAGATATTAATTTGTAAAATGATGAAAATAGTAAATACATATATATATCATAAAAGTCCCATATTGGAAATGAAGATATGTGATAGTTCATAAGACTATTATAAAATGAAGAACCAAAATGATAAAAAAAAACCATATGTTACAATGTTAAGACTTGTTTCTCTGCGGCCTAATTCATCAAAAGTGGAACTCTCTTCGATTGAGATGATGTCGCAGACGCATATGTCTCGGTTTCCGCCTTCTCTTCCTTTGCTTTTCCCCACATAACTGTGTAGAAACCGATTGATATAAACGTTCCACCAATCACACTGCCAAATTACAAAGAACAAGAAATGAAAGTGAATATACGAATAAACAATACTAAGTATTTGATGAGATTTTCGAACTCTTCTTTTTTCACCTTCCGAGATAAAGAGAATCGCCAAGAAAAATCGCGCCTAATACCACGGCGGTTAATATAGATAACGGCCTGAACATTGCTAGGAAAAATGGCCCTTTGTGTCGGACCGTCCATGACTCCACAACATACCCCGTCGAATTTACCATCCCCTAATACAAACATTTCACCATTTTCTAATAAGCTATAATTAGTAATGTTTTGTTTTTTCGGAACATATTAAAACTACAGAAACAATATCATACCGTTGCAACAATGCATATCAACATTATTTTTGCTTTCATAGTCCACGCGCTCGGATTGTTCTTCTCCGCGAAAATACTAACAAACGCACAAGATATTGAAACGCAGACATTGTGGGAAAGTGCTAACGCAAATTCCGACGGATATTCCCTCATTATATGCGTCTACCACCACCAAAAATGTTAAGGAAAAACTATAAACTTAGCTTTGAGTTTTAGATATATGATCAAACTGTTATTTATACCTGAATGATGTAAGAGACAGCGATGAGAGTGTACTCAAGAGCTAGTAGACCTCCTCCGATGACCCAATCAGAATTCGACGGTGGTGATGGAGGCGGTGAGAGAGACTGAGGGAGGTAAACGGACGACGGAGATGCAGCGAAGATGATGGGGCCATGGTAGAGAGTGGCTACGAGTGCACCAGCTATCGAAACTATTGTGCCTCCTACTTTGGCTAAGCTGCTATTTTTCTTCATAGACACCTTCTCCATTCTTACATTACAAATATTAAAATATAAGTTATCCAAAAACAATATATTTACAGAATTTTTTCCCATAATTCTATTGAAAATCATATTGAACGTTCCAAACCAAAACGTCAAATAATTGAACATTGTCTATGTGAAGTTATATATCAAGAAACCTTGATAAACCGAACCAAGATCAAAATCCGGTTCGATTAAGGAGCTTATACGATAACCGGATAAGAACAGAGGATCAAGAGAGAGTACCCGAAGAGAAGAGCGAAGAGGAAAGTGAAAGCAGGAGTGAGATTGCTCATCGCTGAAGCCAAAGTTGGAGAGCTGTATTTGATTCCTGTGTATCCTAACATCAGATACACACATCTTCTCTCATTTGTGTTTCAACAAACAAGAGTGACGTCATCATCATCATCATGATCTCTAATTAGCAAACGACAAATGCTAATCTGAATCGGAGATTGAAGTTGAATCAGAGAAAAGATAGAGAGAGAGATTACCCAAGTAGACCAAGAAGTCCCATTTTACAAAGTACTGAGAATTTTAATGGTGGAAGAGATCTTGACCTGAGATTTCATTTATTTTAATTTTGCAATTTCGAGAATTGAAGAAGAATCGAGAGATAGAGAAAGAGAGAGACCTGTGGGTGAGGAAAGGAGAAGGAAAGAGAAGAAGAGCTCCGATTCCATAAGAATAGACGAGGAAGACGTAAGAGCTCATTCCTTTTGAGCTCGCCGCTTTGAACAGAGTATTCATTCCGACGTCGGAGACTACAACAGCTACCATCGCCGTCATGATCCATCCGTCTCTCTGACAGAATCTCCCAGCCATTGTCGTCTCTTCTTTAGGTTCGAAGATCTCTGTCTGAATCTGCAACTATGTTCGTGAGTGTTTGACCAATGTAAAAGTCTTTATGATCGACGTTATCTTCTGCTTCTCAACTTCCAATTTCTTTTTGAAGTGATTTAAATATTAAGAAAAAAAAAAATCTTCAAGGAATTGGAATTGGACTGGGTTTCAATTAATTTTCAGTACATTTGCAGGAGAGGACCACTTCATCTTTCAACAATCAGTATTTAATAAACAATATTTGCAGAGATTTGCAGAGATTTTTAGGTTGGATCTTCATGAGCAATTAAGTTACACGATCATAGTATCCTTAAATATCATGGATATTAAATTCATTCTTGTGCAGTCTACTTATGTAACAGACTAAGATAGAGACTTAGATCTATGTGTCCTCAGAGTAAGACTTATGAATTTGTGTGATTAGGAGAAACTTGATTCCTAAAATTAAAGATCACATTTGCCTCGTCAAATAGATTAAAAAGACGTTCACATATGAATTTTTTTTCACACAGATTTTCGTATATATATTGAGAGCGATCTTGAGTAGTAGATGATGATATTTAGACATGTTCGTCGTTCTTGTAACTTTCCAAGAGAGGAGCCTTGTGTGAACCCGATGGAGAATCAAGGTCAGCTTCTTGAGGCTCCTTTTGATTAGCCTTGTTGTTGTCATCTTCGACCATGGCTATTTCCTTGGCTTTTCCCCACATCACCGTGTAAAACCCGATTGTTATCACCGTTGCCCCAATCAAGCTGAAAATCAACAACAGTCATGCACTTCAAATGGTAACAGAAAAGATACATGGCGAAACTACTAGACTTGATTTCCATGTAGAAGTAGTTTTAAGTTTTGTTTTTTTCACCTGCCGATGTAGAGAGAGTCTCGGAGGAAGATCACGCCCATTGCAACGGCAATCGCAATCGACAATGGCTTGAACATGGCAACAAATAAAGGCCCCTTGATCCGCAACGCCCACGTGTGGATTGTGTTGTTTATGCAAGATCCAAACAATCCCTAATCATAGAGATATGATGATATGATCAGCACAAAATAACATTTTGCTTGTTACTAATCACACTCATGATGTCTTAAAAAAACACATGAATAAATAAGTAGTTATGTTCTCACCGAGCAAACAATCGATACTAACGCTAAGTTCGGTTTGATCTTCCATGCACTCAACTCACTTCCTTGGGTAAACAATGTGACAAGTGCAGTCCAAAAGCTCACGCCTATGCTATAATAGCAAACAACGGTAAACTCTGATGGATACTCTCTCATAATTTGAGTCTACAAGAAAAAACAAGATCATATGATTCTGTTAGAAAACAAACAAATAAACATCATCTAATTAAATATGCACATAGAGAGTTCACTAATGATTATGACCTGAACAATGTACCACAATGGAACCATGAAATACTCGACCGCAAGGAAAGCCGCGCCGATTATCCAATTATGGTCTGGCGATTGTGATCGCAAAGAAACTGACGGTGGTGACATAGCGATCACGACAGGACCATTGTAAAGAGTCACTATGAATGCACCTCCAATGGAAACTACGGTTCCTAACATTTTAGCCACACTGCTTGTCCTCTTGAAAGACACACTCTCCATCCTGAAATTATCAACACAAAATGCACCAAATTAGCTTCATGGGCCCAAATATAATTCATGGGCCGAGGGTGATTTGGGAAATAGATAGTGTAAAAGGAATATATGAAGAGGATAAAAACCTGAAAAGGACGGCGAGCAAGAAGGTAAACGCAGGAGTGAGGTTGCTGATAGCAGAAGCAAGTGTTGGAGAGCTATAATTGATCCCTGTGTATCCCATTATGTTCGAGCAGCATCTATAATACAGTATTATTATTTCACACGATTATAATATACTCTTATATCATTACATGCACAAATTAATTTAAGAGTATTTCATTAAATTATTTTTGGATTTCCGGTTATTACGAAGATGAAAGCAACCTCCCAAAAAATGAAAATAATTTTTTTTCAATTTTTTTTTTAAATAAGTGTGGGTTAGATTTTTTTTGCAGTAAAACTTGCAGCTTTTGGGAGCAACTTTTAGCCAAGTGTCGTTGTCACTGTCTCTAAAATTGGGTAAGAAAAATAAAATCTGAGAATTTAAGAAACTATAATGCAATAATTTCATTTTTGGATCCTACCCGACTCGAATTGAAGACGTTTTCAGGTGATTAAAGCTCCAATGAGAGATGAATATTGATTTAAAATTGAAGAATTTTTGAAGAAATTGAACTTTACCCAATTAGCCCTAGAAGCACGATTTTGTAGAGAATTGAGAAATTCATTGGTGGAAGCGTTCTTGATCTGTGAAATAAACCAAGAACCAACAAAAGATGATGACTTTTAGCTCAAAATTCATCAAGATCGGATCAAAATCAGTCTACGAGACTCTGTACCTGTAGGAGAAGAAAGGAGAAGGGAGGAGGAGAAGAGCAGCGAGACCGTAAGAGTAGACGATGAAGACATGAAAGTTCATGCCTTGCAAAGTCGCTGCCTTGAACAGAGTGTTTAGCCCAACGTTGGCACATTCCATTATTACCAGCGCCGTTACCGGCAACACTTCTCTCTGAAAGTATTTTCCCGCCGCCATCTTCACTTTATTTGTGAACTCACTTGCAGATGTGGAGATTCGGAGAAGTGAGTTATGTAAGATGAGAAACAGAGTCTGTGTCTTTGGGGGAAAAGAAGAAAGATAGTGTTGAGTGGGTGAATGAAAGTCAGACTTTTAAGCAAATGTGAAGCACTAGAGAGATTGTGAAGAAAACAACATCAGAAAAGCCAAGTAACATGCTGACATATACGTGTCTCTGTATACTCTCTAATATACAAAAAGGAAAATTCGAATACCGTAAATATGGAATTTACTCCGGTCCAATATCCGGTCAAGAAATGTCAAGAATAGTTTCTTTTTGTTGTTGTTAAAGTCAAGAATAGTTATTGATTGGTCGTAAACAATTTGTTTACTCTTTATCTCTTACCTTTTCTAGCTACACGCCTACACCATCTTCACAGCTTTCTCTAAAACTTTTGTTATCAATTGATAATTGTTTTCAAAAATCTCTAAAAGAATTTCTCACATGAAAAATTCATCTTACTTCTCTTGTTTTTTGTTTTATAAGTTATTTTTTTCTTTATGAAAATCTCCATAAAAAACCCCGTAATGAAAATGCTTTGATTATTTTTACGACTTGTAACGAATAAAAAGGTATATTTCTCTTACCGATGTGGACCTTCTGTAAGAGTGTATATACCAATCAAAGCTTATAGTTATAGGATTATATCATAATCATAAAAAGGTAACCAAGTCCTAACTAATTGTCTATGTTATATAATTCAATGCCAAAACACATGGTTTAGGCCGTTTGTCTATAATGGATGCATGCATCTTCCACACGCCATAATGTAAAACCTAGTTAACTCATTGAAATTTAATATAGTCATATAAGAATAGTATTCTATTTGAAAACTGGAAAGTGGAAACCGAAAATTATAAGAACCATGAAACGAAAAGAATAGTAGTACAACTATATTAATGCTTAATTTTTTTAAAGGAATTTGTTGTTCCATTTCCCGTTTTTACTTCTTCTATGTGCTCTAAGATTTGTTGTATATAATGTATTAGAAATTTTTGTCTATGTTCTATATATAGCGTTAAAAAATCATACTCCAAAGTAAATTTTAATATATAGTAGTAACTGTATATATATTTTGTTGAAAAATAACAACATGTTAATGATTCAATTTATTCTTCTCTAATTCCTTTTCAAACTTTTAAGTGATTTCAAAATTACGTGTATCTATATATTAACGTCAGTCATATAGGAAAATAACAAAAATGTAAAAAGAAAGACTAAAGTAGTCGTGATGCGCTTGTGTTGTTTGTGTAATCAACTTGATAGAAAACTACGGCCTAAAATATCAGTTAGTGATAAGAGTTTTTGCCCCACAAGTAAAATAAAAGCATACGAAACCTCTTTTTATATTAGATGAAAACGACGTCGAGAATGAAAAAAAGATAACAGAAGAGAAAACAACCCTTTCACATTAATATGCCACATTATTGGGTCTTATCTTTCTTAACCAATTATATAGGCTTTGTAGCCACAAGATAACACTTTGTTTTTTCTCAATGTCAGTAAATTATTGTACCTTTGTACTATTTGCTAATTAACAATCACACGTAGAGTTCTCAGAAAAAGCCTATCAATGATAACTTGATAACAATGGTCAATGATCGTTAATGATGATGACATAACGATGACGAGAAAGCGTGGCATTGTGAAAGAAAGCAATCTCTACAAAAAGCCAAAACAAAACACAAAAAGAAAGAAAATTTGCAAAAATCTAATGGAAAAATTAAACTAACACACAGATTCTTAGAAACTATCCAGCACACGGTGCGGAACGGGAGAATTAATCACCTGCAAGATCTGAACAATTTCCGCCATCGTAGGCCGATTCGAAGGTATCTGAGAGGTACAGACAAGAGCAAGTTTCAGAACAGGCAAAACTTCATCTTCAGAGTATTCTTCCTCCATTACAGGATCAATACACTCCAACACATTCCCTTGTTCCAACATAACTCGAACATGATCGCTAAGTATCACAAAGCTGTCTTCACCGTACTCCACCGGTCTCCGACCAGTCACGAGCTCGAGTATCAAAACCCCAAACCCATAAACATCGCATTTCTCGTTGACCCTTAAGTTCTGACACTCTAGCTCAGGCGCTACGTAACCCAAAGCGTTTTGAAACCTGTTGCTGTTCATCGTGTTCCCGTCTTGTGTTGTTAGAAGACGAGATAGTCCGAAATCAGAGATTTTCGGGTTGTATTTTTCGTCGAGGAGGATGTTGGTCGGTTTCAGGTTGAAGTGGACGGTTGTTGGACGGCATGTGTGGTGGAGATAAGCGAGTCCTTTGGCCGTACCGAGAATGATTCTGTATCTTACGTCCCAAGAAAGAGGCGGTGTTGAGGGTTCCCTTTCATGTAACTTGGACTGCAAGTTTCCGTTTGGGATGTATTCCGACACCAGAAGCTGCATCTCCGGCGTCCAGTAATACCCTTTGATCGTTACTAGATTAAGATGCTTCGCTTTCGCCAAGATCCGGACTTCACGATCGAAATCTTCAAGGTTTTGAAGAATCGGGGACGGGACAAGTTTCTTGACCGCCAAGTTTCTCCCCTGTTCTCCTAAAGGTGCCTTGTACACTGTTCCAAAGACTCCTTCACCAATTCTTGAAGCTTTATTGAGAACAGACTCCGGATTTCTAGCGAACTCTTGAGACGAAGACGAGGAACGCGAGGATCTTGAGTTTAACAGGACGAGTTTACCAGTCACTAAGCTTCTTCCTGACCTAGAAGACCCCGAGAAGATGCTCTCCAACGCATTGTCTACAAACGTAAGCCGTCTTCTAACAGACGCGTTAAGCAGCGTAATGACTATGACTCCAGAGAAGATGAGTATAGCAGCTGTTATAGCTACAATCACTGAAACACTAAGGAACATTCCCCGGTGGGAATGTCTGGAACCACTTCTTGCTTGGCTTCCGGCTATGCCCTCGTTGTTGTTTCCGTTCCCGTAGGTGTTTGGAATGATGACGATTGGCTTTGAAACATTCATTATGCAAGGTCCTTTCAACAATGGTGAACAAATGCCTAGGTTTCCTCGAATAGCACTCTGGTCTAAGCTTTCGAACACACCTCCAGATGGTAACCTTCCGACGAGCCGGTTAAACGAAATGTTAACCAATAACAGATTCTGCAATTCATGGAGCTCTTTCGGTATTTCGCCGCTAAGTTTGTTTGCCTCTAGCTTTAGAATCTTGAGTTCTTGTAAGTTTGAGAGTGACTTTGGAATTGGACCGGTAAGATTGTTATGAGACAAACTCCTGCAACAAGAAACTAATACTTGTTAGAGAAGTAAAATTTGCATTCAAGAAAAGATTGATACCTATAAGAAACAGAAACTTACAGCAATTTAAGAGAAGAGCAGTTTCCAATTCCTTCCGGTATAGAACCGGTTAGTGAGTTACCATCCAGTTGAAGAATCTGTAGACTCTGAGAGTCGCATATATCAGCAGGAACCGAACCGATCAACTTGCTGTTCCTGAGATCCAAGACTGTTAGGTTCTGTAGAAACTCGATTTCTGGAGGCACTCTTGTGTTGAAATGGTTCCATGACAAGTTGAGGTATCTCAGGTGATTGAACAAGCCTACTTCACCAGGAATGTTACCACTGAGACTGTTGCGCGACAGATCGAGCATAGTGAGTGACTCAAAGAGTCTGCTTGAGCCTCTCGGGATCGAACCGGTTAAACCATTACCGGAAAAATCCATTTCTTGCAAGCCAAGATCAAACAAACTATCCGGAATGCTACCGACCAAGCCATTGCTTTTGAGCTGAACATTCGTGAGCTCTTCGCAAGATTCCAAAGATTCCGGAATCTCTCCGGAGAGTTTGTTCTTAGACAAGTTTAGATCCTTTAGGGATCTCAAGTTACCTACTGAAGAAGGAAGCTTTCCGGTTAAGTCATTGCTTGAGAAATCCAAGTGTACTAAACCGGTCATGTCACCAATCCAAGCCGGGAAGTCACCGGAGAGAAGATTGTTGGATAAATCCAAGTGGCTTAAAGATGTCAGCCTCCGGAGAGTTCTCGGAAGTTCGCCGGAGAAACGGTTGAAACTCAAATCAACTCTGTTTAAATGGGGACAGAGTCCAATATCCGAAGGCAATGATCCTGAAAACTGATTCCTTTGAAAATGCAACACTTTCAAGTTGTGCAGAGAGAATATCCCCAAAGGTATCGATCCAGAAAGAGAGTTAAACGATAGATCTAGTAATCTTAGCCTCTGAAGCTTCCAGATTCCTGATACGAAACTAGGGTTTCCGGAAAAACGGTTGCTTGAGAGATTGAGACTGTTCAAAACAGAGCATCGAAACAGAGTACTAGGGATTTGGCCTTCGAGATGGTTGTGAGACAGAGAGAGATACCTAAGAGAGGAGCAGTTGGTGAAGAAATCATCGGAGAGTGTACCGGAGAAGGAGTTTCCGGTTAAGTCTAGGTATCTCAAGGAGCTAACTGAGCCGAGAGAGGATGGGATTTGACCGGAGAGGCTGTTGTGGCTAAGATCCAGCTTCTGGAGGTTGATGTTGTTTGAGAGAGCGATGATGTTTCCGGTGAGGTTGTTCTTGGAAAGTGAGAGCACCTTTAAATGCTGAAGCTTTTGGATGCCACGACCGATTTTTCCGGTTAATGATAAACCGTCGAGGGAAAGCTCGGTGACTCGGGATGTTTTGGGATTGCATTTGACGTAGCTCCATGAGCAAGGAGAGTCATCGTCTTCGTTCCAAGAATCGAGGTGTGAAGATGGGTCGCTGAGGTCTGACTTGAAGACGATGAGACCTAAAACGTCGTCGTTTAGCTGGATTGAGTTTATATCACCGTTGATGAGTGACATCGTCATTGCGAGAAACAGAGTACATGTGATCCATTTTTTTCCTTGATCGCCCATTTTGATAGATTCTACAAATCTCTCTCTCTTGATGGGTTGAGAGATAAAGCTAATTTGGTAAAGGAAGGAAGAGAGAG